AGTTGTCCTCAGTCTAATTTGCTTAACTTGGTCATGGAGGCATCAACATTTAATTGAGATGGTAAAATAACAGTGAAAACTCATCATAGCTTAATTTAACGTCAGTATTCCTAATTACACTTCATGTTTACTTCTCCTGATCTTTACCTCCCTATTGGTTTCCCAACAAACAAGGTCCATAGGGGCATCTCAATGAATAAACATGTTCTGTTATATTGTATTATATATATATATATATATATAATATGTTTTATATTATACTGAATATTATTATATGATATACTGTATATATTATTATATTATACTGAAATGCCTGTGAGGGTGATGTCCTGACATGTTTATGTTTATGTCTATGATGAAGTTCTGTTACTGCTGTTTATGATTTACAGTCCGCATGAACGGAAGTAAATCATTGACACAAGAATCCTGGACTCAACTAATCCTGCTGAAGTTCTGTTGCTGCTGGTAAAGATTTACAGTCCGCATAAACGGGAGCATTGGCAGAAAAACCCTGGACTCAACTAATCCTCCTGGAGTTCAAATGTTACTGTATTTTCTCATTAAGTGCTGATTTTTTGATTGCAAAGTTCTTACATTTTGTTAAACTGTGACATGAAAATGTCTGAGACAGTCTTAAATCATCTCGCTGCCCCCTGCACTCACCCTGTTACATGAAGTCTTTTAACATCATGTGTAAATACTTCTGTATGTTGTTTAGGGTAATATAATTAAGTGTTTTATTGTAGCATTTGTGTTCTAAAAAACAATAAAAACCAACTCTTGTGGTGTAATAGTAACACATCCGTCCATTGGGTGGAAGATTCCAGGTGCAAGACCTGGCAAGAGTGTGTTGGTTGTTTGCCAGATCACAAATGGTGTAATCAGTTAGTATGAACAACAATTGGCCAACTTACTAAGATGTTTGGCTTGTCATTTACAGTATCTAGTCACATGATGTTTTATTTGTGTTTGTCGTTTGCATTATGCAACATAACGTTTGATTTGTCTTCCTTGTTGTTGATTGTATTCACATTTCAGATTTCTTTCTGGTGTACATGACAGAGGGTCCACGTTCTCTGGACACAGTGTGCCTGTTTGCTCAACCCTTTCTGAACAGGCATGCTTTGAACAGGCATCTGACAATTTCTTATAAAACATATTCATTTTAGTTTGCTAAATTTCAGGAAAAACGTGCTAGGCTGTCTCCACACACTCCAATAGTCAAGTATGATATTCCATTTGATGTGTTTTGATGGTGCTATAGAAGTAGAATTGACATGACTTGACTTAAACATTTGTGCAACTCACAATGCCCCGGTTTTAACATTGCACCAATTATTAAAATATATATGGGTAGTTGCACACCTTTTATTTTTAGGCAAGGCAACTTTCTTCAGCAGATGAGATGAGAAGTAACCCTGAATCTAAAGAAAGAGAGTTTAATGAATGTATAGATTGCAGGAGGGAGAAACCAGATGTTCTGAACCTGAAAAATAATGGTTCAAACCAAATTTGGACTTTGTAATATGTAGCAAATAGGCGAGATAGGAAAGAAGAAAAAGGAGAGGATTATGTTACTTTTGTATAACAAGGGAAAGAAATGGAGTATTCGGTAGTGGGAGTGTGGGTTGAAAGAAAGTATTTGGTGGTGATGAATTATTATAATCCATGTTTGAGAATAGAATTAACAAATTGGAAGAAATAGAAAGGCAAGATAGGGCAAGCACAGTATGGTGTGGGGACTTCAACGAACATAACACATTATGAGGGAGTGCAATAACTGATGCAATGGTCAAGCCACAGAGGAACTACAGTATTAGATGAAAGGAATTCAGTCTGCCTAAAGGATGGAAGTAAAACAAGGATTGATGTCAATACAGGAAAGGAGTCTGTACTTCACCTAGCACTGGTTTCTAATAATATTGTCCTGGTATGTGACTGGAGGAACCATAAGCAGTGATCATTACCCAGTATTCTGTAAAATAAATATTCATGCATCAGTAACAGAAGTAGACAGGGGGGGAAAGGACTGGAAGAGGTTTAAGGAAAAGAGTGATGGTCAATTAAGTAAGATTAATGATAATATCGAAACCATAGCTCCTCCGCGAATCGCCACCTTAACGTGGTGGAGGAGTTTGAGTGGCTCAGTGATCCTGGGAGCTATGTTGTCTGGGGCATTAGCCCCTGGTAGGGTCTCCCAAGGCAAACAGGTCTCGGGGGAGAGCCCAGACTAAGAGCGGTTCAAAACGACCCTAATGATAAGCAGCCCACGGACTTCAGCCACCTCGCCCGGACCAGGGAAACCTGGGCACCCTCCCGGAGCCAGACCCAGGAGGGGAGCTCGTCGGCGAGCGTCTGGCGGCCGGGCCTTCGCCCATGGGGCCCGGTCGGGCTCAGCCCAAATAAACAGCATGGAGCAGCCACCCTGTGGACCCACCACCCTCAGGGACAAGCATCAGGGTCGGGTGCAATGCAGACCGGGCGGTGGGTCAGGCGGGAGGCCTGGGCGAGCCGATCGCCGGCAGCATAGACTAGCTCTAGGGACGTGGAACGTCACCTCGCTAGCGGGGAAAGAGCCAGAGCTGGTGCAGGAGGTGGAGCGATACCAGGTAGATATAGTTGGACTCACCTCCACACACAGTGCTGGCTCTGGAACCAAGCTCCTGGAGAGGGGTTGGACTTTGTCCTTTTCCGGAGTTGCCCAGGGTGAGAGGCACCGGGTGGGAGTTGGGATACTCACGAGCTCCCGGCTGAGCGCCGCTGTGTTGGAGTTCTCCCCGGAGAACGAGAGGGTCGCCTCCATGCGCCTACGGGTTGCGGGGAGCAAGGCTCTGACTGTGGTTTGTGCTTATGCACCAAACAACAGTTCAGAGTATCCGGCCTTCTTGGAGTCGGTGGGAGGGGTCCTGGAAAGCGCGCCGCCTACCGACTCCATAGTTCTCCTGGGGGACTTCAACGCTCACATGGGCAATGACGGAGAAACCTGGCGGGGGGTGATTGGGAGGAACGGCTTGCCCGATCTGAACCCGAATGGCGTCTCGTTATTGGACTTCTGTGCTTGCCACGGTTTGGCCATAACAAACACCATGTTCGAACATAAGGTGGCTGATAAGTGTACCTGGTACCAGAACACCTTAGGCCGGAGATCAATGATTGAATTTGTAATTTGATTTGCGGCCGTATGTCTTGGACACTCGGGTGAAGAGAGGAGCAGAGCTGTCAACTGATCACCACCTGGTGGTGAGTTGGATCAGATGACAGGGGAACCAGTTGGAAAGACCCGGCAAGCCCAAACGTGTAGTGAGGGTGAACTGGGAACGTCTGGCGGAGGACCCTGTCCGGGAGGTCTTTAACTCCCACCTCCGGAAGAACTTTTCACACATCCCGAGGGAGGTTGGGGACATGGAATCCGAATGGACCATGTTCAAAGTCTCTATTGTGGACGCGGCCGCTAGGAGCTGTGGCCGGAAGGTCATCGGTGCCTGTCGTGGCGGCAACCCGAGAACCCGGTGGTGGACACCGGAGGTGAGGGAAGCCGTCAAGCTGAAGAAGAAGACCTTCAAGCCCTGGTTGGCCCAGGGGTCTCCCGAAGCAGCTGACAGGTACCGGCAGGCCAGAAGGGCTGCAGCTGCGGTGGTCGCGAATGCTAAAACTCGGGCATGGGAGGAGTTTGGGGAGGCCATGGAGAAGGACTTTCGGTTGGCCTCAAGGAGGTTCTGGCAAACCATCCGACGGCTCAGGAATGGAAAGCAGGGCTTACCCCAGGCTGTTCTCAGCAGGGGGGGGGGGGACTGCTGAACATGCCTATTACAGGCATGCTGGGAAAGACAGAGAGTAACAAAGTTTTGGCAAAGCAACAACAAGAAGCCTGGGAGTTTCTGACTGAGAGTTTTGCCCTACTGTCATTTGGCCAGTAACTCCTGTTAGGTTGCTAAAAGATCCAGAGGTAGATATGGAATTGCTGCAATTTAAGGTAAGACATAAAAATGCAGATTTAGTGAAGGAGTTCTACGGGTATACAGATCAAAATTACATGTGCATGTTTTTACCGATGGATCAGCTACGGACAGTACAGGCTCTGCTGTTGCAGTACCTAGTCACAAAATTGAAATATTTAAACATACTTTGAAGTTTTTAGCTGAGTTGAGTTGTATGCAAATTTGTATGGCCCTACAGTGGGCAGAACAACACAGACCAGACAAAGTCCTTATTTGCAGTTATTCCATGTCTGCACGCTCTAGTCTGAGGTCAGGTGTGTCCAATATCTGTCTTTATGTCTGCCCTCCATGTTTATGTCTTTTTTTTGTCACATTACTTAACCAATTAAAAAAAGAATGGAAATTAAAAAGTGTACAAACTAGCTAAACAAGCACAAAAGAAAAAATATATAGACATCTGTATGAAGTTATCCAAACCAGAGGGAAAGGGCATCATAAGGAAAGAAATGTCAACAGAGTATGGCAACAGCTTTGCAATAACAATTACAGATGTACAATTTCACAAATTGTCAATGGGAAACGGCAAAATACATACATTCAAACTAACATGCCAGGGGGGCAACCGCAGAGGATAAGAGAGATAGAAATAAAAGCATAATAAATAAAAATAAAAATAATATAAAGAAAGAGAAAAAAGGGGACACTAAATTCTAATTGCGTAATTACATACGTATATCACAGACATGGAATGCATGTTGTTATGGCCTTGTTGGTACAGCATTTAATAGTTTATATACAGTTCAAACTCAAAATAGGTCTTTAGCTTGTAAACTTACACTTATGTTTATAGAATTAAGCAAGAAAGAACAATAGATGTATGATATACGTATGAGAGGAAGAGAGCTAAAGAATGTACTGGAGTGGGGCTCAAGTCATCTGAGGAGAAGGTGCTTCACCAACTTCTCGCGAGAAACGGGACCAATGGGGAACGTTTAGTAGGTGGGACAACAAAGGAACTGACTGAAACCGGAAGAGTTAGACACCACAGATGAAGAAGAAGAAGAAGAAGAAGACAAGATAAGAGGAGGCACCTCTGGCACAGTTACGAAACCTGGACTCGGGTATATTTTGACAAGCGGTATTAACAGGGAAAGTTGACACTGAACTATAAGGTAAGACTCAACGGAATTAGTTTTTTTTTAGCTGACATTTTAATAAAAACACACTTTAACTGCTGATATAACGTTAAATGGCCGTGTAACGTTAGTGTTTACAGTTTATTTAAAGCTACTACGTAACACAACCGCTAACTGTTTATAAAGACGTCAATTCTTCTTCTATCGGAACATTAGCGCTTTAGCTAACGTTACGTTCATATGAACAGTGTGTAACGTAACGTTAGTGGAAAGAAAAGACGTGTCACTTCAGTGAGAGTTTATAGTCTCTGTGAGTTTATCTCACTGGGACACAACAACCTGTCTGCACAGACTTTTCATGTCTTACCCAGAATTTCTGTTTAATAACTTGACGGATTAAACGCATTCATAAAGGTAATATTCCCCATATTATCAGCTATATTACTAAAGGTCTTGTTGCAACTAAATGTTGTCACGGAGACGCCCACATTCTCAAACTAAATTAAAGTTATTAAGATTGTTAGAGACTGTGTTGTACGGGTACTTAACTAACGGATCTGAATTCTTCTTCCACCACTGCTCTCATCTGATTTCTTCCCAGAGAGAGCAAAGTGCCTCGCGGTCCGGCATAGTGAACCTTTTCGGTCCGAACACCAGACGATGGATCATGAGGTGGCCGACCTCCCCAGTGGCCCGCTGGATCTCTACAGGAAAAAGGCCTCTTTCAGCTGGAAGGACATGCTCCTCTTCTTAGATGGAGAGGACATCCTGGCATTCAAGGTAGCTGTCAGCATCAAATGCTCTCTGTAGTTGGGACTATAGCTGCAGTTTCTTTGTCATTAAGTTAAATAGTTATGCAAATTACATTTTTTAGATTTCTTTTGAAGGGGCATTTACAGATGACAGTGTAGAGAGGCTGTAAATGGAGAGAGGGAGAGGAGGGGTAAGACATGCGACCAAAGGTCCCGAGGCTGGAAATCAAACCCGCGGTGATGTGGCACGCACTGTCGCCAAGCTGCTCCTGCCTCTGGTTTAATGTAGTTCATTAAAGCCCTGCTGTTAAGACCCCCACTGGTAGTATTTTAATAAAAAAGACACTGCAGCAGGTTAGCCACCAACACGCGGTTAACTAATCTAAACGGAACCACTTCTGAACAAGGTCGAGCTAACAACAATACTTTGTTCAGTTCAGGGCCTGGGTTGAAATAAGTACGTTGGTTACGTAACTTAAGTTACGTACGTAAGTAATGTGATGTTCCTGACAAGCACCTTAACTTTTACTAACGAGCACATTTTTGGTGCCCGAATTCATCTAAATGTTCCTCGACACATATCCTGTACATTTCTCTCCTTCTCTGTGCTGCAGCAACGCGTGTTAAAGACACTTGAGGATGACCCTCTGTTTGCACGTCAGCCCGGGGAAGACGTCCCTCTAGAGAAAATGAGAGAGCGGACCTTCCTCAGGTATCATCATACAGTAACATTTTACCACCAGCAACATCCTCTGTTATATATCGCATCTTCTTCTATATAATGTACACGGGGATAAAAAGATTCTGATTAAACATCCGCAGGGTGAAGCAGCTCTTCCGCTACGATTTCCTGACAAGAGACGAGGTGATGGCGAACCCCTGGAAGACTGTGGCTCTCAGTGACTGTCTGGGCATGTATGACTGGGCCATGTCGGCCAAGTACTTCCTCAACAAAGGGGTGAGTTTGCATTTTTTTGAGGTGTGCAAAATGAGCAAACAACCTGTCAATCACTGTGTATCCCCACCCTAAAGCATCCCCTGCTTTATGGTCTGTTTGACTCTAAATGGACCATCATTTACAAAATGAACATCATGCTGTATTGAAGAAGACTTGAAACTAGAGATTGAGACTATAAACTCATGTTTACAATGTTTACTGAGGGAATAAATCAAGAGAGAAGTAGTCATTTTCTCATAGACTTCTATACAACCAGAGGAGCCGCCCCCTGATGGCCGGAAGAAAGAATGCAAGTTTAAGGCACTTCCTCATTGGCTTAACTTTTCAGAACCCTTATCCTCCAACTGAAACAACAAAACTGGTTGTAATTGCCTTTATAAATAATCCATCTCACCTTTAAAGCTACTTAACCAAGTTTTAGTACAATTAATGCTAAATTAAGATGGTGAAAATGGAAAAATCATCCACGAAACATTAGCATGTTAGTGTCACAGAGCTGCTAGCATAGCTGTTGACTCCTAAATCTGTGAATATTTAAGTTGACTGTCCATTTTCTTCTTTTTTGGTGTGTAACGAGCATTACAGGTTCACTTCGCTGCTAGCATTGTCGGAGTATTTTTTCCTTCCCTTTTCATAGTCACCATCTCATCCCAGTAACAGATGCTAACATCATCTTCTGTTTCAGATGTTCAGCGCGATTATTGCCAACACAGGATCGGGAAGACACCGCAAGTATGTCGAAAGTACCGAAGACATGACGGTAAGAGTCCCGCACAGCTTTGCTCCGACAATAGCTCCACCTAATCTCACTCAGGTGACATTCATCATCATCACGTATGTTTGTAGACGTATGGTTGCTTTGCACTGACTGAGCTGAGCCACGGCAGCAACACCAGAGCCATGAGGACCACGGCAACGTATGACCCCGCCACCCAGGTCAGCACACGCGCACACATTCCTAAATGTCCGGCTGCATCCCCGGTTGCAGTCGAGCTTTAACTTTCTCCTCTGCAGGAGTTTGTGATCAACTCTCCGGACTTTGAGGCCGCTAAGTTCTGGGTGGGGAACCTGGGCAAGACCGCGACCCACGCCATAGTGTTCGCTCAGCTCTACACCCCGGACCAGGTGCACCACGGCCTGCACTCCTTCATTGTGCCGGTAAGACTCTTGACCTTCGACTCCTTCAACAAGTTACAGCTGGTTATTATCAGAATCTAATCTGATGTGATGTCACACAGCTGCAGATTATAAAACAGTGTTACCCAAGTCTGCGAGGGCAGTGCAGTGTGACAATGGGGAAAAATACATTGTACAAAAAAGTATCCAGAGAAGTCGACCATTTCTGGACTTGTTAGATAAAGTGTGATCGCTGAAAGCAGGTGAAGTGTTTCAAAGTAATGAAATGACATTTGATGTAACAAATCAGCTGAAGTTTTAAGTCGAGTTACAATTATTGATCCAGTTTGAGAGCTGCTGTGATACTCAGACCTGGTTCAAAGGTGAAATGCAAAGAATTCCGATGCCTTTAAAAAAAGATTTTGACCAATTTTAAATAGATGGCTGCTCAGCCGCCAGAAGTCATATTGGGGCGGACATCACTGTTTTACATAGAGGCTCCATTCACATAATGAGCTCCTCTTTTGCTGAAATGATCTCTGTTCATGGGATTAATAACTGATAATAATCTAAACAACTGTTACCCCATGAAATGACACTCGTATGCGCGACAGTCTTTGAATCATTCAACTGTTACTTTAGCTTCAGTTTAGCTTTCTCTCTTCCAACTTTACTTTACTTTATTTTACATGTAAATTTAATATGTTTCTACTTTGCACTGTTGATTGTTGTGAAATGTGATGCACCTCCCGTCATGTCAAATTCCTTGTATGTTCAACATACCATGGCAATAAACGATTCTGATTCTGATTCTGAAATAGTCCGGACACAAGAGTTCTACTTAAGCATTAATCATGCGCCCTACACAACAATTTGAATTTATTTTTGTACAGACTGACTTCACCATACTTAACCGTTGTACTGCAGGTGAGAGATCCCAAGGCCCTGCTCGCTCTGCCTGGTGTGCTGGTTGGAGACATGGGCAAGAAGCTGGGCCAGAACGGACTGGATAACGGGTAGGTGAGCGCAGAGGGAGACATCGGGACCTCACCAACACAGTCCTTCTTAAGTGGCTTGCACAATGATTTAGGTGTTGATCATTATCCTGTCTGACTCCATAGCCCAACATATAGTCTTATATATTGTCTTTTTAACGTGTGCTTATCGGACACTGTTACAGCCTATGTGTTACAGGGTTCGTACGGTCATGGAAAACCTGGAAAAGTCATGGAATTTTAAAATGGTTATTGGAAAAAAATAAAATCCCCAAAGTTTTGGAAAAGTCATGGAAATGTGTTATATTCATATTTTCATGTCGTTCATTTACGGTGAGTTGTCAGCCAGCGTTTCTCAGATTGGAGTGAGACGAGGAGAAAAGGTGATGTCGTGATCTTCACAATAGAACATCTTTGATGTGATGAGTCTTGGCCAATCAACGTTCAGATGTCTACAGCGTCTTCATTTCCCTCCGTTACAGTTTAAGTTCCGTTATGTTCTGTTAAAGTTCAGACTTGCTGGGTTAAGTTAACGTCCACTGCATGCCGAACTTTGTCGACTGTTAACGTTCATCATTATCGCGAATTAGAAGGAAAAAACGTAACGTGATGAAACATGCAACCCCCCCGTGTTCCGGTTCAGTTCACGCGGTCACTCGTTAACGTTAAACCCGAACACCGGCGCATCTGGTTGCAGGTTGTTTGTTTTAACTCAAAGTAGAATGAGGATGATTTCGTGGTCAGAATAACTTTCATGACCACGAAACATGAGGCCCAGATACTGATGAGATGATGAGGTCAAAGAGCTTAATGAAGAGGAGGCTGTCTGTGTAGCGCAGCTTGATGCTGAGCTGTGAGTGGAGCTGGGCCTGGATAAAGGTGGAGGTCTAAACAGACGTGAGTACAGCTTCCTGCTGTCACAGTATTTTAAATGCATTGGTAAGGCAGGGTATGCTAAATGTAGCCTCTGCTCCAAGGAGATGAACTACAGCAACAAGGGCTCACATGCCCTCTCATCACACTGTACACACTGTTCACTGTGATGACCACAGCCAGTGTACTAACAGTCCCAACAGTCCCACGTTGCTCTCAAGAACCCTGAAGTAATGAGAGGGTTAAGGTGCCTGTACCTTCATTTCAGCGGGTTGCTAATACAGAGGTGTGTATAGATCACAGCTATTATTTTACTCTTGATAAACTACCATAACCAGGGTAGATTATCATTTTAATTTAAATAATTGAACTGGATTGAATGCATATTAATTGCAAATAGAAGATGGGCCACAATTCCAACAGCTGTACAGTAACAGTGGGAGTTGATATTCAGCCATACAGTAACAGGGTCCAATGAATAATTTGTACTACAAAAGGGAAAGCAATATGTGCACTAGCTGGATGCTACTACCTACTAAAGCTCTTATTGATGTGTCACTTATGAATGCCTGTCAACCAGAGTATATTTGTAAATGTTTATTCTTTTAATCAAACGATTGTCTCTCATTCGTTTGTGTCATTTAAGGTATACTGTATGCTTTGGAATTCTCATTGTTAGTTTAAATACTACATTTTCTCACTTTTTCATGTATACACTGAGATTTCACAAAATGTTTGGTCATGGAAATTTGGTTTAGAGTTATGGAAAAGTCATGGAAATCCATTGGTCAAAATGTGTATGAACCCTGGTGTTATGTCCAAGGGAACACAAGGACTAACATAACGCGTTAAAACAAAACATTTACGAAAATGGAACCAAAATAAAGAGTAGGTTGCTGGAACACTTTAAAAGTAACGCTAAACATTTACTGACAGAAAATTGATTAACAGAAATAAAACAAATACAATCGCTGAAGTGGAGTGAGTGTCCAAGGCCAAAATAAACCCCTACACTAACTAGGTAACAAACAGAAAAACAATACCATCAGACAAGTGGGTCAGAAATCTTCTTGCCCAAAGTGATAACAAAGACTTCAGTTAATTGTCATATTTTAACAGCTTTGCTCTCAAAATTGCAGCAAACTGCACAATACATATGAGAAGAGAAGAGATTGCTTAAGTTTCATATTTAGTTTATCGATGGCGCACATTTAAAAATACAGTGAAGTTCACCAAAGGGCTGTACAGTGGTAAAACAACTATCCAATGTAAGAGAAGGCTCACTCCTCAGTTCATTCTGGGCAGGTGAGTTGCTAGATTTACCTGAGGTGATGTTTTACTTGCCCCCAAGCAGGCAATCCTTATTGTTGAGCTCTGAGGTGCTGAGGATTGTTTGTTTATTTAGTTACTCTGCTGTACTGTAAATGAGGTCTCTACCTCAGTGTAATTCCATATTTAAATAAAGGTTGATGAAATGATGGGGGGCTGTTGAGTACAAGACAGTATTGACTGTCGGCTCGTGGTGACCCTTCTATTATTAGCGAGACCTCTGGATCTTTTCTTCTAGATATTTCATAGCTCACTCATTTGCGTTCTCTAGCGCAGGATGCCCTCTGAGATCCAGATCCACACGCGTCTCTTCACATTTTTCTTTTGAACCAGCTTCCAACACAATTTTACTGTTTAACTTTTCCGCTGCGTCTTGCTTGAAGCACCATTTACTTCCATTCATCGATGCAGAATAGCTTTTGGCTCACGGTGTGCATCAGCCATGATCTCGCTCAAATGGGAACAGTTCAAGCCTTCAGTTGAATGGTCGGGTTTTACAACCCAATTTACTTAGTGGGTCCGACTTGATCAATAATTTACAAATTATTTATGAATTTGCAGAGACAAAGAGGCTCATGCGGCCATCTTGAAACAGCACTTATGCTTCTGTTATAATTAAGTGCTGTGGTTTTATCCATCCTACACACGCCCCTCCCCTTCTCCTGGTCAGTACCTCAGTGAAGCAGCTAGGTGGAGCTACATTCAAAGTTTAAAGCAGAGGAAGGTCACTGCAGGACACATTTGAGACCGCTACTAAAACATGCAGAAAAGCAGTTTGCTCCATTATATCTCATCAAACGGTCTTATACAGTGTGGGGAAGTCATTTATACAATTCAAATATCTATTGGGTCAAGCTTCTTGAAAAGTCACAGTAAATGAGGCTGGTATTAAACCTCAGCACTTGTTCTTCTACTGATACTTTGTCAGGTGATAAATCAGAAGATGAATATAATTATTTTTTTGATGTAATTTGAACGTCTTCTGTTGTAGTTCTATATATTCTTGGGTCGTTTTGTGTAAAGAACTTCTGAATATTGCTAAAGAAATACTATTATTATTATTATTATTATTATTATTATTATTATTACATTTTGCTCAATGCTGATAATGGTCAGTTACCTGTTCCTGTAAATAAAGATGTAACATTATGGTCCCTAATGTTGTCCTCGAGGTGAATTGCAATTTGAAGCTTTTTGAAATATGTATCTCCTTTAGTGTGCACCTGGGCTTTGTCTGCTGATGCGTAGACACACAAAGTGGGCGATGAGTTGTGTTCTGTTTGAGCTACTTGAAGGTTTAAAGAGGTTTCCAGCCCTGTCCTATCAGATCCTGTCAAAGGTCACAGCAGCTTTACCAGGTTGTGACATTGAGGATGAAATTGTAACTGTTTTATTCCCTTAGTCCCTGGCTGTCTTTTAACTTTGGTTAGGTGTCCTGCTTCATTTCAGTGTTTTGGGCCAACAGCGTTCAGTAGCAAAGTACTATTATAACACTGACACACCTCAAGGTTTATTTACTGTCGTTCTGCAAAGGGTTGCACAATGAAATGAGGAAAGAAGCTGCGCTGTTGTCTGGTGGTACGGCAGTGGAGAAAATTTGCCTTAATAAGTTTGCTTTAGAAATACATTGACATTATAGTGGTTCTGTATCTCCTGCTTTGGTGTTACGCACATATTATCAGTATGTTTTTAACCAAAGGCCTTTCCATCTTCTTCCCTTCAGGTTTGCTTTGTTTCATAATGTGAGGGTCCCTCGGGAGAATCTGCTGAACAAGACTGGAGATGTTACTCCTGATGGCCGCTACGTTACACCGTTCAAGGTTAGTAAGATTTCCACTGGTGGCTAAAGAAACTCGGTAAAGGTTCCAAGCCTTTTAACGGTAGTTTAAGTGTTTATTCCCTGGCAAATGATCTGTTGCCGAGCAAAGACACCGGCTTGCTTTGCAGAGAGGACACAAACCCAACAGGCACGTTAATTACACATGCGTGAGGCTGAGGTAGCGATGCCGCGGACGCTTACAGCAAGACGAGAGAGAATGAAGTGGAAGTGCTGGAGAAAACCTCAGGCAGAATATCAGGAGCTTCTCCTACAGAATATTTCCGGAATGGAAAGATTAGAGATTACTCAGTTTAAGGCATCGGGAGGAGAGAAGAAGGATGAAGCTGCCAGCTCATCAGGCAGTGTGTGAGGAGGCATCACCTGGATGCAGTATGGAAAGCAACCAAAGACTCTTTCACAACTAAACTAAAGATATGCAACCGAAAATTCACAAAATGACATTAAGATATCAGAAATGGATCAAGAATACAAAGATGGCTAAAAATCTTTTCTTGCTGAATAAAATGATATTTGGTTTCTTCTCCTCAGAGGTTTGTTCAGAAAGAGGTTTTGTTTTTATTTAGGTTGAGAAATAGACAATGAAACTTATTTCAGGAACAAGAAGAATAGAAAGAATAGAAATATACTTTATTCATCCCCAAGGGGAAATTTGTCAAAGTACTGTTATGCTTGAAACTCATAGACGCATTATTCTCCCCACAACAAGCCTCTATCTGGAACAACACGTGTGCTATGTAATGGCAAATCTCTCTACTTGAAGCATTGCATAGACTTATGATAAAATGTTAATAACAATAACTGCAACCTGTCCCATCTCTTTTACCATTGAATATACTCGGCATTCTGGGAGGATTTGGAGGACTGGCTGACCAAAAAAGCCAGTTAATGAGTGTCGGGCCTTAGTGACGGAGAACATTGCTGAAGAACTAGCAGACTGAGGTGGACAAAACATAGTGAAGTGAAGAAAGGATGCGATTTGGTTTGGCTTCATTTCAGCTGATACCTGTTCATTAAAATGCACCCAACTTTACAGCCTGAGCCACAGCTGGCCGGCTCAGCCAAGGCAGAAGTCTCAGAGATGGAGACCTGCACACATAAATCTAAAAACATTGAAGCAGTCCAAGTACGAGTGAAACGCTTTTTTCTTTTGTTAATTAACTTGTGTTCTCATTTGTGTCCCTCTAAATGAGGTCATTGTATGTTTATTTCGTCTTGGGAGGAAGCTGTGGGAGTGGAGGGATCTGTTATGGAGAGACAAGGATTTAACTGCAACTATTCTGTATGTAGATTTTGGGATTTATGAACTACAGAATTGCAATAATCAGAAGTTAAAAAAACTCTAATACGCATGCATTTTCTACAATGCTTATTTCGGCCGCAAATCCCAATTACTTCTTTTTGCAAACGCATGCAGGCACAGATGTGCATAAACGAATGAAGTAGACAACCTTTGACCTTTGGGCAGTCAAACGCTGTCTTCACATTATGGCTGCTCTTTCACTGCTGCAGTGATTTAATGAGCTCCCACATGAACGTTGTGAGAAGATGCTGGTAATGACAACAGCCCTGGACGATTCCTCTGGTACCTCATGAGAGGAGTGAATAGCAAGGACAGGCCAGAGGCTTGCACCACCAAGCTAGACAAGTTGGTCAGCCAGCTCTCTTGGAGCTGAACATAATCTGATGACCCGGTGGCACCGATGATGAGCATTGGGAATAACCATTTAGAAATGGACAATCTTCTTGTCTTGTTTACTTATAAAGATCATATTGAGGGATCAGTATTAAATTGAGACTGTACAGATTATCTTGAATGTCGTTCCCTGCTTCCGTTCACACATGAGCGCATGCAGGGAATGTTCTTGAACATTTCAGGGATTGCCTGCATCCCAGGGAAGGGAACATCCCACCAGGCTGAGTAAACAAAGACAACATCATTTGAGTAACACCGTGGCACACCTGGACATGGAAATGCTGTTGGACAGGCGAAAGAGCAACAGTCATTTTGTTGTCACCAAAATCTTGTAGGCTTGTGATAAAACCCAAGGGAAATTGTAAATATTGAATTTTTCTCTTTTATTCTGTTGTTCCTCATGTCTCTACGTCGTATCTTGTCTCTTCTTCAGGACCCCAACAAGCTCTTTGGGGAGTCTCTTGGTGCCCTGTCAGGGGGCAGGGTGTCCATCACCAGGATGGCTCTAGTCAACCTGAAGCTGGCTCTGATTGTCACCATCCGCTTCTCAGCCACCAGGAGACAGTTTGGACCCAAAGACACGGAGGAGATTCCTGTTCTGGAGTACCAGTTACAGGTCAGGATGCGAGGGAGTGGATTTGAATGCAACTGTACCTTATCAAAGTAGAGAGTACCGTGTCAAAGTTACAAAAGGTATCTAAATCTATGTTACTTATGTACATCCCTCAGTTTTGAGTGTGACACTTCTTTTTATTTCTTTATTTTTTCAGCAATGGCGTCTGATCCCGTACCTAGCAGCAGCATATGCTCTTGAACACTTCTCCAAATCCATCTTCATGAACTTCGCTGAGTTTCAGCTTGGACAGATGATGAGGGACAAGAGTGAAAGACAGGTGAGTTAAGATGAGGTGCAATGTGTGTGTCCATATCCAGAGATGTCCCCCTGTATGAACTATGGTCTCGTGTGTGTGTGTGTTTTGCAGGCAGAGATGGGCAGGGAGATCCATGCCATAGGCTGCTCCAGTAAACCACTGGGCTCGTGGACCGCTCAGAGGGGGATCCAGGAGTGCAGGGAGGCGTGCGGTGGACACGGATACCTGGCCAGTCAGTCTATAACACACATGCACGCACGCGCACACACACACACACACACACGCTCAGAGACCTAACTACCGTCTCTCTCTTTCAGTGAACCGGCTGGGTGATCTGCGTAATGACAACGATCCAAACTGCACATATGAAGGAGACAACAATGTGTTGCTGCAACAGACCAGCAACTACCTGCTCAGCTGGCTCCATGCTAAACACCGCGGTCAGTCCACCGTACACTGAGGGATTCTTACAAGCCTTTAGTGTCAGTTGGAGAGACGTAGAGGATCATCTTAAAATTGAGTTCTGTTCAAGGGTTGAATGGTGATCACTTATTGGTCATAAGGGGTGCCTCACTTATCAATGATATTGACATGATTATCTCCCGTTGCTGGTGCTGATGCGCCTGTTAAAGGGATAGTTTGAATGTTGTGTGGTTGTACTTCTACATGGTCAGTGTAATACTTTACACTAGATGGAGTTTGGAGTACCAGCACGGGAGCAAAGCAATGTACTGCTACGGACAGACAGCAGCTACATCTATTTCAGATACCTAAAAATCAGTCAATATCGGTTTAAGTGTACGCTATATTTAAAATACTTTCTCTGCTTTATCTTGCCCTCAGCCCTTTTAAGACGGTAGGTGAAGCTGTTATCTTCATCTATAATGTCTCTTTCAAGCCACCAGACTGCTTAGAATAGAAACACGTCATTCTACCTCACAGAACACTGGAGTTCTGCTGTATCGCTGCTTCGGTTTGGTTTGTCTTACTGTGCGAGTTTCTAAACAATCCCTTAAAGACACAATAATACAGGCAGCGGTAGACCAGCAACTCCTGTGTTCTTCATGGTAAAATGACTGTTTGCTGCCATTTTGGTACTCTTGTCTGTTCTCCGAATGTGGCCTGCCATAGTTTCCTGACTGAGCTCTGAAGACTCAGCTGCTGTGTTGTCTGCTTTCAGACGGTGTGCGGATTGAGTCTCCTCTCCACACTGTGGATTTCCTGGATGATTCCCACACGATCCTGGAAAGCAAGTTCACGGCAAGAACAATGGAGGAGTGCATGGACTCTGCAGGTACTCCTAGAATTCAGAAGGGGTTATTCCCTGAAGTCAACAGGGTTTCTAAATCTACCTCAACCAGTTATCTAAATATCGCAGATACAGTGGGTTCTCAGTTTAACCTCGTGAATATACTGTTTTTTTGTCACATCAGTGCCACTGGCAGCTTATAAGTGGCTGGTGTGTTTCCTGCTGGAAGAGAGCCGGGGGAGGCTCGAACAACAGAGGGCCTCGGGGAAGGATGATTTTGAGGCCCGCAACAACAGCCAGGTAAGACCCTCACACCTCCCTCCTTCCTTTGGGTTGTCTATCGCGTCCGATGTTTGTTAGGAGTCCTTGATGGAGTCCTGCAGAGTTTAACACGGGACGCATGCTGTCTTCTCCCTGGAGCATTGTTATCAAGCTGTGAAGACATTTTATATATACAAACACCTTTTTGGATGATTTGGTTCTTTATTATCTCATGTGTATTTATTCATTTCCACTATCCCTTCTTTCAAATCTACTAGTTTTCAGGAATTATGAGAAGATAAGACACAATGTTTCATGTCTCCAGACCAGCTGATCAGAAACAGAATAAATGGTGTTGAGCTAAACGGGAGAGTTTCATCTGGTTTGCGTTATTATGTCACAAATGAATATGCTGCAGGCTGGAGGTCACAGTGTCAGACGGGCGTGTGTGTCAGTCATTGACTTGTTTTGGTTAGCATTAATATGACGCGCGCTCATGCTTTAATGTTCATTGTAGAAATGTAACAGTTTCTAGAGAGTTAAGCATTCAGTATGTTGGAACTCCTCCACAGTCCAAATGTGGTCACTGGTTTGCTGGTTGCAAAAAAAACAAGATGGTGATTGCCAAAATGTCAAATTTGAGGCTTCAAAACAGCAGTCCACAAACCAATGGGTAACGTCAGGATGCTACGTCCACCTCTTATGTACAGTCTATGGTTTATCCCACAAAGATCTTGGACTCGTGGAATACGGTTTCTGAAAGCAGAAATGCAAAAACAACAATATTGCATGTTTTTATGCCTCTGCGCTGGCAACAGCTTCAAATATTCTGTGTGTGTGTGTGCGTCTAGGTTTACTACTGCCATTCCCTGGCCATCGCCTACATAGAACACAACTGCCTCCAGAGGTTTCATGATCTGACCACTGATGAGGACACACCTGCTGGTCTCAGACCTGTATTGAGCAAGCTGTGCGCCCTGTATGGGCTGTGGAGCCTCAGCAGACACATGGCCACACTTTACCAGGGTGCGTACCGTACTCCACACACCGCGTGCATCCATCTAGATAACGCATTGCATTGATATTTGTAACGTAGTCTTGTTCCCGTACAGGTGAGTACTTGAGTGGAAGGAAGCCCTCAGAGTTGGTCCAGATGGCCATTCTCACTCTCTGCACCCAGGTACAGAAACACTCCATCCTCTTATACTGTTTCATGGTGTGTGTTGTTATTTGGCCTCTTTCTTGTGTCCTTCTATACTTCCTACCTTTGTAAAGTTATGGCTCTGGTAGATTCTGCTCCTCTACCCGACATTCAGCTCAACCTAAACTGCTCTGTCTCATCCAGCTGAAGGATGATGCCGTAGCATTGGTGGATGTGTTTGCACCTTCTGATTTCATTCTCCACTCGCCCATAGGCAACGCTGATGGACAGGTAAAGACACACACACACACATTAAGCCTAATTATATTATATTAGACATTAAGCCTGATTATAGCTCAGTATTTAAAGTCGTGAGCATAAATAATGGAAGAATTGTCATACCATGACATTTTGAGAGCTTTGACAGGTGAGAGGGTGCCTGTGTGTCCACAGCATCTATTTTGTGGTTAAAGGAGCTGCCGTAAGACGGTGGATAAAACCATTTCACTTTCTAAGAATTCTTCACGATAAAAGTTATTTTTGCTCCTTCCTCTTCCTCCCTGCAGTACGAGTAGTCTTGTTTTATTAAAAAATAGCCGCTAATTCGCTGACAAAACGCTTTTCTATAAATTCTCCACAATAAAAGTAGCCTATTATTTTGTTATTTAAAGGCTTTTGTGTTAATATAGCAAAATCAGGAAATGTTTGTTTTTCATCCGCAGTAATTTAACAGAAATCCGAGACTGAGATCTGAACTTGATACAAGCCAGACCACCTCGGCATGTGGTCTAGGAGCGTGCAGACTTTATATTTGATGACAAAAGTCGCATTGCTGAGAATATTATTGTCCGATAAATAAATTAAATTATTATGTTTCCGATAATGGAATTTATTCTATTTTTCTTTCATATGATTATTACAGACACGTTTATATTAAATGATTGTATTTTTATTGTAGGTATGATGAAGGCTCTAAATACTGTTGTATTAGAAAAATTAACTTGTCACTCTAAAAACACACACACACACACTGACCCACTCTGAGACACTAAGTCACTCAGGTTAGGTCACATTACTGGAAGAGGACAGCAGAGCTTTGGCTGCTGTCTCTCCCTCTTCCAGGAAAACATATACAGCGATGAGTTTGCTCATGAATTGTCATTGACTGTTGTTGACGGCGACCTGCTCTGCACTTCCTTGTTCACACAAAAGGCTCAACTGAGGTTTGTTTTTCCTGAGGGATGAAGACCCGCTGTGTATTCTGTTCCTCAGCCTCAGGGTCGCTCACGTTTATTTTTATAGAGAAATTGGTTTCTAGATGTTTCATCTGTAATATTTGGCTAGTTTGACACAGTTTATAGTTTAATAGCACTGACTTCCTTTCTGTCTCTGCTGTATTACTTTCTACTTCATCTTCCTTTGAAAAACATTTCTGCATGTGTGCGAGGGTCTTCATTATGGGTAGGTCACATATGAAGCAGAACTAAGTAGAACAAACATCACTAGGCAGCATAAGGTTTGAGTCTCACTTTTTAATTATCATGATGTTTGAATCGAATCTTGTTCAAATGTAGTTTTCGGCGAGAAATAATCGGGTTGCTTGATTTGAGCAACCTGTTTCTTTAATTTAAAGCTGTTACCAGAAACCAACTGTTGCACAATTAACATGATGCCTCTGGGTGTCTGAGGCCTTAAGGTAGCTGCTGGCTTAATAATGCAGATTGCTTTGGATATGAGTCATGATAAATCTTAATTAAATCTAGTTGCTTCCCAACAGCATAGGGGGAAATCCAATTACACATAGCCCAGCTCTCGGCCATGGTCATGTGTCATGTCTTCCTGTAAACTTATAACAATGTAATGATCAGAAACACCATCACGTTAATCCCAAGAGATAAACGGCGTGAAGTCAGAGTTACTCAGCCGGGCGTCCTGCTGTGAATCTCCGGATTAATTGAAATGTAACCACACAAACAAACTTCCTGTTCAGCTGCGGTCCGGTACAAATAACATAGCGAGGCTCCGAGCCATAATTCATCAAATCTGTTTGGGTTGTTTGTCTGACATGTGGAAGGGGCTAGTAGTGTGTTGACAGTGTCCTTGAGATGACCGCGGTGCCTTTTGTGGTTAATGCGGATCCAAAACGATGCTTTGATTGCATGTCTGGTTAGACAGGAAGTGATGATGGCGGCTCATATTAAACAGGGAGGATACTCTATCAGATCAAGACAAGGTTTGAAACAGATGTACACCCACACTACAATCCCCTTATGTGTTCGACAACACCCATCAGTCCTGTTAGAAAGGTGGATTAGGAAAATGGTTCCAGTTCCAGAGTTCTTCTGCTGAGATGTTTGGATCAGGACATTTATCAGAGATAAGAACCTTCTCTCCTTGTTTCTCCTTCACGCAGCTTTACAAGAATCTGTGGGCGACAGTGATGCAGGGCAGCCAGGTGCTGGAACGGCCTTCCTGGTGGAAAGAGTTCTGCTCAGACAAGCCCGTGGTCGGATCCCTCCGTCCGAAACTCTAGAATCCACTCATGACTACGACTACTGTCTGAAGTTGAAAATGTGTGCTGCCCTTAAAGAGATTCCAACTCCTGCAGCAGATAAAATCAAGACAGCACTTTAAATCACGTTGAACCAAACTTTGAAGTGTAAAAAAATAAATTGCATTTAAACCAGTTTTTGAGCAAAATAATCAATTTCCTCTAAGAAAGTTAAAGGACAGACTCAACTCATTTGAGTTTTATGATGCTGATGCTAGTAGTGTTTATGGATTTTAATTAGCATTATTCTAATTCACCATTTTTAATTGTGCAACAGAGAAATCTCCATTTTAAACTAGTTTAATGAAATGAAGTAATGCTTTTGAATGAGCTACTAAACAAGCTTTTGGTAATTAAAGAATTCCGATAAGACATTTTCAAATCATTTGACACATTGTTCTGTCAGTACAAAGAAGGGGAGACTTTGGGTTTTCAGTTGGAGGCCACACTTCATGGATTAATATTTGTGTGTCAAAGAAAGTCGATCACTAACATTACCGATCATCTGTTCTGTTGGACGTAAACTGTGATTATGTGAATTCTACATGTGAATAATCACTTTTCCACATTTCTGTCCTTAACACAGCAATAATGCCATTCCAAGGATATTTATGTATATTTTAATTTGATTTCATATTGAATGAAATGATGTAATCTAAACAGTGTTGAAGTGATAATTGAAGATAGATTTTGTCAATGACTTTAAGACGGATCACTTAAAGTCTCACCTTTGAGCCCTAGATTTTGGGGCAACAGCAGCGAGGTTTATTCAGCTCTCGGCAGCTCTCCAATTAACCCGCAACACCAGAGCAATGAATAGATGTTAACAGACTCCGCATTGCAAAACGAGGAATGATGTGTTGTAAGAGTCGCAGCCAACAATGTGACTCATATCAGATTACACACACTTTCAGTTATTGGTGCGGCCCCTTCTTTCAGAGCCTTATATTATGCCTTATAAAAAGGTAATTATTATTACCTTTTTAGTCAATTTGATAAGGGGTGTAAAAGGAAGGTTATTTACTTAAAACTGGTTTAGGGCCAATCACATAAAACATGCAGCTCGTTTCCCCATCATGTTTATTGTGGGACATGTGAGTTTGGATTGCTTTTACCAAGGTTATGTTTTCGGTTTGGTTTGTTTTTTTGTCTTGCGGACAAAATACTGGCCCGATTTTCATGAAACTTGGTGGAAGGGTGACGCATGGGGGCCAAGGAAGAACCCATTCACTTTTGGAGTGTTTCGGCTGTATTTACACAGACTTATTGACATATTTATTAGACCCCTAACAAAGGCAACTCTTAAAAAACTGGCCCAAGTATTTCACAAATTGTCATCCTGTCGTTTGGACAAATGGATCCAAACTGAACCACTTCAGCTATTTCATCAGCAAACTTTGGGTGCTTCCCCCACATGACAGATTTTAGGACAAAGTCCATGGTTTTGTGGCTCTCATTGCCGCATAGCAGCAGATGGAGCTCTACAAAGCACAGTTCATCAACACTACCATAAAAGCTGGTCTACATATGGGAGTAACAAAAACCAGTTGCCTTTAAACATATTGGACATATTTTAGTTTCCTGCACTTTGGTTGGATTTGCACAGCTGTCCAACATCGACTTCAATAGGAGTCACAGAAAGCATTCCACGGATTTGTTTTCACACTTTCACCAACAGAGTCAATAAATGAAAACAGACTTGAGATTCATCACCAACCAGCAATACAATAACATGCCTATATTAACACCCACTGAGTCAGTGTGGTCAGCTGGATGTCAACATATGCACAGTTAGAAAACCCAACAATTGACACTTCCAGCCCTCTTGTTCATGTTTTTATAGATCGTAGACGTTTTCACTGTTTCCCATGTGTGAGTGACTTTCTTTTTATGCAGACGAGAAGAGACAAATTATCAGTTTACTTCATATATTTATTGGTACCCAGCTGTTTTTAAAACGGAGGCCGATTGCTGGGCTCACATGAATCTTAGCCACTGGCAGCCAGTGTGAAAGCCTGTTATCATGGTCTCATGGGCCAGCACTCATTCATTTCTCTGGCTGGTGACATTTATAGCCACTGTATCGCCACATAATACCCGTTTGAACCTACCACAGAACGAGTCAGCACAACCATGTCTGCTTTCCCCATATTGAGGTTATCGTCAATGTTTGAAACTGTGTTTTTAGACCCAGCTGAATAATGTGGTCTCTAATTACAGGACGTTTGCTCATGGAAACAAGGATGGTCTTTACTGCTAGGGAGACGGCAGAAATAGACTTTTAGACTTGCAAGGTCGCTCAAATGTCCCAATTCATCCAGCTCCTTCTAGGGTATCCTGAGGTGTCTTTGGGCCAGATGGGATATAATCTCCTCAGCATGTTCTGGGTCCTATAGTTGCACATACCCAGAATACCTCCACAGGGAGGTGTCCAAGAGGCATGTTGATCAGATGCCTGAATCATCTCTACCAATTCCTTCCAGTGCAAAAGAGCAGCAGATCCCTTTTTCGGATGTCCGAGCCCCTGACCCTACGCTTGAGCTCAGACACCCTGCAAAGGAAAGTCATTTCACCAATCCACCTTCTTCCGATTGAGTACCATGGCCTCAGACTTTGAGATGCGCATCATCACATCTGGTTGCAAACTGTCCTGGTGCACACTGGAGGTCACAGTTTATGCTCGCCACTCCTCAGGTACATCTGGGGGTTCTCCCAATGATATTCATAAGAGGAACAACCGAGGCAAACTCCAACACCCACAAAGAAAATGTTTTTTTGGTTATACAAGAACTGGATAGAGTATCACAGGCTACCCGTATTTGCGCGGTTCCCAGTGGGACACGATCACACACCTACAAATAAAAAGGTATGGGACTGGATGGGCAAATTCCCATGACCAGAGGTTCCCTCAAACCTGGAGCTTTTTAACAATCTCAGTGACTGCCGCCAAAGTTGAGATCATTGTGACTGTTTGTTGGTGGCTCAGTGAGAGAGCGGGTCGTCCTTCAATAAGAGGATAATAATAATAATAATAATTGATATAGCACCTTTAAAAACTGAGTTTACAAATTGCTTTGACAGACAAAGCAGCAAAAGCGAGGCGATAAAACAGAAAGCTCAACAAAGCATGAAAAGGTAAGAGTTAAACCCGGGTAAAACTTTACAATAGATGAAACGAAAGAAAAACAGTCAATACGATAAAAATACACTAAGAAATAAATAACAAAATAAAATAAATTTTGTAAAAGAAATGTAGTAAAATCTAATAAAAATAAAGCAGTAAAGCGACGACATCGCATAAAAGCCAGTCTGTAAAAATAGGTTTTAAGAAGTGATTTAAAAGAGATTACTGATCCTGCGAGTATGAATGTTAGCTGGTCCTGATGAACAGGTGGCACCTTGAATGGTAGCCCCGGTCATCGGTGTATCAATGATGAATGATGACATGTTGTGTTGAAGCGCTTTGAGTGTTCGGAAGACTAGAAAAGAGCTATACAAGTACAAGTTAATTTACCATTTAGGCTTAGTTGTAAATATCTTAACTCCTTGCGTCAACTGCCAACACTCACAACTGCCTTCTCTTGCTCCGAAAAACTCACTCAGTGTGAGGTTTGTGGGCTAACAGCATACTATACTACAGAATGGAACGGTGGAAGTAAGATCTATACCCACCAAACATCTGAGGAATTGATTAGTGGGTTGGCCTTCATTGCCTCAACAAGTTGCTGCTTTGTCTCGACATCCTTGCTGTTCTTGCATTCTGACTTTGTGCCAGTCATCTGCAACACAACTCTATCCAGGATATAGGTCAGTGTTACTCCACTCTAATGAATCATACTGTGAGTTTCTCACAGTTGTACGGCCTTCTGCAGGACACACTTCAGATGAGAGTTCTGTACTATACATATACTGCAGCTGTAAAAGTTCATTTCAATGCTCTGATTTATAATTTATGCTTTTCTTACCTCTTGCGAATGATATCTGTAATATTTCAGTAAGAGCAGGGCCGTAATTATGTTTGAAGGCTCCGAGGTCTGGCCCTTGGTACTCAGCTCTACAGAGGAAGAGCAGCACTGGCACAAACCAGCAACTGTGGCAAGTCTGAGAATAATGTCATTATAATTCAAATACCAAAACACACTAATTACATACACTCATTTCTGTATGGTAGAGAAAATGTCTTTGACGTCTACAAAACCAAAGCAGAGTTCTATACTATGACATTTTCATTGCATGCTGTAACAGGATTGTACGGAGGACACAGGAAATAGTGCCAGCACAGCATTTAGAGGCAGAGTCAGTTCTGCAGTTTTCAGGATCTTTAATGAAATAAACTCCAAGTAACACAAAAACTGAAAAACCTAGCTCAGTCCAGAGCTCTAGCACAAAACTAAACTGTTTCAGCCGGGCTGCTAGCCGGCCTACCGGTCTCAATCCTCTCCAATCGGAGACCTTAGGAAGGCGTGACCCTGCTCCTCCCGCAGCATGCTCTCCGCATGCTCTCTCTGATCAGCTTTCCTGCGTCACCTTTATTCATCTCCCTGATGAGGAGATCAGCTCCAGGTGTGTTCCTTCCCACACCTCATCCCAAAGCTCTCCTGAAGGAGTGGGTGGAGCCTTCTGGCTGGAATGTATACGCCTCTAATTACCCTGGAACTCAGCCCCTTACAATACCTTGAGATTTAAAAAAATATATTTTTCATTTCTCCTTATCACTTCTTTATGGCTTAAAATATGGCTATGACATATGACAGGTTGCAAGGCTGAGACAGACAACCATTCATGCTCACGTCACCTACAGGCAATTTAGAATCATCAACTAACCTAAGCTGCATGTCTTTGGACTGTGGGAGGAACCCGGAGAGAACCCACGCTGCCACAGGAAGAACATGCAAACTCCACACAGAAGGCCCGTCTACCCGAAGCCTGGCTCCTCTTGCAGTGAGGCGACAGTGCTATGTTATGACTATACTATACATATATACTATATTATTCATTTGATCACATACTCGTTATGTAAACATTTTTTAAGACCCAAAAGCAGGACTTGCAAAAGCTTGCAATTTGAACATGGTTTGTTGATGGTGGAAGGAGCAGGCAGAGAGAGCTTGAGCTGTACTACTATGACATCATTTTTTATGGCACACTAAATGATGTTTATACAAAACTTTTATGGTATACTATACAGTGAAATTCTTTATGATATTTTCATGCCATACTATATTTTTTATATTATGCCCCACCCATCAGGACTTAACTAAGCATTCACACCCACACGTATCCGAACACATGTCCACTGAACGAGCAGTTTGCAGTTCAAAGTTTGCTCAAGGACACGTAGACATGGACTGGAGGAGGCGGGGATCGAACCACCAGACAACCCAATGTGTGAAACATGTTGAACTTCTTCAATTCAATGTTGTTGAAATGTTGTTCTGTTTTGTGAAATGTGTCGTTTCCTGAAATGTTGCATTTTTTTGTTAAATGTTGTGTTTTGACACTCAAACCCAATGCCAGTTGATCGGGAAAAATGGCAAAACAGGAAGTGACTCAATTTATGACATAAAATAATTAATTTGAATATAAATTAAAATATTAATATAAATTGAATTAATATATTTTGTAAGATTGTAATTGCCTGTCGCGTGAGTACTGAATATATTTAGGATTCCTACATAAAAGGTATTAATGTACTACATTAGACATTTAGAATAACAAAGACAGTTCTAACATATTGAGTTCAAAAGTTGGTCTTTTTACTTTTACAATGAAACAGAAAATGTTGGCCACGTCGCTGTGCGAGACTGCCCACTGTGTTAAATAAAGTCATGACCTGTCGAGAGCTGCAGGAAAGATTGATTGTGTCTGAAAATGATCACCGTCTGTCTGCAGAGACTTTATCTCTGAACCCCAAAAAGAGTTTCCTTCCTGTTTTCACCCCTCTGCATTCCAGCATGGGAGGCTTGTTTCCACTTCGGAATGTTTATGGCTGGCCATGAGGAGAGCTCAGCCATGTTTCCACACAGTGAGGTATTGTACTACTGTGCTGCAAAGAAAGTCCCATGAGTCATTGCCTGCGACCTAGATTTGAAGGCTAAATGATGAGGAATTTGGAATTCTGCCCCTTCAAGACTACAGATAATAATAAAACACTTTTGCTTTGTGAAAACTTTATTTGGTGGAAAAAGCAACTGCCAAAAGCTGATATAGAGAAATGCCTTGTTGGCGACGTACATGTAAACATTTGGTTTCATACTAAAAGCACAAAGGGTCATGAACCAGAGCAGCCGCAGTGGTGAGACTATGTCAAAAAATCTGCTCACATTTTCTGCTCTTCATTCCAACAGAGTACATCGTTTAAACTTAATCAGCACATGTGGTTCACATTTGGTTATGGAAGGACAACTTACAGCAATAAAGAAACCTGCCAACCAACAACCATAGATAACATCACAATGTTTAATATCTGCTCGAACACTCTCTCAAACTTACACGTTGAGTTCACTGTGGTACCTGAAAATACAATTTGACACAAAGCATCAAATTTGGCAACTGCACTCAAATTAATATTAGTGTTTTACAATTTGTAATTCACCCTACTAAATGTTTACCGTGTGTTTATTATAGAGGCCCAGCAGCTGTGGTGCAGTCTTTTGCATGTGACAACGTCATGGAAAATGACCCATTCCCTACTTTCGGTAACATAAGGGGACATGCCTTTGTTGGCCAACAATTAGACAAAAGTTCAATTTCATCTCTGTGTCCAGTACGGAGATAAGTCTGGGATTATTCTTAGCTTGAGCACAAACAGTCAGTCTTAAAGCTATGCTAAAGCAGTCGTTCTATAGTAAAATGGATCAAATGAGTATATGAAAGAGGTCACTCCTAGTGACGGATCCACAGAGAATTAACACTTGTACATCTCCTGCCCAGCACCAAACTAAGCACTGTTTTCTTTCCCCTGCCTCCTGGTCCAGCCTCGCTCTCAGGCTCATTCACATGAATGGAGGAAGGAAGATAACTCTGGATTTGGCAATTAGTGTATTTTACAACTTTTAGGACCTGATCATTTAAATAATGGCTGTTCATTTGTTCGTACTGGGCAGTTGGTTTACCTAAAAACGTGACGGACCCGGAAATTGTAATTCCACCATTTGGCCACTGTGTAAAATTGCTCCAAAGCCTGGTGCTTCCCTGGAGGCTTGAACAAGTCAAGCTCACTGGGGGTCAGGTAGGCCCACAACCTTTTGTCCTCTCATCCTCAACCAGAGGGGCGAGACATGATGTATCATTCAAATGGAGAAAACGGCACAACCAATCCTCAAAGACATCCGTAGTCTTGTCCTCAGTTGTTGAAAGGTGACTCACATATTTAAGTAAAAATGAAGAAAGGGGGCTTGAGGGAGAATTTCAAACCCTGCCCATACCTATATGAATTGTTCATACTTTTACAGCCCACCTAAATCATAACAAAGTTGGGGGAAGATGTTTCAGGCAGAGGTGAGACCAAGTCATTGTCTCACAAATCACAAGAGTGTCTAGTCTTTACACTCAAGTCCCAAGTCAAGACAGGCAAGTCCTGAGTCAAGACTGACAAAGCCCTAAACTTTGAGTTTTGAGTCCTAAAGAAGTCCTTATGTGCTCTTCGCCCAATGAAATGCCTTTTTAACAGAGTAAATGGCACCAACTGGTGCTGTGTAACGTATTGTTAGTTCTTCATGTTTTTTCCTGCAACTTGTTGTCGGATTGGTTAAAAACAAAGTGGATCTGGGGAATTAAGTGTCAACTTCTGGGAATGAATAGTGTTAACGTTAGTTGATTCACTAAATGAAGGGAAATGAATTGATTCGTGGTGTAGAGGATTGCCTATTTGTTCTTGGGGTGCTAGCCAGATGTTCATCCAACAATTTCATGTTTGAGATTTTTTTTATGGTTAATCCCCCACATCAATACATGAATCATGGCCCCATACAGCTGCTTCTCTGAAATCAAGTAAAACACTATATCAGAATGCACTCAAATAATCAAGCAGTAATCAGAGCCACAATGCAAAGCTGTACCGGAGGTATAATGTAAAACCACACCCTACAAAAGTCAAGTCCTGATAATCAAATGCAAGTCCTAATAATATTCACTAAAAAACGGAGTCTAGAGTTGAGAGTTCTTTTTCGGGGATTTGGCAATACACACAAAAAAAAGTTTGTTTAGTTATTTCTCCGTGACTAAATTATCGTTCCAAACAAATCAAGTAAATTAACCCAACATCTCCGAAGCAGTCAGAGTCATCTACCGGTACCGGGAAGTTGATCAGTTTCGTGCGCATGCTTTTTAAATAACATCATCTTTCATCTTTGGGTTTGAGGGAAGTTATCCATTTTCAGGTGACAGTGAAGTCACTTGGAGTCGTTGGTGTTAATCAAGTCGAGTTGAAAGTCTTTGTTAAGTCATTTTTAAAGTCATCAGATTTGTCACTTGAGTCTGACTCGAGTCCAAGTCATGTGACCCGAGTCAACGCCTCTGGTTTGGGGACTGTTAGATGATCTGACAAGCACAACATACTGATGCCTCAACTTCCAAAGAAGTGTAAACTCAAGTTGTTAACTGGTAAGTTCCATGATATGCAGGTTTATGAGTTGTCATACGTTGTCAACATGATGGAACATTGCCAAAACAAATATTAAATCGAGGAAGCTATGCATTGCCTGTCTCGCATGTTTTTGTCGGATTATTTCTTTAAGGGTTTTTAGGATTGAGACCTAGAACAAGGAAGTCCATTAGAACCAATGTATTTCAGAGGTGATACAACTTTAGGGCTCAGATTGGATGGATCTGAGATACACCTTCATCCAGCCACACTCAAGCTGTACTACAGCACTTTGTTTGGGGCTATAGGAACTTATCTTCCAGCAAAAGATACAATGCAAGTCATCGTCATTTACAATAAAGGGTTTTAAAGTTTTGTAATGAAAGCTGCCTGGCCTAAATTCATTATCTTTTAATCAAACCTAAAATAAATCAGGTTTCATTGCAGGTTTCCCCAACTGTTAAGCAAACCCCCCCCCCGCAGCACTCTGTAATGGTTCCTCTTAATAACACTCACTCGTTGAGGTCAGGGTCCGTCCATCATATCTGCAGTGGACCACACTGGCTGATGATTAAATGCCAATATCGACAAAACTAAAACTAAAACCCTTTCTTCCTTTTTTTTGTGAATAAATGGTGCAAAGTGTAGTCCACTGTGCAAGACACAAGACACTTTGTTAAGAATCATCTATAGTCAAATGATAAGTGATGAAAGCAGAGTTGATGAAGGTGACTGAATTGTTAGGATTGCACTACGTTTTTAATGTATAATGACTTGAATACTTTGACGTACACAGACTTGATCTTATTAACCTCTATCATTCAATACAATTCTGTTTGTTCATTTGAAATTGAAGTTGCCATTGGTGCATTTATTTTTGGGTCAGACTGGCAATCACAAGCCACACCCAGTGACTCTCAGTATCCATCCATCCATTCAGCAAAGTAGTACAAAAACCAGTTCTGATGGGAAGCAATGCAGATTCTGGATGGACACTAGAGGGGTCATTGGAGTTTTGTGGACTTGTATTTATTTATGGAAGCTTTTGACCATGTCTGCCAGTCAGAAAACTGCTTTAGAGCAAATTCACCATAATCACCATCGTTTTAAAAATAAAATTATGGGAAATTATCAATTCAACTGTACATTCATCAACATTGCTTTTATCTTTTTGTGATGTGAATGATGTGAATGTGAGCCATGATTGCTTCATATGAACATCAGATTTCTGAGATACTTGTACAGCAAATGTGTCTACTGGTTCAACAATGTATAATCAAAGTGAAACATAACATATATTATAGGGTTTGGGTTTATGCCATTCTGTAGGGTGTACATGGACATGTTCCAACGTTGACCTGGTCTGAGCAGATGGAAGGCACAGCTGTACATCCTGGATACCAAAACTGCATTGCACCATGGGCTTCTTTTACTTTGGTACCGTTAATAGCCAGTTCCCAAAGTACCAGAAGAAGTGTGCGCTTGACAAAAGTTCCACTGCACTGATGCAGAGCTTCCACCATCCACCGTGTTCTTACATGTTGATCTAACTCCACATGAGAGAGGCGCTTCCGATGTCTACTGCATGATAACGTCAGGTTCGATGTTGAAGAGCAGATCATCATTGTCCCTCCTGACCTCCAGCAGAAGGGCTGTCTCCTCCTGCAGTGCCCCCTGCAGGTCGGCCGTGGCCATCAGCGGTTTGCCATTCAGTTTCACAATAATGTCACCATCTTTGATCCCGCCTCTGGAGACAAAGAGAGGAGTGAATAGAGCCTGTTACAAGTAAAGCATTCATTTTACTTCAGAAATGAGTAACAGACTGGATACTGCTTTGGTTTGAGGAATGAATATATAATAAAAACCTACTTCTGTGCAGGTGAGTGAGGTACAACTTCATGAACATAAATCCCACTGGTAACATCGGGGAAGTCTGGGTTCTGTTTAAGCTCTTCAATCAACCTGGAACCAACAAATATTATTATCATTATCATTCATTTCATTCATTATCATCTAAACAAAGTTCAGGAACCACAAGGTGTATAAATACTAATACATACTGTGTCTTTATTTAACCTTTATGTATGAGAGCCTCATTGCCTTGTTTTCAAGTGTCAGAGTCCTGACTCAGACTGATAGATAACACAAAATATGAATTTAACAAAGATAAAAAATGTTTGACAACTAAATTTTCAAATTCAACACATAACAGATTTAATTATAGGAGCGACCCAGATGGCACCCTAAAACCACCCATACTTGTCCGATCTAAAATCATAAACCAATGAATAGCACGAGTCTAAAACACACACAATTCAATTTACACAGAGAGAGAAAATGTTGCAATTTAAGCTAACCTCTAAATACAGACAGTTTCGGCGAGAGGCAGCGGTATACATGAAGCTTTTACCAAGTTTACAATATACAGAATCAAAGGCACGTAAGCACTGAAGAGATGCATGTAGAGTGCATCCTCATGGTCAAGCAAAGACGAACAAAATGGCTGAAACAAGCTACCATTAAGCTGAGATATGCCTGGTTTCAAAAATAAAAACTGAATTGCCTGTGAAAGGAGAAACATTCCTCATAGTTAGCCACGGCCTGTTACAGTGGTTGGGTGGTCCAATAACTTCAAGAGCTGTGGATTTAGATGCTGCTGCTGTAACCTGCTGTGAGCTGGAAACCTGTGGTCTATTATGTAACATACTTTGAAAAAGGGCAGCAGTTGAGTATTTTGACAAAATTGAAAATTGATTATTCAATTAACAACATAAGATGCCATCACTCTATTGTTATCTCTTTTCCTATTCACACAATAGTTGTCATTAGTTTAGACTTACGCTGGTGTGATGGTCAGCATCCTGATTCCAATGAAGCGTTTCTTTATTGACCTTACATCTGAAAGAGACTCCAGTTAGTTTCTGTATATTCAGCGGGACACTTGAAGATGTTTAATCCTGGCCCAATGACATCACTGTCAGACACACCTTTGCTGTGCTTGTCGAGTGAATCGTTGAGGAAGCGAGTGATCCTGTCGGAGGGAATGGCAAATGAGATTCCTGCTGCAACCTTCAGGGTGTTGATGCCAATCACCTCCCCATCCTCAAATACAGAGACGCAGCAGGACAAAGTCAATGACCATTTACATTTTCAGAATGTTAGGGTAATTTTTTTATCTCAAGGCAAATTACAGATAGTACAACCGTAGAAAAGGTTTCTTAGGTTGGTGTGATCGAGAATAAGCTGTTAGTGCAAAGCCACCAGCACGAAGCCAAATGCAGTGGTTGTGCAATTTGTATTTGAAGTGAACAACCAAACCCAGGCGAGAGAGAAAGGTATTTTACAGCAAACAAGCTTTGAGGTAGGAAACCAAAAGCTCACCAAATTGACAAGAGGTCCTCCTGAATTCCCATACTGTGAAGGAAAACACAAAACAACAGTACTGTAGTGTAAAAACTGGACAATCTCACAACGTACAATATGGCATTTTTACAACTTACTGCACCGCTAAACAATCATTTTGACTCAAAGCACATGTTTTCTGCCTTGCTGTATTCTCACGTTGATTATAGCATCCGTCTGGATGTAGTCCATGTCGGAGTCCCTGAGGCCCAGCTCCTTGCCGTCTCTCTGGGCGGTGCTGACGATGCCTGTGGTGACGGTGTTCTGGAGGGCGAAGGGGCTGCCAATGGCAACCACGAACTCCCCGGGCCTCAGGTCTGCACTGTGGCCCAGAAACAATATGGGCAGTTTCATCTGGGAGGAGGCACAAAGGGTAAGATAACGCTGTAGCAGGATGTAGGATATTAGTTTCAAGCCTGAAAGCTAACCAGGTACATCTCGCTGTAAATAAAATAGCGGCGTGCACCTTGTTGAACCCAGAGGTCAAAACCAGAGGTTGCACTGCAATGTAAAAGACAATCATAAAGTATTATTGAGGCAATAACTTTTAATGTTCACCTCCATACGCAGTTTTTGTTTTTCCGTCTCTTCAACATTATTGGTCATAAAATGTGCATGCTTAGAGAGCAAAAGTACAAAAATATAATACTGCTTGTGAGAAATTGAACTTTCCGTTAATCTGTGCTGCATTCCTCTTTCACAGCTGCTCCTCTGCTCATGAATCTTCCATACGCAAAATGACACAAAATGACCTTGTGCCAGAAGCCTGTACATTTACACGTTTCACACTCAGGAAATACAACCCAATGTGTGTTAAAACAAAAACTGCAATGACTTCAGTTTGTGACAGACAAAAGTTTTAACTGCTAATTTAACAGTTCCAAGAACCCAGTGTGCAAGTATAGCAAATAGAGGTTATAAAACCTCACATGAGCAACAATCTGTCTGGAACATGAAGACAAATTAAATGAAGTATGGAAAACCATGAATAACAGCCTGATGATGATGATAACGGCTGTAAAACATACACAGTCAATAAAAGCACATCTGTAAAGTCCAACATGACCTTAAGTATCACTATGCAGCAATATACTGTGCGATATATACCAAAGAAAGCAGGTTGTAAGGAGACACAGGGAAAAGGGGGAGGGGCTATGACGAGAAGACGGGAAAGGGAGAAAAAGGAGCTGAGTAGAAACACATGCTGAGCAGACAGATGGTGTGACTAAAGGAGAGGAGGAATGGGCAGGAAGGGTTGCTTTAAGGTGGAGCACTTTTGGATCGTGTTTCTCTCTCTCACTCCTCCCTGTGCTGGTCCCGATCCAGCTCTCTCAGCTCTAATGCAGAGATGTCAACTGAGGTTCAACTCATATTGGTTTTCGAAAGCAGATATTTTTGTACTGGATAACCCACCCATCGGTGTCCTTACCTCTACAAACACATCTTGTGTGGCGAAGAATTGTCCAATGATTGTTCAGTGATGTATATATACATTACACAGTATATATATATATACTGTATACACGGTATACTTTCACTAAACTATTGGAACAAGATGATAGGGTGATCAAGGTGGAACCGATTAGAATTTGGTTAGTAATTAGAGATTTACTTTTACAGCAAAACTATATGCAGGATGCAGTCTTCAAAAATATTATTGGAAAATTAAATAAATATCTCACATGAGCATAAGATGCAGTAAATCAGCAAACTAATACAATTTGGGAATTGAGCAGACTAAGAAAAAAGCCTATAATCCCTGAGCTGGTGCGAGCTGTGGGTGTTGCTGTGCAGTCTGCTGGAAGTATTCGGTGTCACCTCAAGGGTGCTTTGGATTCTGACTGTTGGTCAGACACACACTGTAAACACACATATTTAGTCTGCTGATGTTGGCGAAATGCCAGAAAAGTCTCATCACGCTGCTGGAGTTCTACATCATTTTAAACAGACACTGGTTTGTTTACATCCACAGTTTATCCTTAAAACTACAGTTGATAACTTTAATAAAAATAACTTTTGATCATATTTGGTCAAGCTGTCACTATGTAATGACAGTATTACATGAGACAGATATTCCTTTTAATGCTCCTAATGGCATTAGCAAGTATCCACCACGCACAGAGCTTGTGAACCTTTGTGAACTCTGGTCAAACTGTCAAACTAGGCTAATCATATATGAATAAAGAATCTCTTACTGCATTGCCTTTCTCTCGCCTCAAATGTTTTCTGAAACATATTCTAGTGTTTGGATGTAAAATGAAATAGTTGGCTCTACTGGGCCACCATGTTGAAAACAGTCAACATGATAATTATAGGAGATCTAAATACATTTTCAGCCAATATATAAACTTCCCTGCTTGACAAAAATCCTGGAATCACTGGTAAATAACCAATGCAAAGCATTTCCCTCCAAATATCCTGTTTTGAGCCCCCAGTCTAGTTTCAGATCTATAGTACCATACCTCTGACTCTGTACAACTTGCTGTTGAGAACCTACAACTTTCCTTTAGTGCTTTTTAAAATACAATAGTCCATTTTTAGCTAGTCCTTGATGCAGGCTAAACAAAGCTAATGCTTATTGATTTGAACAATTTTCACCTATGCACATTGATTGGTAGGAATACTGAGAGAGTAGCAGAGTATGAATCCCGAGGTATTTTTCTTGAAGAATCATTTACATTTAAATACATTTACATATCCTTTTAAAAATCTCATCAACAAACTCGGTCAACAACTTAACATCAACAGAAAGAGATCCACCTTCCTATTGAAGTGCAGAACAAAAGTTGAGACAGTCTCAGTCAGCGGAGATTACTATTGGTCTGTCCTCTCTGGCAAACAGGCGTAATCGACACCTGTATCTTTCCATCTATATGTCCCTTATTGGACATTCATCACCCTATATAACGTCCATGCTATGGAACATTTACCCTGATGCATATCCCCACTTTACCTCCACCAGTACTTTTTTAGTTGAAGGTTCTGTGTTGCTTGTTTATTCTCATGTGAGTAGATGGTCTATCTCAGAGCGGCAGCAACACTATTTCATTCCGTTCTAATCTATTGCTAGTTGAGAACATCCCATAAAGCTGTGCACTTACCTGTGAATTGATTTTGATGGTAGCGATGTCTGACTTCTTGTCAATGTCTTTGATGTTGGCTTCATATACATCACCATTATGCATCTGGACCTGCAAGGAAGAACGGAAGAAATGTAACATCTCAAATGAAATCTAATTCATAGAATAGGATTTGGTTTGATTCGTATTTTTGAAGTTAGCTTTGTATCAGATATAGTATTATCCAACACTCAATGTTCTGCAGTGCCCTATGCATCTTCTAAATAACCGAGCTAAATTGTGTTTGAGCCAATGGTGGTTCAACCAGATATCATCTTTTAAGGTCATTGCCAACATCTTGAATTTGCAAATAGCCAGTATTTGGTGCCAATGTTAAACGTTGATATATTCGTCCATTTGAGTGCTAAACATTGACAAGTATTGAGGATTTAACATCAAATTGTTAACCCTGTTACAATGGATGAATCCACGAAAGAAACCTGAATAACAATTTAAAAAACGTGCATTCTCATAATTGTTTTCTTTCTGAGAGTTAGAAGAGAAGATCCATATTAACGCCTTGTACAGAACTAGAGTCAGGACGCAGTTAGCCTAGCATAGCATAAAGAAGTGGAAGTAGAGGGAAACTGCTGGCCACTAAGATAAACTGATGTTTTTTAAGAAATAGTTCCAGCATGTAACTCCTCCTTCAACCAAAATGTGTCGTTTTTACATTCCTGTTTGTGTGCAGATTACATAGAAGATACAACATGTTCATCAGTGAGCCTTAGAGGTATTGGTAGGTGTATCTTTTTACTGTGGATGGAGTCAGGCAAGGCCGACCATGTCCTTACTCCAGCTCTGTTTTTTCTAATTCATCCTCACAGTCTTCTTTTCACCCAAGGATACTATTGGCAAATCAATTTCAATACAACTTGAGTTGACTTAGTAAGGACTAAGCATGTGGGAAATGTGAGCATTTAAAGTGAAGCATAAATGATTAAAACAGTATTTCATTACCTTGAGGTGCTGTTGACCGGACACTGGTGTGGTGCTGGATACTACGTGGGCGTTGGTAACAATCAGTCCGTTATCTGACATCACAAACCCAGATCCACTAGAAAGAGGGATGTTCCGACCGAAGAGAGGATGCCTGGGGTGTGAATAAAACAATGGTTTGTACTGAAATGCTAACACAACCCCTCCAAACACACGTACACACAGCCAGTACCTGAGGAAGAGTTCGATGTGGACCACAGCAGGGGCGATTTTCTCCACCACGTCGGCTATGAAGTTGAACTTGTAACGAGGACTGGCAGCATGTGAAGGACCTATACTGGCAAGAAGAATTATGTATTTCAACACTTTGATATAGGGATAATCAAATAAAATGAAGACTGGTATAAGCAAGAAGAAAGCCTGTTCCAGTAATCTAATAATAATCATGGGTAACTTTCTCAATGTCGTGAACTGGAAGGATTGATGTAAAGGTGGCAGGAAATGAGCTTTTTGTGAACTCAAACATAAACACAAGTCAAAACGGAGTCCTAAATTCTTGCACATCGGCATTAGATGGCTAGATAACGGAATGTTTTGACAATAACAGTAGAAAGATTAGCAAAGATTAATATCTCAGATTTGTTTAGGTTCATCCAGTCTACTGAAATGATTAGGATTAAAAGAAAGGCACACCTCCAATACTAGCATGGGAATCAAGGACTGACCCCTGCGCTACTCCATTAAACACTGGGTGGACAGTGTAGGAATAGTTACCAATCATGACAGAAACCTTCATGTCAGGTGAAGTACACCGAGTACGATTAGAACCACACCACTGACCCACAGCACTTAAATGGAACAGCACTTCCCAGAATGTTGCATCCATCAGACTGTCATAGTGGCACAAAGCAGTGTTGCTTGTGTTGTACGGTGATGTTGCCAGACTGACATTTTAAAATGAATTGTTTGATTGTATGTGGTTCCTAAGAAGCTGCTCAGAGAGAGCTGCAAGAGTCGTGAGCCGATTCGGACCAATAGTAATAACTTCCGTTTATAAAGTGGAATCCACACAAGATGATACATACTAGGCAGCTAGCTCATTTTGACCCTTTAGGGCCTCCATACTTAACAACCTCTGATGGTGGCAACTAAACCCTTTTTCACGGAGTTCTCTGGCTGACTTCCTGATGTGCAGTGAACACAGTCGAATGTAAGGAGAGTTAATCTGGGTCAGGACATTGCAAAGCAGTCCCCTCTGTTCCACGACCCAAACAATAACAAACCCACCTGGTGGCACAAACCTGGCAGCACTGATGGAAAACCAAGTTAGCTTTGCCAGGATCATAACCTCCTTCACTGCTCCACCAGTAATGATGAGTTACACGTTGTTGCTAAAGTACTGTACACTGCTGAGCCAAGTTGGCTTTCAGGGTTTGTGATTTTAGACTGAAACAAGATTCTCAAATGACAGACAGTATCCAAACCAAATGCTGTAGCCAGTGGGTTTATGTTTTTGACATAACTGGTCTTTAGGATTTCACATTTCTTAATACACAGCCTTTAAATATCATTCAATCACCATTCAAATATTTTCTTCAAAGGGAAAAACCTAATCAATTAATAAATCTCCACAAAGCTAAACTGCAGAGTCTGCGATTATTTCGCTACAAGCCTTTCATCTCACACGCAGTCTTTTGATCCACTGGTATTAAGTGCAGCTTCAATTTCCACATTGCCGTAGATCCCCATGGCAGGAGTAGAGCCCTGCCCCAAGTCAAAATGTTTGTTTGTTTCCATTAATAAGGTAATGTTCACTTTCATAAGAAAGAGAGAAAACACTGCTGTTGCTGCTGGTAGAGAGTTCAAATAAATGAGCAGAGGGGCGGGTGTTTAAAACAACACATGCGAAAACTGTCATGACCTGCAATGGAGTTAGAATCACTTACACGAGACATTTGGGAAAGACCCAAGAATACAACTGTACTAAACACATTTAAGTTGATTAATCGAGGTTTTAAAGCTCCGCTACTGATTTGGGGGACAAACTTGCTTGGTAAAAGAAAATGATGCTGAATGATTTACCACAAGCGATTTGGGAGTTGGGACTTGCAGGTCAGTCACCCATATATTTTTAGTTAGCCACGCCCGTAAGCATGCAACGCTCCAGTGACATGGTGTGTGTGTGTGTGTGTGTGTGTGTGTGTGTGTGTGTGTGTGTGTGTGTGTGTGTGCCAGCCACATACCCTTTAAAACCTTGACAAAATAAAGGGTTTGTGATCAAAGGGAAATGTAAATAGAGTCTGCCACAACTCTGGGCTGCAGGGACTTCCTGTTTCCTCAGTTGATATCTCACATTGGTATGTGTGTGTGTGTGTGTGTGTGTGTGTGTGTGTGTGTGTGTGTGTGTGTTTCAGATGATTGTAACCCCTTGAGCAGGGGATTGTGGGGATGATTGTAACAGTCAGCAGCAATCTGTTTCATTCATCAGCACCGAACAGACGGTCTGTCCGTCTGTCCGTCCAACGCATCGTATCCTGGCCCGACATGTACTGTGGCTACGTGTTGTACTTAATAGGATGCTTCCAAATGTTTTCTCTGACTGTTCCTTTAACGTCAGCATCAGGCAAATGTAACAATTAATTACAACACATAGCTACGTTTTGAACAAAAACATAGACTATTGCCTGACAAATTGCAGGAATTAATCAGCTGATGATGATCACAGAAAGGAATTTGATTTTATAACTCATTACATTCGTATGTGTATTACAACGTGTGGAGTCAAACTGTAGAATTCTCTGGGGAATTCAATGTTATTCAATGTAAGAAAATACAAGCTTGACGAGTGAAGTTTGCGCTTCGTCTTTTAGCTTCAACACACTAAAGCTCGTAAATGTAAAAGACAACAAAACTGTCTGCAAGTGGCCTTTCACAGTGTGCAGAGCTGAACTCAGTGGCTGGAGGAGATGAAACTGACCCTCTCCCTTTGTTTGGAACAGTGTGGTGAATGTATTTAGCTGCAGTCTGTGAAACGCTTCCTCCAAGCAGCCGTCGTGCTCTACTTTTACAAGTTAAGCTTGTGAGAGGGAGAGATGGTGAGAAAGTGAGACAAACGAAGAAAGTAAAACATGTAGTGAAGGAAGGATGATTATTTAACGGCCAGTAACTTTTCTCCCCGCTATGTTTTGAATGGTGACGGCAGTCTAATAAACTGGAGAGCTGTGGGTAGGAGCCTGTATATCAGTGTGACAGAGGAAATGAGGAACATGTGCAGAAGTGTGGACAGGAGAATGACTGTAAAACAGCAGATGCTGGAACTGGTCCACAAGATACTGGCCATGTGTGTGCTTGTATGTGTGTGTGTTTCTGCCATCATGCACACCATATTTATTATCTCTGCCAGGTCGTAAGCCTGTGGGGAGATTATGCGTTCGGTCATGTGTGTGTGTGTGTGCGTGTGTGTCTGTCAACAGCTAATCTCCCATACTGCTGGACCCATCAGCCTGATATATATTTTTTATGCTCCTTTCAAGGCCCTCTAATAGTTGTGGTGATTCACAATTTTTGAAAAACATTTTATTGACTGTTTTATACCGTCATTGGCTGCTGACTCCTCACTCCTCTTAACCGGCCGGTCGGGGTCGCAAGTAATAAACAATCGCTTAGGTAGCAAAAGGCATTTCCTGCAATCAGCTCGGTTAAAAACAATAGTTAGGCACAAATTGGTATGTATAAATCTGCAACTTTTCAGTGCTAATTAATACTGGGAGATCATCGAATCAGATCAGATCATCTTTAAGTTTCATCCTCTGGGGACAACCAGTCTATGTACAAAAGTTCTTGGCAATCCACCCAATAGCTGCCAAGATATTTTACTCCAAACCAAAGTGGTTCGATGTATCAACTGACTAATATTGCTATCCATTATAAACTTCTAGAATGTAGATCTGGTTGCCCCTTACATGAGGAACGTTGTTTACGGAGAAAGGCCTGTACATGAACTCTGTGTTTGGGTTGAGGGAATTATCTAGGTCAGTCTCCAGGACAGACGAACATCTCTTTACAAGAGGTGTGGTTCATTCCAAATAACTGGTTCTGGGCCGCTTTAACAGGCTGTTAAACCTGCACCTGCCCTCTAACCAGTATTTATTGCTGCTGTGAATCATTACTCTGGTGACCTTATTAATCTGGCTCTTATTAGTGTGGAGACAGGGCGGTTTGTTGAGGTGGGGGTTAAGGCCCGGACCGCACACTCTACCGATGAGTCAACATGATTGTGGGAAACACATTTCGACTCTAATGACAGCAGACTGAGGCTCACTTTTGGCCTCAGAAATAGCAGCAAGTAAAAACAACTGTTATCGGTGAAGTGCTAAAGTGCAGAAGTTTTTTTTTTCTGGTGTTTTTTGTTCCCAAACAGAGGAGGGCCAACCCTGATGTACCACCAACAGAGACTTACGTATGTGGCTAAGTGTAAATGAAAGTGTCTTAAATCTCATTTGGATTTTATCCGGATACATTTAAGATGACGGATGGATTGGCACATAATGTTTCTTTTAACGGAGACATAACATAATTAGTTACATAAAAGTCAACAGGTTGTCTACTCTACTGGGAAGGCCAAAGCTCTGCTCTATTGATGCCCCAGTGACTTATTGGCAAACAAGGCAACTGTTGTACTGTACTTTGATGCAAACATCGAACCATCAGAGAAGTATTGGACGAAGCATTTTGGTTTCGTCACCAGCGATGGGAAAATTGTTGGAGAAGGTATTGCTGTTTTTCTACAACATATATTTTTATTTTTATTTTCTCCTTTTTGAAATAAAAGTTGGCTTATTAATATAATTGCTCGGTTATTTTATTTTATTACATTGTATATATTGTGCATTTTCTACACTTAATATTTTTATTTTATTGTGTAACCCTGTTTGCTGCTGCCACAGACAAATTTCCCCTTGGGGATGAATAAAGTACTATTCTATTCTATTCTATTCTATTCTAATTTATTTCTGAAGATAATATAACAGAAAATCAAAGTAGTTTTTGTAAAGGGCTCTGCTTAGGGTCCTACAAATATCTGGTCCGGCCCTGCAGTGCTTCACCGACTGTCTGATTAACTAAATGATGCCATCAATGCGTAAATCGTACCTGTGCTGTTCTCACACGGTCCCTTCTGGACCTGGGTGATGCCCGTTAGTCCCTGCTGCAGCGCCTTCCAGCTGTTCGTCTTCAGCTGGCACACGTTGCCGTACGTCTTCCCGTCGCTGCCGCACACGTCCAGGCGGAACCTGCACCGACAGAAGCCCTTGGAGAGCCGCTTGCCCCCCGGGTGTTTGCACTCCAGTCCGTCCCCACAAGGCAGGTCGTCCTTGCGTCCGCACATTTCTCCCTCCGCCTGGGCGCACACCAGGCAGCAGTTGCAGCGGTCCGGCACGTAGCCGCTGGGGCAGCCGGGGCTCGGACAGGTACTCACATCGCACCGCGTCGGACACTTGTCTTTTGGCTGTGCGCCGGCGGACTCCTTGAGGTACAGGAACACGGCTGTGTATAGGAGGACTTGCATTCTTAATGGAAGATTTTCAGCGGATAGAGACGAAGAGAAGAGAAGTTTACGCGGAGATCACAATCCCTGGCTCCGCACTGCTCATCACTTTCTGGGGACGTTGCAGAAAGAAATCCACACACACGGAAGACAGAAAGACAAACGTCCCCTTAGTTTTGAAAAATACATCAGAATAAAGCGATCCTGATATTTAAAATTGGACAGTGAGTCTGTTATTGTTATTTTGCAGCCGTGCGTAATTGCGCGTCCAGCGGCGAACCAGCTGTTGGTAGAAAGCATCCAGTGAAGTGAAACTGGGTGTTTTCTGTCTGTCCAATGCACATCCACTCAGTTGGCAGGAGGAGCGCCTCTAGCAGCGAGGCTGGAGAGAGGGAGGAGATGTGGGAGGGAGCTGCGCTCTTGGAGGCGTGGCGAAGGAGCTCCGATGTTACCGTGTATGACCTCAGAATCATCCTGCCGTCATACATTTTTGGCAGGTCTAGTGGGTGCAGTAATGAGGGAGGCTGTTGAAGTTCTGAGGTCCCCTTAATGCACCAACGATTTTCTATCAATTTTAATAGATTTCATGTATTATGTTAAAATAGCAATAGCAAAGTTTTTTTGCTTTAACTTCTCATTATGAATTACCATAGAACATATTTGTATTGCCTTGATTGTTTTATAGTGTTTTGTATTCAAAGTTGTGAGAAACTTTTAACTGGTTATGAATCAGTCTCAGTTTAATCCTGATCCTCTATAAGACCTCCATCAGTAAATGAGACCATGGTCTATTTCTATATAGTTATTATTAATTCTCGTCATCGGTGACACCGCGTCAGATTCCGCACAAAATCAAATGAAACTATGCAGGTTCACCAGAAACTCCTCCGGTCCCCGCTGGTAGCCAACACCAACACCACATTGCCAGAGCCCCAGGCCGTATTGCTGGACCTGCTGGAGGGAAGGGAGGCACTGGGAGAACCAGAACCAGGACTGAGCATGGAACACTGTCAGACATCCTGCAGTAAAATGAGAGTTTTTCTAAAGGGAGTCTGGTGCTCAAAAACACCACCATGGGGACGGCCAAATATCATCAAAAAAGGAAAGTTCCTGGTAGTAACTTTAAACTTTCCATAAATGAGGAAATGTAATTTGTAGATTCTAAAAAAATGACGCAATATTGGTAGTTAGTTAGTGGTTGGCGGGTCAATGCACCGACATACATTATTTTCCTTTAACCCCAACTCCAGTCATTCTTTTGATGGATCGTCTGTTCAGGAACATTTGAGACATCCTTAAATGTTTGACGTCAGCAGCCCATGTGAGCCAAATTATGGCGTAGAACTGTAAGCCCTCTCAACCAATGAGTCGGCTCCACTACACAGACCCTTGAATCCCAGAGACAGAACTCAGCTTCATGTGCTTGCTGCTTTTCTTTTTTCCCCCCTTTTTTTCCAAAACATGAAGCCATTCTTGGGTGCAGACTGGGGATATGTGGACGACTGGACGTGCTTTCATACTGTCCCCTTGTAAGGGCAATTTAAGACGACCAGACCATGCAGTCACACACAAGCACACGCACACACACATTTAAACCTACTTTTAAAGGTGCTGGTTCACTCCAGAGGTGATTCCGACTTTTGTTTTTCTACTTCCTGTGAGAAAAGGAAACCTAGAGCAGCTGTGGCTAAACCTAAAGTTTTTCATTTAACATTACAGACCGTTATCCCAAGATAACAATGTAGCTATCTTGAGTCAGAGTTTGATGTGGCGTGAAGGTCAGTGGTGCTGCCACTTTGTGGCTTATATACTTGTAATGAGATGGGGGCCCAAAAAGCATTTTGCCCATAGACCTCCATTATAAAAAAGACATTTGTAAAATTGTTGACAGCACACCAACAGCAAACAAAAACATTAATATTTATTTTGTATTACCATTCAATGTGTGCATCATGAAGGTTTAGTGTCATTAAAAACTTTACAGACACTAGAAAAACAACAACCAGGAAGAGAGAAAACCCTTTAGCGTATGTATGGACTTGCAACTTCAATTGGAAGAAATGGGTGCCATCTTTGAGTCCACCCAGTCCTCAACATACATCCATGAATATGACCACAGGAAACGTGTGGTCTGGTAAAAGTACAATGTGTTCGACATTTATTCTCATATCAAAGCCGGCAGGGGCGTGGCCAGCTCAAATAAAAAAAGGCCATGTCACTCGTTATGGCCAGCTTAAGAATCATTGATTGGGGTCACGCAATACTTCCTTTTTAACAAAAAAAAAGTTTCTCTTTCACAACTTAATTCCACTTTGCTGTCAATGAAATTTTTAATTTCCATCAGAATTTTATACATAAAAAAAAACCATCTCGGGCTGGAAAACTTTTACTTTGAAACATCTATGTTGAGTTACATTGATGGTCGCATAACATCGAAAACCGCAAAAGTGACAGGAGATAAATAGTCAGTCAGAACATCATTTTTGTTACAGGAATAGTTTGACGTTTGGGAAATATATTTTATATACTTTCTTTCTCGTTGGTCAGATTTCTGGTCAGAATAAATACATTTGTTACGTAGTTGAGTAAGTTACCTTGCATTCACGACATTAGGTAAGAAGATTGCATAATGTAACGTTATGTATTCGTGACTTGAACTTCGACTTCAATTTAGTGACGTTTCAGATAAGACACCAGCAGTGGTCTACTGGGTTAGCGTATTTCCCAACTTTTCGAAATATTTCTTAAAAAGAAAAAGGGTTCTCAGCAAAGCGGAGAGTATGACCGGACTGTTGTTGTACTGATGGAATTAAGGGTTGTGGAAATGTACCAATGGGCAGAGTAAGGCTGTAGCAGCAAAACCCCTGAGTGGATCGCATTTAGCAAGGGTGTGTTTTATTGCTTCTACTCCCAAGAGAAATAGTGTTATTCCTATTTTCAAAAGTTTAGTCAAAAGTTTCACTTAAAGATGGGTTAGATAATATGTTTAAACTGTTTTTTCAATTGCCACGTGCACTCTGCCTCACAGAGTCATTGCGTAAATGAAGGTAAATGAAGCTGATGTTTTCAGAGCAGCCAAGAACGACGGTCAAAACTACAAAAACAATACTTAGGTTATAAAAAAGATAAATGTCCCTTGGTCCAAAATGACTTCACTTAGAAAAAATGTTGTTTCTCTCGGGGACTTTAAGCTGCTTCTCACATGGATAGCAGTATATTGTCCGAACCCTCCCATCGACACGCTCTCTACAGATGTGAGGCTGTTTTTAATTCTTGCTTCCCTCCGACAGGCTGACGGTCACGGAGGGGAGGCTGGCTGTGGATGGCTCATATATACAGAAAGACGACCGTCCAAGTTTGTTTGGACAGACAAGAGGGGTGTCGATGGAGACATGTGTTTCTCACCCAGCCGTGGGTGTGTTTATTTGAAGCAGTCACCTGAGAGAACACTGAGCTCCTTATTCAGCAGAAACACACAGTTTATGAAGGTCATGGAGGAATGCATACAGCACTTGGTAATATTTATCCGGCTATTTGACACATTATGACTCATTAACTAAGCACTTCAGGTGATCATTAAGTGATCATACCAAACCAATAATTCAATACTAAATAATAAAATACAAAAACTTAAGCCAAGTCTTCTGGTATATTTTTTGTATCATTGTCACGACTCGTGGAACCACAGGGAAAAACAGGACTCAAACGCACGACCCAGACAGCAGGCTAACGCTACTGTTTCCATTTTAAAACGCATGACTTTTGCTACATTTACGCCTAGCATCCACACTACTCCGGAGTTTTAACCCCCAAAAAACAGAGGGGTTTGGAAATTCAATTGATGCTAAGTTAGTTTGAAAACTCCAGGGTGTACTCGTAGTGAGGACCGTGGAAACGTAGACCTTCAAAAAACGATGGTGTAGAGTGTTTGCTACTTGATTTGGTCTTAGCAGTCATAACGTGTCCTTTCTGAGAAAACAAACAATAGCCTTGATTATCGATCAACATGGAAAACAGATTACAGGCATTGCTGAACTTGTTGTCTGTACTAGCAGCTATTGTGCAGCTAAATGCTATATTTTTTAAATCTACTACTGCCAACATGCAGAGGAAGCCTGTTATTGGAGCAACGTCTGAAGTCACAGTTTTCTTCCTTTTCTTATTTATTGTGAAATTCACAAAGAAACTAGAAAGGAACAAATGCACAAATGCTTTCAAGTACAACAGGGACTTCAGCCAGCCGCGGATTTACGAGTGCGAGAACAAACAACAATGAAATCGATGAAGTCTTCATTTTAAAGTGAATTTAATGTGTGTGTGAGTGAGAGAGATTGAACAAGACCTGCAGCTTTGTAACCAAGTTTGAAAAATATTTTTTTGTTCCACGAAATTTGTCCGTTTGAGTATATAGAGGAAGATTATAGAGGAAGGTCTTAAGTATCAAGCACGACCTTTTAATATTAAATAAAACTACAGCACTCTGTAACTAAGCAACCAATCTACTTCCTGTTTACACCAACACCCGCATGCGCAGTGTACGTGAATAATCATGTGATATTGGTTGTCAGGAGTGCTAGTATGGATGGAAATCATTTCGTAAAACGATGGTGAAATGGCCGTGTGCACGAAGATGGTTTTCGTTTTAAAACCTGGGTTTTAAACAGAAATGTATTAGTGTGGATGTAACCTAAGGTGGATAAAAAACGGTCTTTATTGATGAAAACAGGTTCAATATGCTGGAGATCCATCAGAATATCAGGCAAGCAATTCAGGTAGGGATGAGTCAAAAACAATGTCAGATAAAAAGAGGAATATGAACACTAGGAAATCGCTGGACTGCTTGACACAGAGGACTGAGACAAACTGGCACAGAGACAGGAGGACACAGGGATTAAATACACTGGGGAGGTGTGGATGATTAGGCACAAGTGGAACCAATCAAGAGCAGGGCAGACAATCACAAAGGTGGGAAACATACAAAGGCAGGACGCGAAGGCTCTCAAACAAGAGGAGAGGTATGGAAATGCTGAAATGACAAAATAAAGTAAAACAACTGGAGGAACAGGACGAGACATGACAACCATGAAATATTTCTACTGTTTACCTGGCTATTGCTGAGACGAAGGAAAAAAAGATTGTTGCCTGGATAACTTTCTTGAGTCTTGAGAGGTTGAGAAGGCTTATAGTTCTACACCATGCTGGCTGCTGATGTCAAACATTACAGAATGTATAAATTGGGACTGGATTTATTTCTTAAAATACATGATTCTTGGGCAAGTTCTGAAGTGTTTTTTCTATGATTTCTAAGCAGATTTATGGACGTTGTTACGATGTTATGGAGGTCAGATATATTGATATCCTCGGCAAGTGTAAGTCACATGATTGATATCCATTTTGTTTCATGTCTTTGTGTCCTTGCTTGACTGAGTTATGACCTTGTGAAGGAGAACGATTTTTTGACTAGAATCAGATCTTACGCTAAGGTGACTAAGGTCGGGTCAGTATGACCAATGACAGCAGACTGTGAATCCATTTTGCTGCCGGTTTTCCAGCTTACCCTCTGCAGACAAAAGTGACTTCACATTGTCTCATGGCCAAACACGGACGCTGCAGCAGACTCCTCGACTGATTTGTGGCCGTTGATCAACATGTTCAGCGGTTCAGCTGTCAAATTCTTCCAGATTAATTGAGTGAAGATTGTAGTTATGGTCATCATAAGTAAGTCTGTCATTAGCGTTGCATAATCCTGTAATGATTTAGCCGTCCTCTTTCAAGAGAGTAGACCCACATCTGCTCTTATGCTCGTTTATAATTGTGTCTACAACCTAGAGCAGACACTTGTTTGTTCAGATGGTTCATGCTGAGACAGAAACAGACTAACATACACAGCAGGTACGTATCATTCTATGTGTTGTTATTCAAAGGCAGTAGTGAAGAAACAGCATTGTTGCTCTTACAGACTTATTCCATAACTTCAGCTCAGAATAATATGAACATTTGTGATGGCCTTTCGATGAGAAAAACTATAACACACTGTTAATCAGCTGCTGGTAACTTATAAAATTTCTGAAAAAAAGACCATATCCATTATTAACTTGTCTTCTCCTCCTTCAATGGCAAGAGGAACAATCTTATCAAACAAAATAGCAAAAAATACTAAAACTATATATTAGAGAAGTGTAATAACTTATTTTAACTTTACATTTTATTACGCGGATAAAACCCTGATGAACTAATCTGCTCCTCACGGTTTGCATATTCAATGTATTACAGGCGTCACAAAAATGTCTGAAGACCTCTTTTGAACACTGTAGTCATTGAACTCAACACTACAAGAGGGACACTACCAGAAATCATGAAGCATTTGACTGTATGGTGTGGGAGTACTAACGATGAAAGAATTTACTTTGGGAATATTTCCACTGATTGAGTCAAGTTACACTGTGCATTTCTGTTTTTATTGCCTAATGGTTGTCATGTCAAGTACAGAACAGGGTTGTGTCCTGTCTCTTACTTTTTGCTTTCAGTCAAGCCTCTAGAATAAATAACCAGCTAAAGGGAATTCAGACAAGTACCAGAACATAAGATGTCATTATATGCAGATGATGTACTATTGTTTATGAGTGATCAGTTGTAATCAGCAGTTCTTTTTCTTGTTTAAAGAATTACAAAAAAGAAACTGAAAAAGTAGAAATCATCAATGACACATCTATCCAATCTTTAAAGACAGTGACTGTTTTCTGGTTTAGTACATTTATCTTTTCCCTGTGAATATTCAGAGGCCTGAGTAAAGTTGAATCGTGAATTCTGAACACACAGTTTCACAATGCAATAGATGAGTTGATTGGACATCTTGGGCACCCTGGTCCCTTAATTATCTCTTCAAAGTAAAGTCTTAAATATGGGTTTTCTGGGAACAGTTGAATCAGTTCTGTAGTCTTAATGCTTAAGGCATAATAATTCACAAGGCTTCTCATGAAACATACATTTCTGTACCAAAATAAGATTCATCCAGCCATTCAAACATTCATCCAGCCATCTGCTGAAGTTTTTGTTGCACTAAGAAAAAATACATTTTTTCTTGTAAAACAAATACTTGGCTTCCCAAAGTGTATGTCCTATTATCCGGTGCTCTTGTACTGTTGGGTGCTGCTACACTGCTGATCCGGTGAGATATTGATCCTCCTCACGTTCAGCTCTGCAGCAAAGGCCCGAGCCTTCTGGTAAAAGAAGAGAGAGAGCTCCCGGTCTATTAGGAAGTTGTGGTAGATGGTGGCAAGGCGGGTGCACAGCTGAAGCTGAGACCTCTTGTTGCCCAGATCCATGGCTGCAGCAAGAGCCAGGTGGTAGTAGCCTGCAGCATCAAATGGGTCCTGTAGAGATAACAGCAAAATGTACTTCCCCTTAAAAATGTGTAATTTAGTCACAAGATAAAATAATATACAACCACCTGTTTTCTGCTTCCTTAAGTGAACTCATGTCTGTACTCTAAAATATGTTATAACTCTGGACAAACCCAAGGTGACTATTGGGTGTCTTGATAGCTAGCTTTCAAGCTAACAAGACAATAGTCCCCTTTACTACAGCACCACAGCAGCTCATCTCAGGAACTAAACTAGTAGTCCCCTTTGTGCGTTCCCTGATACTTGGCCATCAGAAAGCACAAACCCCACAAACAGGTATTCTTGGGGACAAGGAACCATGGCTGGTGAACTATATTAAGACCATGTTTCCTCCAATGGAAACTAACTAGAACATCCAATAGAGCTCTAATTCAAGTAAAAATAACAAATAAGAAATGTCACATATTTGCAAGGATTCAAAATTAAATGTTAAGAAGCTCAAGAGCAACTATTTTCAACTGATATTCTAAGATATATATATATATTTTTTTTAATGTTTCACATAATGAGGGCACTACCTCTGAATGTCAGTGTCTGTGCGTGTCACATTGTGCTAGTAGTAATTAACAGATTGACATATCTATCATTTAATCCCTTACCTTCAGGTCATAGAATATGATGTCCCCCAGCGTCTGGTACACCCTAACATAGTACAGTGTTTCCTCGTCAAACAGCAGAGGTGTTGGACAGAGGGTCAGGGTTTTCAGGTAATAGTGTTCAGCCAGTTCATACTGGTCCAGACAGTGGTACAGAGAGGCTAGACGATGGTAAGCCACACGCTCATTCAGATACTCACCTGTATGTACAACCACACACAAAGATAGACACAGTTATTCTGTTATGGCACATGACTTCAAACTCATCAGGATATCTGGAAGTTCAGTTATCAATTTGCCTGTGCACCACTGGTTTAGAGCAACACATACCAACAACTACTAGCCAGAATACCATGACATTTCATACTGATGTTTATGGTTCAGAGAGGAAGATTTCTAAAGGCTCAAATGCACAGAAAGCGTCTGAAGTGCACGTTTTGAAATACACGTATTGTTTTAAATGGCCAAACACGCACCAAAAGCTAGCTGGTTGTGGTTGGCAAATTTTTATTTTTAGGAAACTAAATGTAATCTAATGGGCAGGAAATTAGCTAAGCATGGTCCCTAGAGGATGAACCAGTCATGAACTTTCCTTTTGCATAAGATATCTTATAATTATTTTTATGAATTGCCATTCAATCTGTTGATCGCATTCGGGGCCCCAAAGGACTGACCCTTTAGATTTTCTTTCTGCCCCACCAGCAGGATACACTTGACATTTTAAGTTCCACTGTTGGCAATTAGCTAAATCATCAGTATGTTGTTTATTCCTGAAAACGTAACTGTTGTGGACTGTTGGTGGATTTTATTGGTGATTTAGTGGACATTTGAATAGGTCTCCCCGACATGGAAACATAGGATTGAAAAATAAAAATAAAAATTCCGATTTTTATGAAACTTGGTTAAAGGGTGTAGCATTGGCAGAGGAAGAACTCATTAAATGTTAGAGCAGAACCAAGTCACAGGGCGGATACATGCATTCTGTTTTACTCACGGACACAACCTTAGCAGGGATCTGCGCTTGCCGAGTGTCCTTCTAGTTCATTAATACTTTTAGGGGCGCGTTCACAAGCCAAAAGTCCATTCAGCTAGACCGAACAGCGTGCAATTGATACTTTTGGTTAATTTTCTATTTATTCTGGTTCGGTTTTACAATGCAAAATTTGAAGCAGACTAAATAAGAAAATAATTTGCCACTTTCTACGCAGGGAATCGGGACTATAAAACACTGCTGTCAAAGTTGTTTCACTTTGACTCTTCACTGATCTACTTTGCACATGTATCCCTCTCCAGATTTATGTCCAGTGACTTTATAAACCTCACCAACTTTGTGGACTTTATTTAGCACATTCTGTATGTTCTCTTTGACCCAGATGTCAAGCAAACATCGGACTTTTGCAGAAGTGAACCGCACCACAGTTCCATTAAAATCGACTAAATGTCGGCTTGTGAAAGCGCCCAAAGTAGGTCTTTCTACAGATAATCTAATGTATTACTGATGGATGACAGTAATTGGACCATGTCTTCCTTTAAAATAATATCCTGAAATAATATGTAAAAATCAAAACTTTGTGTTGGAGGTTTTCCGTACCCAGAGTGATACTGATGTCCAGTGCAGTCTGAGCAAACTCCACAGCTTCCTCATAAAGCTTGAGACTGAGCATCAGTTCCGTCAACTTATTGCACAACCTCAGCCTGGAACGTACATTGCTGCTCTTCACTGCGATGGGCAGAGCACGGTCCTACATGGTGGATAAACAAAGATGCACAGAATATTTTAGCAGGCTTCTTACTTTCTTAGTTTTGACCATCATACCAAACAATAATAGTAATACTGTGATAGCACAAAAAGGCCATAGAGTGTATGTAAGAAGTGGACGTAGTCACGATGACATTGGTTTGTTGAATGCCATCTTGAAGCCTTGAGTTCGGTATTTTGTACATGGCCAACTTGGGTTTTGGTTGTCGCCATCTAGTTTCTTTGCAACCAGAAGTGGCATGAGAGTAACATCATTTTATCTTCCATTCAATTAGAATTATTTTTGGAACCGAAAGAGTCGCCCCCTGCTCTAAAACATGGATAAATAGTCCAAACCTACATCCAAACTAACTTGGATTCTGATAAAGGATGCCGTATTATGCCGCCACTGGAAGATGAGACTAGTAGATGTGATTGTAAATTGTAAGGTAACGATAAAGTAACATGTTTAAATATTTGTATCGACTCAGTGTTTTATCCAGTCCATACCCTGTAGAAGGTGATAGCCTTGTCCCGGTCTTGGCTGCTGTTGAAGAAAATGTCTCCTGCAGCTTCCAGAAGCTTCAGGATGAACCCGGTGTCTCCTGTACTCAGAGCGACATCCTGAGCTACCTGACAATGAAATCGACAAAAACACATTTAGTTTATCCGTCAAAGACAGCACAAAACTGAAACTAACTGAGCAGCCACTTCAATAGGGCACCAAAAACATAAATTACAACCGTGACAATCTCTGAATCTTCGAGCAGTCGCTGAGACTAGAAAAGTGCTATATTAATTTAGGAAGCATTCATCTACTCATGGACAAGAGGCTCTTGCTTGTGACGTAAACATTAATGGTGTCATCCTCAGCTGAGCTGTAACGTTACCTAGCTCAGTGTGCTAGGTGAGCTAGCCTCATCGAGTATAGATGCACGCTTCCTTCTGCACGGTGATATGGTGAGTGTCGTTTGGTAGAAAGAAAATAGTTCCGAGATGAAACTGCTAACAACCAGGTTGACGATTGAGTTATACAAGTTTCGTAGATTGTGCCTCAACTGATAAACACGATCACAATAGTTGCAATGCCTACACAGCTGCTCTCAGACCTGAACGTAAAGGTCCACAAGTTCAGTCTGGTCCACCAGGCGGTAGATATTTCCCGCTTGCAGCCAGCCGTACGCTTCCTTCTCCCTGCAGCCCAGGTCGATGAAAATACCCAGACTGGTCTTGGTGTAGTCGAGAGCCGCCCTGTATGCCCTGAAAATAGTCAGAGACTTAGATTAGTCCTGTAGGAGCCAATATGACTGTGCATTTTTTTTATTTTTACATTTGTCGCCTATATCAAGTGTGACCACAGGTGGCAGTGCAGATTAGTGTGGCAGGTGAATTGTAAAATGGTAAACTCAAGTTTAAACTCGTCATTAACAATGTCAAACTAACAGCTGAGTTTCATTTTCATAATGGTTGCATTTTGAAAACACAAAGTCTACTAAAAGATAGTGGCTTAAATGCTTACACTTTTGTATACTCATCTGAAAAAACAACAGCATTGTATTTAGCTGTTTTATTGGAAAAACCCTTTTTGACAAGGGCAAATAAGAGCATAAGTACATTTTGTATTGGATCTATTCCAGCTACACACACACACACACACACACACACACACACACACACACACACACAACCCTATATACCAAACCCTATATACCCTAATCTTTGTGAGGAAACTCATTGACATAATGCATTCCATAGCCCCTTACCCTAACCTAATCCTAATCTGAACCTTAAAACCCTTTGAGGTAGTGAGGACTGACCAAAACTTCCTCTCTATAAAAAATGTCCTCACTCTGAGGGTGTCTAACGAACACTGGTCCTCACAAAGATAGATGTACAGGTACACACACACACACACACACACACACATATACACACACACACACACACACACACCTTTCTGTGCCCAGAGTGAGATAGAGCTGACTGATGGCTACCAGTGCTTCTCCCTCCTGTCCTCTGTCTCCTGTGTGTCTCAGCAGCTGGACCTGGTGCTGGCTGTAGATGATACACTGGGCCTGGTCTGGACTCTCACACCCATACAGATGGCACAGGTGTCTGGTTGCAGTGAGCTGGCCTGGCAATGAGTGAAAGTCCAGTCCAGTTCATTGAGAGGAGCTCAAGTAATAAAAAAGACACACAGTGTGTAACTTACATACTTACAGTCTAACAGGTTGGCATTGATGGCCAGCAGCATAGCCCATTCGTAGCATCCTTTCCCAAAGTCCAGCTGGTGCTGCTTCACATAGTGCTGACCCAGCTCCAGCAGCACTGTGATGAAGTTCGCCTCGTGACCTTCTTCGTCCAGCTCAGAGAAGAGCTGCACGGCCTCAGTCAGGTGTCTCTGCGCCAGTCCTTTAGCTCCAGCCTTTAGACATAACAGCCCTTCACGAGGAGGAAGTAGAGTCATTTCAGAGGACTGAAGTTCATTGGAAGAATCATGAGTTAAGGGGAGACACTACAGGTGAATAAGGTAAAAAAACAACAACTAATAGATACCACCATGAAACTTCTCCAGTTGATTACTTGCATTAAGACAATATTTTTTGTATCTTTAGACATGCAAATGAGGCATTATCTAAAGTTAACTTTTTGGTGAATAGAGAAGAAATTTACAGACGCAAATAGACTAAAAGTAGTAAAATAAACACCAAACTGTGTGTTTTTGATGTTTTCTTTCCACTAGTCTTAAAGAAGACATGTTATGGAAGCAAAATTGACCAGTGCTTGAGAAACAATGTTTTGCCAGTAGTGTCTCCCTTGAAGAAGCATTTATTTTCTTACCCAGGTTAGCCTGAGCTTCAGCCCAGTTCGGTATGTCCTCATACTCTTGGCAGATGTCCGCAGCAGCCTGGTAGCTCTCTGCCGCCCTCCGGAGGTCACCCATGCACCGAAATGCCACGCCACGCATGTTGAGGACCACACCTTTGGGTTAAATCAAACACATTTACTTTAAGCGTTATGAAATAGCCTGCTTTTAAATCAGTTGTTGCCTGCCGATCGACACAGATTATTGTATTTCAATCAATCATATGTTTACATCTTAAAAAAAGTTGGCCAATTTCTTCTGTTCAAACATAGTCCTACCGCGGCCTATATAAGAGTCAAAATAATACCAGAGGCACCAGTCATAATATGTTGAGCGTTGAATTAGGAAGTAGTTCAATTAACATTAATAACAGGCAGTTAGGTAACAACTTTAATGTTGGAATTATTTACTTTCAAATTAGTAGTTTAATTTCTTAAAACAGGAAATCTTTTCCAGGGACCTTTTCTCAGACTGGCTTAGTTTGTTAGCTTATCAGTGAACATGAAAAACCAAACATATATATTTCAGTCTGTCAAATACAGTTACGTTCTAAATGAATAACAATAAAACAGCCGCACTGCAGTTTGGAGACAGCCGAAAGTTTTCAGTGCCCTTTTCCAACTCTGCTTGTCTCTTTTAACGCTCAACAGTAAATACAAAAAATGCACATGACGTGTTGAAAATTGCGCGTCAAACAACATTTTTTGCCTAACTGTCAGATTCCTAGATTATTGTCAGTAACGGAAATGCAACCAGGAATGCCCAAATTAAACTTGTCGAGTATTTGACTTTAATTCCTGTGGCTCATGATTAGTTCTTGGAAGTATTTGCTTTTAAAACACTGTAACTGTTATTCTTTTTTTAACACAATCAAGCCCACCGACCTTCCTGAGGGGTAGTGCAGTGTTCTGGCATGGAGGCGAGGACTGAGTCCAGGATATCCAAAGCAACATCCGGCTGCTTGTTGTCAATGTGAAGCCATGCCAGCCAGATGAGGGTACCGTTTCTCTCTGGGACTGAGATGGGGGGTCTCTGCGAGGGTGGATTGCTGTCGATGAGAGTATGCATGTGGCCGATAGCGCGTCCAACCATTCTGTGCTTGCAAAAGAGTTGGCAGAGACAAACAGTAAGCTGGTGGCTCAAAACATGGTGCTGATCAGTTGCTCCTCCTTGAGCTTTGTTAGAAGAGAGGGCTTGGTGTAAATAGGGAGCCACTTGAGGTGGGATAGTGGCTTCCTGTTCTGCGATCCCATTCAGTCTGTTGACATTGTCCAAAAATAGAACCATGCTGCTAAGGCAGTCCGTCAGTGTGGCAGAGGGCTGCTGAGAAGCTCTCCTGGCTGAACTGACACTGAGGTGGGGAAGTTGGAGTTCAGTGTAGAGCCTTCCCAGGGCGAGGTATTCATGACTGGGAGAGAGGCCCCATGTTCTTTGAGCTTCAGCGCAAAGAACAAGCAGTCTCTCAAGATAAGGAACAGCTCGTACTCCTTCAGCACGAGTCCAGTGGTGCTTCGCCAATAGATGACAAGCCTGGGCCTCTGCCATCTCGTTGTGGGACAGAACAGCTTTCTTGAGGATGTATTTAAGAGCAGAGTTGTCCTCTAAGCATTCCAGGCAGTCTGGGATGCCCAATAGCAAGGCAACAAGTCGCTCTGTGAGAGCAAAGAAACTTTCTGTATTTTTCTGCAAAAGGTATATGGTGACCAGGTTGGAGTAGATGCTGGCCAACAGCCTGAGGTCCACGAAGCCTTCTCGTGGCACGCTGAGGGCTTCTTCAAAGTAGACCCGGGCCTGGCTGAACTTTGACCTTCCAGCACAGAGCTTACCCAGCAGAAAGCACAAACGAGATTGTGACCAAAAGAGTCGCTTCTTCCTGGCTGTTTCCCTGGCAACACCCAGGAAGGCAATCAGCTCGTCCTCGTCCGAGTGACCGGTGAAGGCGGAGGAGGCCAGGAGTTCAGAACTCAATCCATACAGGGTGCCAAACTCTATTTTGTAGTCTTGTCCCTCCAAGAAAGAGAAAAGCACAGTGAAGATTTCAGTGTTGTTTTCTCCTTCTACAACCGGGTGAACAATGAAACAGGGAGGACTTTTTGCTTCTGAAGCCAGGACAGAGTCCTCTAGAGACCCATTCACGGTCCGTATGGAAGGTGGCAATGCGTCTTTTCCTTGATCAAGAAACCTCTGAATATTTCTCTTCAAGTCAGTCTGCTGAGGTTCAACTTTGCTTGAAGAGCTGACTGTAAAAGAATAATTGAAGGAAAAAAGTTATGAAATATATAACACAGTTATTTGATATTTACCATTGGTGCCAATACTTACGTGATGTTTCTTTCTCAGAGTCTTGGTAACTGATCATATCTGAGATTGAACAACACAAAGTGCAAGACTGTGAATTAGAAAACACCCTAACATCTTAACAATTGGTAATTAAAGCAAGTCAATGTCAATCTGAACGCTGTGCAAGTCGTTCTTGCTGTAAGCTTTATATGCATGGTATTAATTTAAGCTACTTTTCTCCAGTTAGACTGTAGCATTAAGTGTTCTAGTTATGAGTTTAGAATAGTAGGTCGGGATGGATGGTTGAATCAACAAAGCTAACACAGGAGACTAACACTATTTATGTTGTGATTGTCATGGAAATCTCTACATATATTCATGGTGCTCAGTGGAGGAATTCCACTGACTTTGGTTTTCCTCTAGTGGCACGAAAAGATTGACATTTTAGTTTTTTTGTGATTGGACTGGTTGCATTGAAATTTTATAAAGATGTCCATGATACCATACAATGATGAATCGTAATTTGGTTATATCTTGACTATTCATTTAGCACCATCAACAGGTCAAAGTTTTCACTTATTCACTTGACTTTCTCAACCACTTCCGGATGAATTGCCATGAAATTTGGCGCACACGTTTATGTCCCCCACAGGATGGATTGTAATAACTTTGGTGACCCTCTGACTTATCACCTAGCGCCATCATCTGGTCGAATTTCAGTTTGTCAAATACTGTTTTATGACCAAATACCTGCAAAACTGGTGACATTCCCATCAGCCTCAGCTGAGTTTAGTGCTAATTAGCAAAGTTAGCATGCTAACACGCTAAACTAAATTGGTGACCATGAAAAATATAATACTCGTCACATGTTAACATTGTCCTTGTTAGCATGTTAGCATGTTGACATTAACATCTAGCTCAAGGCACCACTGTCTCTAAGTCGAGCCTAACAGAGCAGCAACAGAATATTTTGTTTTTATAACAAATTAAAATATATTTTGTGATTTAGTTTGGATAACTTGTTGGATTTTTTGGACACATGGCACAGATATGTATAAATCAGTGTGACCTATGAGTCCTTTCTGTCTCACCAAGTTTGTAGTTTAGACCAATATCATTTTGAGATTTCTTCTTCAATAAGGCATTTGTTTCCTCTATGACTTTGTCCTCTTGCAGACTGATGAATGTCCCTTCCTCTCCGTCCAAATAAATATCTGCTGAGCTGGAAGGGTGACAAGAGTAGAATAAGATACAGTAATTACATATACTCTATTGAAAAACAATTTTACACACAGTAATATCAGTGATACACTCACTCATAACTGTCAGCGGACGGTTTCACCAGGCTTGTCTTGACGAGACCCACTGCTCCTGTCGCCTCCTTCCTCCCTGTGAACCAATCAAAACAAGATACCAGAAGTCCCACGATGATGATGCGATCACCGGGTGCCACGCTGAGCTCATCTGGGCCCTCAGCATCATACTCCACTGTGACCAGACAGGTTCCTCTGGCTGAACAGAGGAAAATGATAATATGAGACAAGATGTCCCACAACTTTCAGTAAACACTGATCACAAAATATCACTAGGGAACTTAAAGGGGTGTTGTTTACAATAATAAAAATGGTTGAGATGTCAGCTGGGTTGTAATTACTGAAAGCAGATAACCTCTCAGTTGAATAATAAGATGTAGTGTACATACTGAAAATGTTAAAGTTGTGGCAGTCTAAAAGAAAATACTGAAGAAAGTTGAAGTGGCAGTAGAGCTAAAATAATTTGAATATTTTCTTTATTAGTGAGTTTCAATTGAAAAATTAGCCTTCAACATTTTCTCTTATTTGTATGTTTCTGAAATTCTTTCTGGGTGAAACTATCCTCAATAGATTTTACTGCACTTACCAAACTGCAGAGGGAATCCACAGGAGGGTTTGCCATCACCAACTAAAATGCTCTCTGCACAGGATTTGAGAAACCATCTGTGGACAGATGGGATCATGTGAGCACCTCATATTTTCTACTGTAGGGTCTCGGATCAGAGACACCAGACCTGTGTGTGGATGGGACTTACTGATGAAAAGGGACAACCGGCTCTAGACCAGGTTTGGGTGCAGTGCCTCGGGCTCCATCGGCCAGGCAGAGGACGGTCCACCCTGAGCCCAGGAAGGGAGGCTCAAACTGGGCTATGTCTCCCTGTTCCAGGTACAGGTCACCTCCAGAGGTGGAGCTGTCAAACATCTGGTTGGTACTACAACTAGCAAACAATGAACCTGAGGACACAGAGAGAGAAATGTCAGCATGTCAAGTATTCTAAAATGTATAGTTTTTCAGTTATTTACTAGATCATTTTGAGGTAATGATCGGCAGAGGTGGGTTGTAACAAGTTAAATTTACTCCGTTACATGTATTTAAGTAACCTTCTTGAGTAAATTTCTAATACTCTACTGCGTTCTGTTGTAATGTAAATAATCAAGCTAGCGGTGTGCAGTTAGCTAGTCATGCTTTGTGTAGCATGAGGTAATGTTGCAACCACTGATGGTCTTCCTCAGGTCAAAGTGAAGAAGTGAAAACACCTGTATTTAATCGGTAATCAATATTGAAACATCACAGCCTGTATGAGGCATCTGATACGAGACATTCCCAGAAAGCTAAGAGATGATTTGTCCACTTCTCTAATCGAATTGTATTTATGTGACTGAAGACATGTTGACACTCTTTACTTTTTGACATTACAGAAACAATCTACAAACGTACTTATTTTAACCTAAATCCCGATCTTTCCCCAAACCTAACCAAGCAGTTGTTGCCTAAACCTAGGCATATGTTTGTTGTTGATTCAGCAGTGGTCTTACATTGGGGTGGGACTTCCATCAGCTACTCTTGTAACTAGAGACAAGGAGGTACAGCAGAAAATATAGCTGTCCACGTCCTTCATACCTTCCTGCATGAGAATGCCTTTGTAGATCAGGTTGAGAGTGTCCTCCTGAATGGAAACCTCGATTGCGATGTCCTCCTCCAAAGAGCTGAGCCAAAACTTCTGGTCCCACAACAGATTCTCCATGCACTGACCCAGGAAACCTGGAGGAGAGGAGATGTGAGTGAATCCACTCCTATTCTGAACTGTAACCACTGGCATCATCTTTACAGCAGCAGCACTAGCAGTAGTAGCAGAAGCAGCCCTATCCAGTGCGCCATAGCTCACAAAGTACATTCCTGCATTCCTTCCTGCAGAAGTTAACTACAATACCCAAGAAAAAAACTATGTCAAAGCTATTTAATTATACCATAATATCACTAGAAATGTGCACTCAGTAGAGTGCAGATCTCCGCCAGGTGTGACTCCCACGACCACTGCTGTATTGTCCATACAAAATATAGACGCAGTCTCTGCAACTCGCTTTTGGAGCCAGCGTGAAGTGGCCATTTGAAGGACTGCTGGCTTCATTTCTCAGCACCGGTAATTGTGTATTTGAATGAATACAACCCATAATTGGTAGCTGGGGGTCAACGATGCACTAAGCTGCGTTATCACCAGCGGCCCCTATTGGCCGAGGGCCGGTTCAGAGTGGTGAGTGGGAAGTCAGTAGTTAATGGCAGTATAAAACAGGAAGTAAAAAGTGTTTTGAGAAAGTGTCACCACACAGCATATGGCTGGCCATTCACAATAGTATGCAGTTTGCTGCAGCACAATGTGAGATACACACAGACACACAGGTGCACACTCACTCACAGACACACACACGCGACTGATGGCATAATCCTCCTGGCAGAAATAATAATACAATTATTTTATTTTGCTTTTTTGCCTTATTGCAAATACTTAAGTTCAAATCCCACTGTTAGTGACAACTACAACTACTACTGTGATCCAAACCTACCTATTGTGTAATATGTGGTGAACTTCCATATTTCCTCAAATGTTTTGAATGTCACAAAAATAACTTTGTCTTCACTGTTGATGGAGATGAGATGAGTAGACAGCTCCTACAAACAGAGAAAAGAACAGAGTTTCATAAGTTATACTTCTAAAAAGAACATTTCAAGCTTTCATTTTTATAACATCTTTGTATTATTTGTATTTCCAGAAAATAACACATGGAAGTTCTGTGTTTTTTTCCTGATGCAAATAAATGATTAAAATTTGAACACAAACTTTATTCTCATTAAAGAGCCTGTAACTAAGCATCCTTTTAACCTTAACATAACTACTTTTAACACAACTTTAAGCTGCTTGAATTCTGGCTACTAGAATGCAGACAGACAGCTTTTACAACCTGATTCATTCATAATTCATGGAGGAAGTGGACTTTGCTTAAAGCTCGGAGCTGAATTTAGGCCTGTGTGAGTGTGTCTGTTTGTGTGTGTGTGTGTGTGTGTGTGTGTGTGTGTCATGAGCTGTACCGCGAACAGAGCGTTGACCTCGGTGCCGTCAGTTTGCAGAATGCGCAGTTTCCCTCTCAGCATTTCCTGCAACTCCTCGTCTGCAGGAAGACGCTCCGGACCCCCGACCACATCGAGCAGCAGCGGCAGAGCTGAACACACAGAACACCATCACCATGTGAAATGTACCATGTTTGTCCTCCGGTCAGTTTGAATTGTATGACAAGTCACATCACATAGTGTGTAAAGGTGTCTATGTGAAAACAAAGGTAACTTTGGAGGATTTGGGGCGTTATAACGATGTCAGAGACTTTATCATAACTCTCTTTACTTCATTTAAACACACAACATGTCATTGTCTGCTGCTAGAGGTCTCTCAATCAAAACAAAAAGTTTGGTGATGTGGTGAAGTACAGCTTGGGATCATGGGAGTTGTTGTCTTTGGTGCAGTCATCTTCTCCCGGTTAGGATTCCTTAGGATTCAGTAGATTATTTTACCACAGAGGTCTCCTCCTCCTCTCCAAAACAAACGGATCCGCTGATTAAAACCAGTAAAAACACTGAATAAAGCAGCTTCACGTTTAAAAATATGTGTTGCTCAAATGCTGTGCGAGCCGAACATTTGCTCGGCTTGTTTCTCTGATAGATCAAAACGTGCAATGTCTAAAATCCTTAATCTGCTTAAAATATAAAGTTAAAAAAACCACCACGATCTAAAAAGTGAATGGTACAAATGCAACTTAAAACTAATTAAAAAGTCAATTTATGATCAGCTTCTCACATGACTAAAGGGGATATGGGTGACCGAATGAATCTCACCTTCATTCGTTACCTTCATTAAAATGACAGATTTCTTTAATTTGAAAATTGTTGGAATCATTTGGGACAATGTAAGCGCACAACTCAACGAAATATATAAGGTCTAGTCTGTTTCAGACATTTGAATGCGTTACACATTAAACCTTTAACTCGCAGTAGCCTATAATATAGACTATATTATTAATATATTAATATATACTCCATGAGTAGAGTCATTTACTATGTTCCTAACATCACAGGCCGTTAGAGGACACTACCTCTCTTTGTTAATGTTTGCTAAAATAAAGAACGAGCGGAGCAGTTTCTGCTGCTGTGGTGAAAACACTTAACTAGTGTTGGAAGAAAAGATGGTTCTGGTATTTGTAGAACTGAGTTTTTACTGACACCAGGTGGTCCTTTATCCCATAAGATACAGTAGAGATTGAGGACAGAAAGTAGGAAAGAGAAAAAGAGAAAAAGAGAAAAGAATGCATCACACTGACAATGATGTTTCATTATGTGGTGAGTTTGATGACTGCTGGGACGGATGTTGGGGTTTGACACTGAGCTCCTTCTGATCATCAAGTAATCAGAGTCTATGACGGCAGCCTGACCGACTCACAGATTAATAAGTGACTTCAGAGGAACTCACAGGTTCAAGGTATAAAACATCTCCCACATGACTTTCCACTGAGGTCAGGTGATGTGACGGTGCAACTAAAAGCAATATTTTACGAGGCATTTCTTTACTCTTATTATTTCCTCTCCAAAATAACAGGAAGGAGCAGCTAGCAGGACTTCAGTGGCCCTGTTTGTTCTATAAACGTGAAATGTTAAATATTTAGTAATAACCATAGACTGTGTAAATTATAAATAAATCTTCATCTTGACAGCTTAGCTACTGGCTAGTCCAAAAACAGGCAAAGCGGTGGATCGTTGGTGAGCTGAGGCGGGACCAGGGGACTCAGCAGACTCCTAGCTACCTGAGACGGCACTCACCTCACTCAAAGCGGCCATGCCCTTAATTATTCAAAACTATAAATCCTTAATATCATTAAAACGGGTGAGTTACATGAAAATTACCACCCACCCTATAAAGTTGTCATGAACGGGGAAATTACCTATAAAGACCAAAACCTTTTTTATATACTAGGCTACAAACATTTATGCTGTAAAGTTGGGCATTTTAGCCATAGACACTGTATAAAAAGTGGACGTAGTTGTCGTGACGTCACCCATTGGTTTGTAGAGTGTGGTTTTGAAGCCTGAAGTTTGGCATTTTGACCAGCGGCATCTAGGATTTTGGCCTTCGCCATCTTGTTTTTTTGCAACCATGTACTTAAAGTCATCATATTCGGAATGCGGAGAAGTGACGTAGGGATGCCGTATACAGCATAGCTACCTGTCAATCACAAGGTAGTCATGCTCTAAAGCATACTTTACTCTAAATATACCATAATTTACTAAATGAACATCATGCTGTATTGAAGAACACTTGAAACTAGAGATTGAGACCATAAACTCATGTTTACTGTAAAATGGGGGTCTATTGGTTTTGACTTGCTTTTGAAGCCAGACTCAAGCAGCCATTGGCTTCTCAACACCGGAGGTTGCTGCATGGTAGTAACATTAAAAATAACATTTATGGCACTGAGAGGCTCAGATTGTTATAAGTGTCTGACAACATTATGGAAAGAATCCTACAGAGAACTAAAACCTTTTAATTTACATTTCTCTTGATCCTGTCTATTAGATGTTGTGTGTCTTTCTGGTAGAAGTCTCATTCTGAAATCTTGCTCGAGGCTTAGGCCTCATTCCCACTGTCAATATCAGCTAAATATTTAGCCATGACATGGAAGAACTTTTAGATAACACTAAGCTATGCTTTCTGAACCCCAACACAACAAACCCTGACAACACCGGCAAAGAACAAGAACTTTTGGAGTTGACCAAAGTCATTGGGATTTATTTTCTCAGCACCATGGGTATACTGTATGTACTGAATTGTACGTCAATGCCGAATGGTTACAGCCCCAACCACATAACCACGTTCCCAGTCTGCCTTTACACTTCCATCCGTCCAATAAAGGCCAAAAAAATACATTATTTTAAACTCATCTCAAGCAGAAGAACAAGTTACCTGTTGGGACGTTTTCCTCACACGTTGACACAGTTCTCCTCAGACTTGAAGAATCTCTGGCGAAACCACGCACTGTTAAAAACATGAAGAAGCTTACTGTCATTTAAAGCACGATTACAGATCGCACTTTGGGAGATTTGATAACAGTCAGGTGAGATCGTGCACATCTTTTTGATTCAACCTCCAACTTTCCCCCCCTCCATGTCTCCTCCGGGTCTTCATAAGTTAGCTCATTGATAATGATGTAATTTAGATATTCTAATGTGGTTTGAATTGGTTTATTTTCACATTCATCTGCTGAAGGAGAAAACCTCAAATCTCAGGAACACGTGGACGCAGCAGCAGGATTGGTTCAATTCAATTAAATTCAATTAATTTTGTATCATAAATCAAAATCATAAATCACAAATTTGCCTCAGAGGGCTTTATAATCTGTACACATTCAACATCCTCTGTCCCGGGACCCTCGCATTGGAAGACATAGGGAACATCACAACTGGTTTGGAGCCAACTATGGTCTACAGTCCAGTATGCAGCAGTGGAACCTTGAAGCCTCTAATGACACACTGTATCTTGTGGCCAGCAAAACCAAAAACATAAATATTCATTAATTCTGGATTTTTCAATGAGGGAGTATTGGAGGGGATGACATTTTTAGATTTTTAGAACAGGGTAATTTAAATTGATTAGACTTTTATACTTTACAGAATATATTTGTCTTACAGAATGTCTAGAGGGGATCTTTAAGATATTATAAAAAATAAAAAAAAAGTAATTAGAGTGGACATTCAGGGATGGCTTTCATGCTAATTTGGTGCATTTGTTACTGTAAAAGCTCCTGAAGCAGAGGATATACCTATAGTCCATCAATCTATATGACCCTTTTCAAACAAAACAAGATATACAGATACTTTTTTATAGAATAAAATATTTTATAGTAATAATACGTTATTATATTATAAAATAATATAGTTTTTTTTTTAAATCCACAAAATACTTTCATACAAATATTAGGCCATGGCTTCAAAACGACTTTTATAATTTGATTTATTGAGACATTGATATCATATCGCTGTGGCTCTGAAGTTCCTAGTATTATAATATTAATAGCCTCCATACCTCTTCTGCTGTGTCGGTTGGATTTCTCTGCCACCTGCCGGTGCTGCTGGCCGTCTGTAGAGATCTTTCTCCGGTACCCGCAGTCTCGGTCCGACATGTTCAAAACAACCGTGGAGTCTCCCCCGATTCCCGGTGACCAGTCAACACCTCACCATCACATGCTCACTGCGCGGTGCGGCCAACAGAAGTCCGCTCCAAGAACGAGAGACAGGAGCGTCAAGCTGACCACAGCAACTGTCCTGGAGTGTCTTTTCAAAGTAAAAGTCCCTTTGATTACAAAAAAACCGACCTCGACTGAATAAGCCAGTGGTTTGCGTCCGAGGTTTCTAAAAAAGACAAATTGCACGAGATCAAAATTGAAACACCTCTTTGGTGAAGGATTTTATAAAATTAACAAGTTTAAAAAATAGATTGTTTTCATATATTCTCTATATTTACACAACTACTAACAATGGAAAAACAAACAAATGAATAATAGCCACCTCTTCAAAACACTGTGAACCTGGAGATTCAGTTTATTAAAATGTGACCAATAATTATTATGTTTTATCAAATATTAGTTATTTTCTATGTATTTATAATATTATTAATTCAGTCTAACAAAGTTATTCTATCTGTATTTATGAAATTGCTGTATTTTATTAATTCACACTCTTAACTGTCTATTGGGGTTTACATTGGTGGAAGTTGATATTTTGGCCTTTTTTATTCACCTGTTAATTTATTTATTTATTTGTATCTTTATGTATTTGTTCTTTTATTGATCGGTATGTATTTACTCAGTTTATGAAGCTGGCTATGGACTTAAGTAGCACACAGATTTTTGGCAGCAGCAGTTTTGTGTGTGCCGGAGGGGGAAGTTGCATTCACTGAATTTCCTTGTAATACTCCGGTTAACTTGACTCAAACTCTTTACTGTGATATCTGAAGCACTACGGGCCTCAACACTTATCAATACAATCTGTTTGTGGTATTTATTCTGTTGGTGTGTTTTTAATTCATATTCATGATGCAGGTTGTATATCTGCATATCCCTTCAAATAACAAGATCCATTCTTTACTTTTAGGTAGATCCAAGTATGAAACAGTTCCTAAAATCCCTCCTCCAAATCCAAGTGTGCAGCTTTCAAGTTAATAATCACTCACTGAACAAATAAAGCTCAACCTCTAAATGGGACTGTGGGGGACACAGAGCTTTCTATTCATGCTCATACATAAAGACCAGCTAGAATCATTTCCCACACATAACCTTGTATTTTCTTACTCAGTCTATCCTAAAAGTTCCCCCCAAAGTTTGCCTCTCTGTGTGGCTGCTGTGTGTGTGTGTGTGTGTGTGTGTGTGTGTGTGTGTGTGTGTGTGTGTGTTTTCCCTTAAACATCCCAGGAACAGACTCAGCATTTCCTTTCCTCCAGTCAGTTCCTCTGTCAGCTCAGCAATGCAGCCGAGCAGCAGCGGCGTTGCTCTAAAACTGCAGCATTTATAACAGCAGACAACAGAGAATCACAGGGACGGAGTCACAAGATACACGATGGCTCAGCAATTAAGTGATACGCATTCTGCAAAGCGTCATATAAAATTTACTCCTTTTATTATTTTACTCCACACATAGCAGTTGTCAGATGACTGAGTGGTGTAAAGTACAGCAGTCTTTATACGTGAGTGTAAATCCCTCAACGAATGATCCCTGCTTCACTTTTTAGACACCATGGAATGAGGTGAACTTTCACTGACTTCACAAATTGATCATTTACTTAAAGCTGCATCATCACATTTTCCAGCCATGGAGAAAATGTCAGCAAACGGCCGCCAGCAGACACATTAGCATTCATTTACAGTCATTTTTGTGTCCACCTGATGAATTTAAGGGAAATATTCTCTCACTTTTTGCTCTGTTTTTGGTCTCCACCAACTCCAGAGAAAAATATCCATCTCTTTAGCTGCTAAATGCTCCACGATGTTCACGATGTTCACCAGCTATCCTACAAAGCCGAAGTTATACTTTCTACACGAGTACGTGATGGTCCGCCAATAAGAAAAAAAAACTTTCAGTTGCCAGGTTGTTAAAAATTGACTGGTTAGACCTGCACCTGCAGCCACTCTCTGCTGAGCAATCAGAAAAGTGTATTTCTTTAGAATAAATTTGCTTTTTTTTTGTTCATCATTGATTTCAACAGATAGACAAATTATTTTTTGTTTTCCTGATTGTAGTTTAGTTGTCTGTGTATGTCTTTGTGTTACTTATTTTGAGTCTACAATGGTCTATATATATATTTCCATTTGTGTTCAGTTTATGAGGTTTGGTCTGTTCAGTTCCATTCAGTTTACGATCAGCTGTCATGACCTGAGTTCAGTTCTGTGTAGTTGACCTCTGTTATAGGCTCCAAGCTTTTTGTTGCTCATTTTATAACTCCATCTTTACAATGTATTAACATTTACAACTGCAAAATTGATGGTTCAAACCCACAGTTGGTTTCCTACTGTATACTTTAGGGGGCGCTACCTATGAGAACCGATCTAACTCTGCCGAATCCAGCCATCACTGCAACTCTGTTGTGTATATGTCAAGTAAATTGGTATCAAAAACTATACGTCCTTTTACGGTTTTCAAAATAAAAGTCTCATTGGCCAAGCTACGTCTGGTCAGTTGTTTGACATAGCAATGCTTTTGTTTCGAAGCCAAGTTTCTCCTACATCCGGTACTACTCTGACAAACATAACTACTGTCTTTCAGCATCAGCCAAACATTAGCTTGTAGAGTAGCTTTTAGCTAACCAAACTCAGAAAATAGAGCTCCTAGCCAAGCTAATTTATGAGTCGCAAACGAAACCACAGTTTCGTCGAAGCCGGCCTGTCCCCTGAGCTCCACGGCGCCTTCATGGAGCCCCCCGGGTCAGCGAGCCGAGCCGAGGGCGATTTCCTGGAGCTCGAGCACGACGAGGAGCTTCTCTGCTCGGTCAGCGACATCACCGAGCACCTCGGCAGAAACATCGCCGCGGTGCTGGAGACGGCGCTGTCGGAGATCCGCAAAATGGTCAGCATCAGGATACGAGTCCTGAAGATGGAGCTGCGCGAGAAAACCGAGGAAATCGAGGTGTTAAAGGTGAGACTGGATACAGTCCAGAGGGACGGCAGGGACCCTTTCCCCGGCGTTGCGACCATGGAGCCGTCTGCAGATGTTGCCTTCAAAAAACATGACTTCGGCTCCGGCAACAAACACAATAGTGTCGATCCAAGGAGAGCCAAGGCTGTCATGCCTGGTGTGAAGAAGGAGAATATAGATGCTATCTGCGACTATCTGATGAAAGACAAGAACTCGAGGGGGGGCGCTGACATGGACGGAGACCAGAGCAGCCAAGCCAGCGGCGACAGGGAGACTCACCCAGATCCGGACACGCACTCCCTCAACCTGTGGCCGGACGGCAGCATGGCCGGCTCCGGGCCTGGACACGGAGACTCCGAGTCCGCCACCGATGACCTCTTCAGTATGCTCCCCTCCGGCAGCAAGCGGATGTACGACTACGAGTGGATAGCACCGATGGAGTATTCTTCAGACCTGAAGGGTGAACACAGTGTTACTACACTCTGAACACATACAGTGTTTATACCTATAAACTTTATCCTTATTACACACAATACCAAAACACTCATCTCATCAGAACGTGGATTATGTTTTTATAGTTTAACTCATTAACGCTTTTGTAATTGGTTTTACACAAAATATTTCACTTACAGGTAGACTAACGCAACTTTATAGGTTAAATATTCATGAGATACTATTTACTTTTGATATACATATATTTTGTGCTCATTCATAATTTGGACTTCACTCATTTTGAGTTAGTATCTCATAATTTTTGTTTATTACACACACACACACGCGTATATATATATATATATATATATGTACATATATATTGTTTTGCGCGTGTAAGTGGCCTCCATAAAGTGCCACTAAGTATCTGATAGAATTGGAAAAACACAAAGAGTAAATTCATGCAGTAGTAATTGTGATGTGATCATATTTTCCCTCAGTCATGAAGGAGCCCGAGTGTGAGGACATCCCGACTGGCGAGACGGAGGAGGATGATGAGGAGGAGGATGAGGAGGAGGGAGACGTGTCGCCGAGGAGGGAGGCGGGTGAACTGGAGCAGGCCCAGGCCCCGCTGTCACACGTCCAGCCCTCTGAGTTCAGCATGGGGCCCCAGAGCTCTCCAGGGGAGGGAGGGAGTCCGCTGGAGGGCAACACAGACCGGCCTGTGGCAGGTTGGTAAGAACATGACAAAAACAAGACCGGATTAATGTGTTATACACTTTTTTTTTTTCCATCTCCCACTGGATTCCAAAGTCTACCAGCCACTCAACAGGTTAACCATGGTGTATTATGGCTGGTGATTGAAGTGAATCTTAGAGTGGTTGAGGAAACTCAAAAAGCTTTTTATAAATGCAAATCCATTTAGACTTTTAGCTGAACTCAAAAGAAACTCTTTGTAAGAGTTATTAATACGTCATTGATTTGAGGGAGAGCTCTTTATTGAACGCCAGCTAAAATGGAGACATTTTATCCTCGAAACCCCGTAGATTCAAGGTCAAGAAGACGTTTAGTGAGGATGCTGCACAAAGCTCTCCAACTAAACACTGTAGCTATGGAAACCAACTAAACGAAGCAAGAGGTAGCGGTTTAAATGTTTCAAACCCTTTGGTTGATCAGAAGTCATTCTCAAACATTTTCAGCAGCTGTTATTAACCTCTTTGCCTAAATAAAGTACAATAATAAAGTACAATCCTATTTATGAAATCAAGAACTATGTGTTCCTAGAAGTAAGTAAGTAACTTTGGGGCCTTGATGTCACAGACACATTTCTATTGATGTATTGAAGTAATAATCACACGTGAGCACTATAAAGCTGCTCAGATCCCCTCAGTCAAAACCTTTTATTGCTCACATCTCTAACATAGTACGTTCTACCCTACACTGTCATTCATGCACCGCACCTTCCTTTATTCTACATATATTCTTATTTTACTTAGCATGTACTATTGTATTGTACTATAATAGTTTAAAACATCAACTCGGAAAGAAAGTTCCTTGTTGTAACATTAACAAATATGAAAGAATGACATCAAATTAGAATAACAATTAAAAAAGTGTCGTCAGTTCTCTGTTTTAAAATCAAACTCTATTTATTCAGTTTTGATATATATATATGAATACTTTTATATATATATCTCTTCTTAAATACACCATGCTTTATTTACGCCTGTATTCATTCGGAGTTCCTGTTATATGTTGTTTAAATTATTATTAAATAAATTATATTAATGCTCTTTTGTGTCATTTCAAATCTATGATAATCTTTAAGTCACGTGATTGATTGATCGACTGCAGACACCACTCTGAAGACCAGAATGAAGCACGGTGGAGCAGAGTTGTGTGATTTGTAGTTTTGCTTTCATCAGCTGCTGAAATAATGTTTGTTTGTGTTTCAGGCCAGCAGTTCCCTGGCCACACCTATATCTGCTCTCTTTGCGGAACCTTCTGCCCCGACTCCGTGTTCCTAGAGGAACACGTCAAACTGATACACTCGGACTCCGCCGGCGCCCAGGCCCTCCAGGCCCTGCAGTCCACCTGCTCAGCCACGCCCGCCATGGAAGACGGAGGCCGTGACTCCAGGAGGAGCGGAGGGGACCAGGACCAGGACGAGGACACAGCAGAAGGGGCTGGTGCGGGAATAGGGGCTGGCGTGGGCCTTGGGCGGGGAGCGGGCGTGGTGAAAAAGGAGATTAAAATCGAGGGTGGGTACGAGTGCGGGGACTGCGGCCGCCACTTTAACTACCTTGGCAACCTGCGGCAGCACCAGCGTATCCACACGGGAGAGAAGCCCTTCATGTGTCCGGAGTGCGGGGAGCGGTTCCGCCACGCGGCCCGCTTAAAAAGCCACAGGCTGGTGCACAGCGGGGCCCAGAGCCCCTTTCCCTGCCCCCAGTGCGGGAAAGGTTTCTCGGTGCTATCGGGACTCAAGAGACACCAGCGGGTGCACACCGGCGAGAGCCCGTACGCCTGCCCGCAGTGCGGCAGGCGCTTCAAAGAGCTGGGCAACCTGTACACCCACCAGAGGATCCACAGCGGGGCCACGCCGTACTGCTGCCAGCAGTGTGGACGCAGCTTCCGCCACCTGGGGACTTACAAGAGCCACCGCTGCACCCCGCCGCAGTAACGCCGCTGTGCTTCCTCCGCTTGGACTCCGAGGCGTGGTGGGGGGGGTGGTATCCTGAGATGATTTTGTGTTCTGTCACATTCATGGCATTTCACACCTGCATCAAGAAAAGCTCCGTAATCGAGCTTCAGTTCATTCTTGACCTCGGAAACGGCAGTTTGACGAAACAATGTCAGCTCCAGGTCCACAGCCCATCGACTCCTTGTTAGAGTTGCTCCGATACCGATATCACAAAGGCCTCCGGTACAGCCTGAAACGCTGGATCGGGTATCGGCGAGCACATGCACCAATCCCATATTAACGAGTACTATTATAGCTAACGAGTGCGCCGTCTCGCTTCTTTCCCATCTCTGTCGAGAGTTGCACATGCTCAGTACAGATCGGTCAGGCGCCAGCAGAGCCGGAGCATATTGGCAACACATTACATATTTTAAAAAGGTGAGCAAGGCTTTCTTTGTTGTTTAAACACTCTGGTATCAGATTGGTACAAGCAATCGTCCGATACGCAAGTTCAGGTATCGGAAAGGAAAGAAATGGTATCGGAGCATCTCTACTGCTCATCGGCAGATGGAATTTGTTCAGTCGTCATGGCTGCAGTCATGCATGTCACACTTTCCATTTTTTCAGAAGACTTTTAGGACTTCTTGTCCATGTTAGTAGAAAGTTAGCAACTTGTTCTTGACATTGGAAACTTTGGAAATGACAACAGAGCAAACTCCATCCGCTGATGGTATCAGAGGCCACCAGGCACCACATGGAGCACGTGAGAGGTGACGTCTGACTGGATGGCATCAGTGTGCAGAGGCTCGTAAAAAGGACCAGTGGTCCAAAGGAACATTCATGTTTATTACAACTTGGGTTTGTAGTTGACAGACCCATGTTGACCTGCTGCACCTACTTTCAATAATTAGTGCCATTTCCTTTGCACTGTTTCCAGAAGCAGCGTATTTCAGTGTGAAACTCTGAACAGACTTGACGCTGGCTTTAGCAGATCGGTAATCAGTTAAAAGAAAACATCACTGGATTAACTGCATGGTCAGTGGAGTGATGCCGCTGAGATCAGCACAGTGTGAGACTCAAATGTCGGCTTGAGTAGCAGCTGTGAAGATTCAGCAGTTCTTCTTCATGAAGAACTGTAGTTCTGCCAACCAGTCCATTGTTTCACCGCAGGGCTGATCTGGTCTGAACCAGTCAGGGATGGGAATCAAGAACCAGTTCCAAATTGTGGATCCATTGAAGTTGTATCACCTCAGAGGTTTCATTCCCCTCCATTGATGCTGGCTTTCTTCTCTGCCAGTTGTGCGTTGCTGAAACTCATCCGTCACCATGTCGAGCTCCGCGCTTAGAATGATGGAAACCTGCAACAGGAAGGAGTAGGGTTTCCCATTCATATTCAACCAGAACATGTTAATACTACATTTATATATCAGCGAGTGGGGTCCACGAAATCTGCCCAGGGGGATTCAACTCGGCAGGTCAGGGGGCGGCCGCTCGGTGTGGGAGGATCCCCACGTGAGACCTTTACCCACACTTCCTGCGTGTCTAGCAGGTCGGCTTGGAAAGGCCCTGGGGGAACGTGGCTTTAAAGCACCCCTCGCCTGAACCTCGCCACTTCCTGTGGCCGTGGACTCTTCCTGCGGCGAGGGACGGACTATCTGTACTTTGCTCAGACTCACAGATCATAACACAGCAGTGATGCTGGAAACCTTTGTAGGCCTACTTTTTCAGGAATCGATAAAGAACCAGGCCGATTAGCTGAATCGATGGTGTCAATAACATGTTATGGATTCCCATCCCTAATCCAGCCATTGGGGTGTTTGATGCCACACCCACATCAAATCTGTCACCTATTATCACCGTGTTAGGTGTGTTGCTTATGATGGTCACATGACGCTTTAAAACAACCTTTCATACAGGTTTATTAATGAATTCATCATACTTTAAGTGAAGTTACTAAACTAACACTGAACATAATGCTGACACAACTACTTTTTACTATCTCAAATAAAAGTTCGATATAATAAGGAAGTAGGAGTTACATTGATCTTCGGGAGCGACTTGACTTGTGAAGCAATGAAAGTGCTGACCACGTGTACGGGTTTGAATCCATCCATTCATTCATCCATTCATTCATTCATTCGCCTTAACCTGCTGAGCCTCCAGGACACGCTGCCGTCTCCTGGCTCTGTGGTGGGACACCATCGCCCACTTGTGGACTGACTGTGTAACTCTCCTTTGTCACGCTTGTCGTTCATCATGGCACCGCCGTGGTGCTATGTGTAGAGCAGGAGCGTTTGTCGTCTCATCTTGAACCAGTGTAATGTAGGTTACAGAATACATATGTTGGTTATTTTATACATTTGCCTGTATGACCATTACAATACTTACAGAAAGATAACTTCCTGTGCGTCAGGTGTGATCACTGAATTGATCCGATTCAGTGAAAGCCCGTTTGAGGAATTGACCTCAAGCTTGTCTGTAAGATGACTTTTAGCTCTTAGCACTGTGTGCAAGACTAAGAGCCAGAAGACAACTAATCCAAACCTGTGAAATTGAAACGCTAAGCAGTGATAATCTGCTCTCTAATAAACAGTTGTCTGAATGTCATGAACGAGTGTGTGTGTGTGTGTGTGTGTGTGTGTGTTTAATGAATAACTGGTGGAATTCAATCAAGTACATCAACTCCTGCACTTACAGGAAGTACAATATTTAAGTACAATACTTGTTTCCATTTTATGCCACTCAATACTGTACCAGGTGTCAGAGAGATGTGTTGCACCTGTGCTGTGTACTGTGTACCCATCTGTATATAAACTGACTACAACATGCTAACACATCTGTAGTGATAATCGAATTATATCATATATACTTGAATAACTGGTCATTCTGCCAAATGGGTAGTATAACTTTAAATCATCAGTACATTTGGCTTACAATAACTCCATATTTATTCACAATTAATCGCGTCAATATTTGCTTGGAAAAGCTCCCAAATGAAGATATTTTCACTCAAAAACATCACCAAGTAAAGCTATGAATAGAAATATCAAAAGGGGAATTAGAAATCAATAAATTGTTTAAATTTCAATATATGTCTTATTAAACATACGCTTATCATTTTGCCTAAAATGTGGCCAGAGGAGTATTGTTTTAACTATCTGACATAATTAATGAACTGACCGCTTGGAATTGTTAATAAATCAATTTATTTAACATTAAATAATATATGTGTTAATTTGCATTTTTAAGGCATTCTTTTTATAATGAACAGAAATGAGTGCATTATTTTGACAGTCCTAACGGGAAGCTTTGCATGATTTCATCCTTTTCAAAAGACTTTAGATCGCTGTTCCATCTGTTGGCTTCCATACAGTGTGAGACTTGCTTACGTTGTATAAATCATCATAGAGAACATCATGTCTGCATTACTTTTTATTACATAATCAGATATTGCAGTGTGTAGACTGCATTGCCACATAAACATGTTCATCGTATCCTCATACGATACCTTACGAAAAAGTGACTCATCTTCCTGCCATGGATGACAACAGCCTGGCCTGTTACTTTGTCCAAAGATGAACGCAGACTTGATGTCTGCCGCAATGTATCACACGACGCTAGCAAGTGTGATACATTGATTCTGCAGCGCTGAACAAACATGAATGTGTTTCAGTGGAGGCAGATCACCTGCAGACCGTTGGTGCTGGCTTGGGTTGCTGCACGACTATGGAGATTAATCAGAATGCAAGCATATGGAAAGCTTTCATTTGAAACTGCACAGGATGTATATATTTTCCTTATCCAAATATTTCCCCCAGTTGACATACTTGCACTACAATATAGAGAGTTCAGATTCAGTTTGTTGACTAAGACAAAAACAGTTTGGTGGACCAACGTCATGTGAGTCCATGCAAAGTTATACTTAAAACCAACACAGTGATTAAACTTACCACAGAACAAACCCTAGAGTGGTAACGGCATAGTGTTACACTGATGCTGTTTTCATTTTATTCAGGCAGTAATTGCATCTTAAGTTGATCTTAAATGTTGACTTTTTATAAACTGACATTCTGTGGACACATGTATTTGGATATCGGCGTCTCTGTGTACAGGTACATCGTGGTCCTTTCACATCTACTCTGTCAAACCTTGAGGAACAATCATCAGCCGGATTCCAGAGGAACACTGTTGCATTTTCCACGCACACATTTAATTATATTCTTTGAGTCAAGATGGATGGCCAGAGGCCGAGGGGTGTTAAGAATTTATTCTCTCCCAATTTCATTTTCTGTGTGGATCCAGAGCGGTGTGTGAGCGGTGTGTGAGCGGTGAATGGGGGGGCAGACCGTGTCTAAGAAAAGGGAGTCATAACTCATGTTGTTATCCTTCTATAGCTGTTCTCTATGATTAATTGCTCCTCACACTGCCAGTACTTTACATTTGCATCTCAAGTTCTTAGAGAAAATGTGCATTTCTGTGTGTACCAGATATCCCGGGAAACTAAAGGCCGTCTTGTCTGGTTCGTAACATCAACCGGAGGCGCTCTGTGACTTTCATCGAGCTGTATTCACTGTGTCTAGCAAGCCACACGTCGGCTGGTTTACTAGTATAAGCCCAAAATAAACTGATTTTGCTGAGATTTAATTGCAATAAACCGACAAAAAGGGACTCCGAAATAACTACATAATTGTAAAAAGTCTGAATTCATGTTTTGTTAGTTCTCTCCTCAAGACAACAAGCAAATAACTTTGAAATACTTTTTTTTTTCCTCTAGAGTCTTGTGGTTCTCCAGGAAATGGGATTTTGACTTTTGCTGAAAATGAAAATGTACAGAGAGCTTTGATGGTGTTGGACTCATCCGAAGCATCGGCCGATTTGTCATTTCACTGTATGTAAACGTCAGTGTGTAACAGCTTGATTAATGAAGTTACTTTGCCACATCTCCCTCTTTCAATTCTGAGAAAACGTGTTTCTATCCCTCTGCTGCATGACGGCCACAGCTACTAATTCAAGTCAAAGATAAAGACATACATTCCACATTTGTTTGGTCCACATGCTTCGGTAGGCTAACCCCTGATCATGAGATTATAAAACTTCATTCGAGGCCCACAGTTCATTTTTCCACCTGGAGGGTTAATCCAGGTTTGACGGTGATGCTATAATTTGTGGCTCCATGACTTCCCGTTCCTTCATCCAGCATCTGTAACAAAGCAACACAGATGCATCGGCCCTGTACAATTTTTAACGCAACTCAGTTGTTTTCCTTTTCCTGCATTTATTATAATATTGTATATTTCTATGTTTGTCATTTCTAACATTTGTAGCACAGATGCACCTTCCTTGTACTCTTGATTTATTGCTTGTGTCCCTGAAGGTGTCACAGGAATGCAGTTGTGGCAGAGTACTGGATGCAGAGCACCTGGTCCTGGAGCACCAGGACAATAAAAGCTCTACTCCAGTGTTAATCCATTAAGGTGTCCATTAAGGGCAGTCAGTCCTCGTCTTTGTCTTACTGTTTCTTATGAAAACAAAGAATCTCACAGCGGGGCCACAATGATCTTATAGTTCCTGCCTGACGAGCCAAGTATGAAGTCTTTACATCATGGGTCATCTCCACTCTCACCTGCCCTTAATGGATTCTGCTCTGATGGAAATGAGATATCAGAGCGGCAGCTCTCTTCTCCCTGGAGACTAATGCATTGGGAGAGTCAGTGGTTCGAGTGGAACGCTATCGGACAGCGAGGAGGAATGGCCTCGTGGGGAGACGTATCGATGTAAACGTTTTCCCAGCCCATTACCAGCCAGGGCACCCGGCACCCAACCAAACCTGTGGGCTGAATTCTGCACCAGACAGCGGACGTGAGGAGAGCTGAGTTTTTCCAGGACCGCTGTCTATGAATCACGTTCTGTGCAGCCACAGGCCTGAGGGCGGTGAATAAATATGTTGATGTCTTCCCTCAGGCTAGCCTTCAGTAGGCGAGCTACATACATGAAGTGAGGGGTTTATAAAAACACAAGCCAGTCAGGTTCTGCTCCAACGATAAACTCTGATAACAGCAACAGAGAGCACAAGTCCTGACGTGACATCCGAGCTAGCTGCTGTTCATACTACCTCCCACGCTCGCTTCCTGAGGGGGTCTCCAGTTATTTTGTTTGTTAAATGAAAGTTTCTGGGGTTTACCCAGTAACAGGACAACAGCACTTCCTATTAAATTCAAGTGTTAATACAAAACTGTAATGGAATATAATACAGTATATATTACAGTAAGGCTCCCAGGCCTTCTGTATTGCTTTCAAGCATATATTCTCCTGTAGATCCACTTTTCTCCTTTAATGTTATCTCTGCTGAGTCTACACACATGTAGTCATGATTAACTCTGACCTCTTCAAATGTGCAAATGGAATTAATGCATTTCAATGATACATTTATTAATTTTAATTTATGTATAAACACCTGGACTTTAACATCTCAGATGAGCTTCAACATAAATTTCTGTACATCCAAAATGTATCCCACATATCTTTGAAGTTGAGAATAAAGTAATTCAATGAGAATAAAGTCGGGCAACGGTTATGGCAACACCACACGCAGAACTGCAACAAGAACTACTTGGTTTGGGTTTGTAGAATATTGTGGTTTGTGTCTTTAAAGATGCTGTTTTTTGTTTTTACGGAAAAAAGTCTGATTTTATATTTTAGCATACAAAAAGCTTAAATGTACGATGAAGTTTGGCAAATAAGGCACTACTTATATTAAACACCAGTATCCAAATGGTGTTTGTTAAAGCAGTAGTTTCATATTTTGGGGATTCTGCCGAGAGTTCATGAGGAGGTCGATACCTCTCGTGTCTTTCCGTTAAATAGATTCTGCAGCCAGCTGCTGGTGAAAACTTGAATCCTCTGGAGAGCACGTTGTGTAAATGTCACTGATTTTTGCCTGTTACATTTTTATATTTCCTGTGCAGATCTGATCGATAATGGCACAAGATGAAATGTCCGAGGGTCATCACAAACTTTCGTCATCTGTGGAGCATGGACATCCACAGCGCATTTCACAGCAAACTGGCCTGTAAATGTCAGGAATAAGCGGGGGGCCTCCTGACATCCACGGGCTTCAGGTTCTGTTTGAGAGAGACCAGCTGCCCCTTTTGCAGCAGTTTAAGATTATTCGGTCTCTGCTCCATCATGTTGTGCTCTTTGATGTCTCCTTTTGGTATGTTGGAGTAACTCTTGCATGAATGGGGTTAATGGTGTAATCCCTCACTGAATAAACTGACTCATGGCTATAAATGGAAACAATCTGTTGGAAGCCTCGTGGCCAAGAACACTGACAATCTCCAAACAGAAAGTCCTTTGAAACCCACAGTCGCTGTGATTCAGCTTCAGAGCTGCAGATCAGACTAAAGACAAAACCAGCTGCTACAGACGGTTTCATCTCCTCTGCTTCGAGGCAGTCTGACCGTCTGAGCAGTCGGAGCTGGACGGACACATCAGAGTCTCTCATTCAGCTATTGTGCTGAGTTCACACAGGCAGCTGCAGCATGCTGCCAGAGAACATCAGCAAGTTAGTTAAACTGGTGGGATCAGCAAGAATTCCTCGCTGTAAAAATCTAGTTCCAGGTCATAATGTCAATAAATCAGCTGTAGAAAATGACAGGTGACAGAGAGGGGAAAACTGGCACTGACTTAATAATTATTTTTAGGATTAGGCTAGTTTGACATTTTGAGAAATTGATTTTCTTGCGTAGTTAGAGGAGACAATTAATTAAATAATTAAGATTAAGCAAATAATTATATTTCCCAAAATGTTGAAATATTCCTTTAATCGTTGAGGGCAGTTGGGATAATTGTTCAAATAAAGCAATTTAGTCTGAATATCGGGCTTACAATAACCTACAATAAATGAGTTTTTTAGCGTTTGGTCAGTATTACTGCGACGTATCTGAGACTATGCGAATTTGGTCACGTGTGCCTCATTTCGGCACGAGACAACCGCAGTTACAGGAGTGTCTCCAGCCTCCAGCCTATGGTAACTGATTATATCATAATACAGCGGGACGAGATATAACGGCCACATAACCTCAACTCCTTTAGTGGCCAAGTGGGATACAAAAATGGAAAGTAGGCCACATTACTCAACATATAACTAGATTGTTTACTCGCTCTTTGTATATTTGAAATGAATATGGTCCAATATGCAGACTTGTTCCATGGTTAGCTAATGTTAGCTGTAAGCACCCAGTCATCTTGCTAACTAGCAATAACTTGGGTAGTTGAACAACCTTTCCTGGCTCAGTAAAATATCAGTAAGCATAAAACGTTAAAGACAATAACTACATGGGTGGCAGAGCTCTTCCTTCATACTCTCTTATATTTATGTTTTACCACTAACTAAACGATTTTACAGGGCATGCGGAACCAAGTTCACAAGCACGAATTCTGCCCGCTTACTTAGCTGCACCACCGTTAGCAACAGGTGCTGCTGTTAGCACATGAAGCTGCTAGTTGTTAGCCAGAGCTAACATCACTGTGCTGCTGGAATACTCTCTGCGGGCTCCCGGTTAGCTACAAGAGCAGCTCTGCCATTGTATCGGTGGTGAATCAAACTAATACACATGGTATCAAGGTTGATCAGTGACAAACAATCAAACCAGTGCCCAGCTCCTTATCCCTGCTGCTTTCCTGGCAAAAGCAGAACAGGATATAACGATTACAAAGGTAATTCATTTTTTTCAACAAGCTCATTTCTACAGTAAATTTCGTCCACAAAAACAGTTCATTGTGCTGAACAAAAACAGTAATTAAACAAAGTAATATAATTAAAAGATATTCAGTACAAAGTACATGAAATCAGACATGCTCAAAACATAGTTGCTCAATCATAGGCACATGAAAAGAGTTTTAGCCTGAAAATTGCTCCATTAGCTGCACTTCTAAGATCATCTGGCTTTTTGCTCCAGTTGCATGAAGCTGACATGTATATTCTAGTTGCCTTTTTAAAGTTGCTGATAATTAGATATGTATTATAAAGTATAAAATATAGTTATAAGTACAAGCAAAGAAAGCAAGAAAATATATCTGTGGCTATTTTTGAGTTTGGATTGTGTTGTCGCATACAAAAACCTGGAACGAAATAACTTCAAATACAGTTGGAAATTAGGGTCATAATCTGTAGCCCTTCTATAATTTGATTGTTTTCAATGGAAGTGCTGCTTTGTAAATGATCAGTAAGCATATATCCTAACGAATGAGACGGCTTCATGTGGCATGTGTCTTTTAAAACACATTCTTTCTTTTTTTTAAAGGAGGTTGGAGACAATTTTAAACCATACACACTCCTGCAAGAACAGTGTTACAATATGTGTCATGTCAAATGTTACAGTGATGAAAGCAGGGTTAGATGATGCTAACAGTAACATCCTTCCTCCCACTCCTGTAGACGGCAGCAGTGCAGCCATGAGGACAGTTGCAATGCGGAGTAAAGCCAGGCAGCTTCTGCACAACAAGTTTGTGGTGGTTCTTGGTGGCTCAGGTGAGACATGAACAAGAAGTGTGTTCAGAATCAGCTTTATTGGCCATGTATGCATACATGGAATTTGGGGGGGGCCAAAGCGCCCATACTTTTTTTTTATAATAGCGGCACCGGGCTCTGTCGGTGTGCTGGAGGGGAACAAACGGTGGTGCCGGTCAGTGGAGTGAGTTAGTGACACAGGTAGCCGCCTCATATGCTAGCGAGCATCTGTTTCTGCTGGTGGGGAATGAGGCCAGTCAATGCAACACGAGCAGTTTTATGTGGTTTAGGACCGCAGTAGCACGTTGGTACAATAGTCAACAGGAAGACCAATTATGATCAATAACGTTGTACACCACGGCGTCCAGACCTTCACTCACTAAAACGTTAACTGTGCGTCAAGCTAACGTTAGCGGAGACTGAAGAAAAGAGCACTTTCAACACAAGTATGTTCAGTTTAAGTTTGGAAGTGAACTACAAGACTTAATTGTAATTACAGCGAGGTAGATAGCTTAACGTAGGAAGAGCATGGATGTATTAAGAAGGGGCAGACTGCTGTGGTCATCACCGCCCATCTGCGTTGCTTTAACAAGTAAAGCCAACACACAATGAGGCATGCATCATTTCAGTGGAATTCTATTGGTTGGGGAATCTTGACAGGTTTGTTACACCAAAACAATCCAAGAGCAGAGTATAAATCAGAGCAGACGTTTCACAAGCACACAGAGCAGCCTGAGTGTGAGGAGCATTACAGAATGAAATCAGTGTGAAATCAGTGTGAAATCAATAAGTCATGCTCTCAAATTGAAAGAACACATTCTCGAATAAAGATATGAGAAAAAAAGCTCCCTTTCAATTGTAAAATGTTTCCTGAAATTGTTTTGGAGAAGGTGCCAGCTTGGATTTAACGCCATGTTCATTATTTATCAGACAGAATCTTACAAGAGCTTCACATCTTGGCAACTATCTGCACCCATTAAAAACCTCACTTCTCCAAGTTCTTTCTCATCGTAATTAATTTAATTCTTTGAGTAAAACCTGTTGCATCGGTCTTTTGATTTCAGTGCAGCGCTCCATAGACCTGCATACAAAGACCTGGTGCTGCTGCTTCAGAGGGATCAGTACTTGACTTTGCCTCAGCTCAAATCCAAAGTAAGTCTTTCCACAAGCGTCTCGTTCACATGAAAAAGCACCAACATACCTCGACTCCCACTTTTTTCTTCTGTCGACTCAAAGGCCTTTTGCTCAGTCTGACTTGCATTCCATCTTTATCTACTGGAAATAAATTGTCTGTCAATGAAACAAAGGCTGCCAGAACAGAAAATATGAAATAAAAAGGATAAGCCGTGATGTTCACCAATATGAACACAAAACTGTCTATCCTTTGCTTTTCTACCATTTGAATAGACCATCTTCCTTTATAGATTATGTAGTTTTATATATCCTATGACAGGAGGGGTCTGGATCCGCCCAAGGGGTCACACAAGCCCCACAATGAATAATTGGATGAAAATGTGTTCTGCTACAATGTTCTGAGTAGTTGTACTTCATACTGGGCCATATTCACAAAGCCTTCTACAGACTGAAGGTAGCTCTTAAGTTGCTGAGTTAGGGGGAAGTCCCTGAACCCTCTAAATGAGTGTTGCTTCTCACTTTAACTCTTACTTTTAAAAAGTAATTGATGAAGCATTTAGGGCTGTACAGTTTTCTTCTGAATCAGTCAGAAGTTAGAGGCTGAGTTACTAAAAGTGGAAACTTGGAAATTCCATCAGTCTGCCTGCATAACTTCTCAGACCATATACTCCTCTTCTCACCTCAGTTAGTTTAACTGTTCCTTAAAGCAGCTATCGATATTTTCACATTAATGGAAGGACATCGTGAAAGGTGACGATGTGAAATGAGTTTCTCGTGATGAACCAACAGAATTATCTGCAGCTCCCCTGTGCTTTATGCAGCTTTACAACATTGTTTATTACCTGATAAAAAATGTATAATTCTACAATTGGATATAAAACAATATCCTAATATCAATATGTATATGGTGTTTGATATAAAATATTATTGGATTACACTATTAAATCAATATACAGTTTCATGTATACAATCTGCAACACAGCTTCTGTTACATGAATAAATATTGATCTATCAATCAAACATTAAATTGAATATGCCTCCATGTTGACTGACACAGACCTGGTCCCCTAACTAATCACAGAAACATGATGTAATCCTTAAGAATGGGGTTTATTTTTAGACGAACCACTGACCCATGTCTTAAACTATGAAATGTGCTTGTGTTCTGGAAGAAGAAACACTGGTTTCCTGTGCTGGCACACTGGAACGTAATGTCTCTCTGTCTGTGGTGCAGGGAGAGAAGTCCTTTGAACGGGACGTCCTGGTGGAGGGAGGTCAATTAGGACCCATGACGAACGGCACAGAGTACAGAGAGGTCCGACAGTACTGCTCCGGCCACCACCTGCTGCGTTTCTACTTCCTGACACGGATCTACTCCTCGTGCATCCTGGAGGACTTAAGTGCATCCAGGATCCTCGTGCATCCTGGAGGACATCCTGGAGGACTTACCTGGTGATGTCCTGTGGGACATCACCAGGTAACCAATCCTCGTACGCTTTCTATTCTATTCGTTAACTCTTTGGTCAGCAAGTATGGAACTTCAGTCAGGTTATAACAGGTGGTTCTATATGGAGGAAGATGGTTACCTTTGTCTTTGGTCAAAGATGGTCTCTGGTGTCACATGGGAATGTCCATCTTTCTCGGACATCCACCTCCCTGTGGATGATGCGAGTGGTTTGGATCTGGTGATCACAGGCGGCTGATTAGCTGTCCTTACATGTATGGTTGAAAGTGTGACAAACTGGCAAACTAGTCGAGTTTCAAAACGGGGCCTGAAAGAGGTGTATGCCACTTCCCACACTGAAGTTGAGAAACTTTGTATTCTGATACAGACACATGAATAGTGATGGTGTTCTCAATCATTTATTATAATCTTGAGGGCAAAAATAGCATCTCCACAACTGCAGTCTGGACAGGGGCTCAGTGTGGGATACAGCTCAGAGTTCTAGAGATGCAAGCCACAGAAGAACCTCTTCCTGGGATTTGTTCTGAAGTAGAATAAAGATGAAATTAGTCTTTGAAACCAATGGACTGTGGTATATAATACGTTCCGATCAGGACTATGAATGAGTCCACTCACCAGACAGACTCCCTGAGTGTTGAACTGCTCTGCCAGTGTCCTCATCTCAGCATCCCCATACTGTGCACAATCTGTCTAGGAGACAGTCTAGAGAGCCTTTCCCTGACACCAAGTATGCAGGATGTCATCCTGCAGAGGCTTTAGACCAGCATCTGATTGGGGCCATGCCTGCCAGCGATCCTCGACTATGCTGTGTCAGGGATGTTGCCAGCACTGTGACCTGAGGTCAAATGTGACAGCGCGGCTAGGAACATTATTCAATTAACAGGAAAGTCAAGGACTGTGGTATTGATCTCATGGCTCCTCCTCCACCTGGGAGAAGAAAAGGCTTCTCTTTTTGGAAAACCAAAACCTGCCGGTGAATCTTCACATGCACAAGTAACATTAGGAACAGGGCAAGGGGGAAGAACTGATCCTTTACAAAGGAATACATTCCTTGAGCTGCTGATCGCTTATTCAAGGCTTGGAGCGAGAGGTCTGCAATAAAAACTGGCAGAATGCAGCGCATCACATCTGTTGCTTCCTTATTTGACTCCCACCTGGTTGGGTTCCCTCTGACAAAATGTATTGAAGATCTTGATAAATGACAAAAAAGCAACAGTAAGTCTGTGAATAATCTCGCACTGAAACCTGCAAGGAATAGTTAAAAATGCTTTATGTATTTACTAAATCTTTATCTTAAAATGTAATATGGCATGTTTTAACATGTAATCAATGATTTTGTTTATTGTAAATCATTTTATATGAACTTTCAAAAGCCCATTAACAGTGTAGTCATTAGCAATGATGACTACACTGTTCTACTAGCATCAAAGTTCACTGACTGTAACATATTCTGATTACTGGTGGTCACATGACATAACCTCCTGTTACCGACTAGTGCTGGGCGGTATGACCAAAAACGGTATTTTTTAAGATTATGGCGGTTTTACGGTATATCACGGTATTTCATTTTTTCCTTGACTGTTTTTATATAGGTTTATAGTGGCTTACTCTACTGTCAGGAGTACATAGAATATAAAAGCATGTTAATGTCATCATGTATGAAGGCTTTGCTTACTATAGGCTGTGCTCGTTTGTTCCTATAATGTTGGGATAGCAGTTTGGATGAAGTATTGTCGCCCCGGTAAGACTACCTTGAATCCAGTGTTTTAATCATTGCTCTGAGTCTTCCTCGACTGTCTGTAGCGGGACCATGTCCTTGCATAGATGGATCGTTATTGCGTTCGTAATGTCGCTCCACCGCTTGCTTTTCTTCTCATATGCTGCCTCGAGCAAATGCCTCTTCAAGCGATGTCTGACCCTTCGGCTTCACTGTTTCACTTGCGCAAACGTTACCGGTTGACGACCGAAATCACACTCTTGGTATTGCAACACATGTTTGTTTTTTTTGATGGAGTAAGTTGCTCGTGTTACCACCAGCTGCAACAACAGTGGCTCGACAAACTTGCAAAACGTCGAATTGTTTTAAACCAAAACACTTCCAAACAGCAGACCCAGCTCCTCTCTTGGGCACAGACTCTATCGGTGCATCTCCGGTCTGTCTTTGTTCATCCTGCATCGGTCTGTTCTGTTCTTTAATGTAACGTTACTGTAGAGACGGAGCCTCTCCCAGCTGTTAACAGACTGTTGGGCTAGCGAGCTGTACCCAGCATGCCGTTCGGTGTTGTAATTTTATAAATGTACAATTATTAGTGTTACAAATTGTTTGTGTCACAAACTGTTGTGTCGTGGTGCTTTGCCCTGTTAAAGAGCGTTAGTTGTGGGTTATTAATTGTTGTGTTATAACCATGACTAGAGGTCCCTCTCAATACAGTTAAGACAACTATCTCCGACTGTAGCCTTCTTAGCGGTGAACAATATATTCTGCTGCCTGTTGAAGAGTGACAGCAGTTGTTTCTGTGCATCGGTATGACGGTGTGTGAAAAATTCATATCATATGGGAAATTAAAACCGGTATACCGCCCAGCACTAGCTGACACCCTGTGATTCTTAAAGTGACCAGAACAATATACAGATGCACATCAATAGACTTTAGAGGGGTGTGCGTGTGCAACCAGGCAATCAAATGTAAACGGGGAAAAAAGTAGATTCAGTGCAGACATCGAATGAGGCGGGAAATGATGTACTTCCTCGTAATTAAAAACCGCTAATATCAACCGTCTGTCGTCTGCCTCTGTACGTTACTACCACATCTACTCTGCTCAAAACTTTACTAATGGTTAAGTAGTAAAGTTTGCCTCTTGCTCAATTTGATTTGGCTGCCTGGGTCCAGTGTGACACTGACGAGCGGTGGAGACTCTGGAAAAACGTGAGAATCACAAGAAAAAAGTGCACGGCAGGCACGCCATACAAAAGAACAATGGTTTTGTGGCCAACGCGTTAATCGGGGCCTTAATCACTACGTTAAGCAATCTGAATTAGGTGTGTTTTGTCTGGGCAGAGATAAAATAGGTAGGTTAATAACGGTGTGTTTACAGCTTAATTGTACTGTAAGCTTTATTGTGTTGTAAATGTAAGATCGACAAGTCCTGATCAATGCTGCGTTGAGACGACCTTATTTATTGTGCTTGTTTTTGTGTTAAACATGTTACATTGATTGTGTTGTCCCAAGCTGTGGGCCCCTGCTGGTGTATGTTTCTGCCACTGTGTGTGAATCCAGTACACTGCGTTTTATCAGAAGACCAGCGCCATGGACGACGGAACCAAGTTCACTCGCCGGGTTTCTGAATGATGAGAGGACGGCTGTAGTGTCTTTCTGTGGCAGTTAGGGTTGTCTTCGCTTTGGATGCCTTCCTTTCTTTTTTTCTCACACACACACACACGCAATACACGCATTAATGAGAAATAAAATGAACTTTTTTGATTTTAGCAAATGGCTGCAATGAAACAAAGAGTGAAAAATGTAAAGGGGTCTGAATACTTTCCGTACCCACTGTATAACTCGGCTTTGCTCCACATCAGTGTGTGTCACAGACCTGTAAACCACGTCCTCCATTGTACCTCACCTCTAACTTTTTAGGTGTCCCCACAATCAGGAACCCTGTGACACGGCCATTCACAGGATCACGTCTGCCATCTTGCTCCCTCTCGCTCCTCCCCCTCCCACCTACACACACACACACACACGTGGGCCTTCCTGCTTGTTATTGTAGCTGTAGAATAGATGTTTATTGTATGTTCTATTAATTATTGCTTCAGTCCAATAAACTTTACTGTGCCTTTTTTAAAGAGCGGTTGTCTGATTATTTTTGCATGTGTTGTGATGACAGCTGGTTGGTTATTGGTCCCTGCTCCCAGGGGGTCTCGATATTCATGCTTATTGATCATTTGAACATTATTAATTATATTCAAATGAATAATTACTTTTAAGTCATTGACTTTGTTGATCACCTGACTTTTCCTCTAGATTATCAGCAGGGCAAAATGTACAGTACATTCATGTTCCCCTCAGGGTGGATTATCATTTGTTTTCAAACAGCACCATCATCGGGTTACATCTTTAGCATGCTAAAGTAAGCTGGTGGGCATGGTAAATATTAAACCGCTGACTGTGAGGATATTAAGCATGACGATGTGACCACTGTGCTAGCACAGCCTCAGTGCTGCTAGCATGGCTGTAGACTGTTCTTCTAGTGAGATCATTCATCTGTCACTGCAACAGGCAGCACTGAGCTCTGCTCAACGTTGCAGTCTAAACCACAGCAGCACTATCATGAGCTGGATCCACATTATCAAGCACTATAGCTTCACCACCAATATGTTGCTATCGGCACATGCCGGTTGATATACACTGAAACTATCTGAGTACATGTCTTGGGTCCAATAACCAAATATGATCAGTTAACCTCATTTATAGGATCAATATAAAAGATCTTTGTTTATGTTTAAAAAGAATACCAGTTTATCCATCAGCCAGTTTTGGTCCTCTTGATCGTCAGTTCTAATTATGATGTGGTCAAAATTCTTATGCACTTTATTGTGCTTGTCTGGATCTATGGCCGCCACACACCATTGGTCATACGTTCATTTTATGCAAGCATGGCACGTGGCTGTCCACCTCCACTAGTCTGCTGTGGAGTTGGCAGTGACGAGGACTGCTTATCAAGGGAACGTGACATCACAGTTTACGACAAAAAGTTAACATATATTCTATAGAAATAATACATTTCAAAGACATTTCTAGTTATGACAAACTAGAAATGGCAGCTTCATTTTCACATATCTGGCGTCTCGTTTTTATATCCCAGGTATGGCCTGGAGTCTCTTGGACAGTACAAAGAGAACCTTCACAAGTTCTTTGGCCAGATTAAAGCCATCGTTGACCACGAGTGCCTCATCGTGTGGGCTGTGACTATGCCGATAGGCGAGAAGATCAAGGGTGGATTCTTGGTGCCTGAAGTGAGTATCTCTCAGCTGCAGCATTTCATCCCAGCCAATCACCACACATCACATGTCTTCATCCACAGAGCAGGGGAATGAGCAGCTTCACATTGACATTGTGGAATTAGAAGAGCTTTATTTATTTTGTTACATATATTTTTTTCTTTTCTTTTTTCTCCTCTTCCCTCCTACTCGCTTGCCCCTATTCTTTTAGATGTGTGTATGTTTGTGTGTATATGTTTATGTACACTGTGTGCGCAATTATTAGGCAAGTTGTATTTATGAGGATTCATTTTATTATTGAACAACTACAGAGCTCTCGGTCAATCCAAAATGTTAATAAACCTGAATATTTAAGAAAGTAAGAGTGAGGTTTTGGCTTTCTCAGGAGAGTATCTATGTGCACAATTATTATGCAACTAAATGAAAAACGAAAGTTTTCCCATCTCACTTGTTTGTTTTCATCTGTCAAAGTGAGAATAATAAACAAACAACTCAACATTTACAAAAAAACATTCCTGACATTTCAAATAAAAAGTCAGTGACCAATACAGCCCCTCTTCTTTCCAATAACAGTAATAAGCCTTCATTCATGGATTCTGTCACTTTCTTGATCTGCTGACGATCAACCACAGGTTGATGTTTTCCTTCACTGTAATTCTCCTGTTTAAGAAGAGCCCTCAAGTTCTCAGTGGGGTTTAGGTGAGGAAGGGGGCCATGTCATTACTCTTTCATCTTTAAGGCCTTTACTGGCCAGCCACGCAGGGGAGTTTTGGATGCATGCGATGGAGCATTGTCTGCATAAAAATCATGGTGGTCTTGAAGAAGCAGACCTTTTCTTGTACCACTGCTTGAAGAAAGTGTCTTCTAAAAACTGGCAGTAGGTTTGGGAGTTGATTTTAAGTCCATCTTCAACCCGAAAAGGTCCAACTAGCTGGTGTTATTAAAGATGAGCTAGTTGGACCTTTTCGACATAATTTTAATGCACAACATATCCATCCATTTAATCAGTTTAAATAACAGCATGTGGTGAAAAACGGCCATCCCTGTGGACTAGTAATGGGTACCGAAGCCCGGTATTAAACGGGCGCTGGTGCTAAATATTAAAGACTGTAATATTGATAAGCTCCACTATTATCGGCTCTTTTGTCGGTACTCTTTAAAGGAGCTGTATTTATTCATCAAACAACTATTGGCTATGTAAAGATACAGAAAGCAGGAAGTCACTCTCCCTCTGCGTGTGGTGGTATCCAAGCTTTCCTTGCTTTGTTGACATAGCCGGTCGGTCCACGCATGCTTTTAGTGCATGTTAGTGCATGTGAGGGTGCCCTACTGTTAGCTCACAGACACCGCTCTGCACTGCTCTCATCTGTGATGTCTCTCTGCAGAGTGAAGCTGACTGACCCCCCCACACATATGCAGGTCTGAGGTTGTACTCTCTGGTCCACTGGCAACTGTCAAATTCAGTGAACTTGACTCTTTGGGCCACCAGTATAACTATCGTCAAATAATTAAAACACATGTGATGTAACATTTTTATTTCAATTTCCAACAGAACAAGGTTTCCAGCCAAACCTTTGATTTAGATTTTTAATCATTAATGAATGTGTGTCCCCATCTACTTCTGTTGTATGTGAATATTAAGCTTAGTTTGTACTCGCTAGAATTAGAAAAAGACGTAATCACGGCCTGCGTGTCGTGTGCGACGCTCGGTCATCACTCTGAATTCCTGTTACTAGGCGTGCACCATCAGATAGGCATTGTGGAGGTTGGTTTATGGCATTTTGCCTGTTCCGCTGGTTGTCGTCTCGCTTCTTCACTATACATTTGTTTGTAGGCCCTCTGGCGTTTTGGAGAATACTGCAATACTGTTCGTGGCTCACTGTGTTAAGAGGGTTGTCTGGGAACCGCAAGGTCAACGGTTTGATCCTCGACTGGGACTGAACCCCTAACGGCTCCCTGGGCGCCTGTCATTGGCAGCCCACTGCTCCCTATATACAGGGATGGGTCAAATGCAGAAACAAATTTCCCCCTGAAAGGGATCAATATAATAAAATAAATTTAAAAAAAAAATAAGAATTTTGTCTCAATAATACATGTCATATGCAGAGATGATGAATGATAATATTGCATTATTTACCACCAAACACAAATCTAAAATGATTGATGAACCTGTGTGGGTTGAATCACCTGTTCCTATCATTGAATCACTGCAGGTGAGCCACTTGGCTCCCACGCTGCGTTATGACATCATCGAAGCCAACTTCTACAGCGGTCGACTGGCGGAGGCCTACGGCTTGGATGTCCTCGACCTGCACTTCCACTTCCGCTGCAGCCTGCAGCACCGAATGCCAGACGGCGTCCACTGGCCCATCGACGCATCTGGCCCATCGACGCATCGATGGGCCACACGCTGGCCCATCGACGCATCAGCAGCCTGCTGCTGCAGCACGCCACTGAGACCTGGGGAGTCGACCTCTACGACCCCCCCTCTCCTGCAGGAAGAGGCTGGTGCACACACAGCTGATTGATATACTGAGTGCTGACTTGTTATTGGTGGAGCATGGTTCAGTCCAGTGGCTGCTGTTAGGACATAGTTGATATTTACTGTGTACCGCTGATCAAAGTGGTGCTCTATAGGAAGACTTTTCCTGGAGCTGATTGATTCTGCATATATTCGTATATATGTCACCCAAAATGTGCTTCATTCATGTACTACGGATAGTCATGAAGATTTCTCTGGCTTACAGTAGAAGTTTTTCATGCCTTCTCTCCTAATACTGTTTGAAAAGCTTTTACACCAATCAAACTCAATACTTCATACAATACTCCTGAGAACGGTCTGAAATAAACAACTACTCTCTTCAACAAACTGTATCTGTTTCACCCGACTGGCAAAATGGGTTGTTCCAATGAAAAGGATGTTTTCTATTTCTGGAAAAGCAGCCCACACAACATGAAAGAAAAATGTGTAAAAATGACACCAGCTGCTGCAAAAACCATGTTTTACCTGCAAGAGGACATGTAGAAACAGACACAAACAGAAAATGTCAAGAGATTATCATCAGCACATCATCTATTGATCTATCTGTTGATATATTATGTATATGCTTAACTGACTGTCTTGTCATACATCTCTGCATGTTTAGTGCTCCAGGGTTATAGAGAAGACTTTGGACACCACAGTTTCAGACCTGAGAGGCCTGAAAGTCCAAGGCCCCTGATGGACTCAGGTTGGTCTAATCAAGTTTCTCCTATTGTCATTCAGAGGTTTGGACTCAGTGGCCCCAGTTTAAATACTGAAGAATGCAAATCAGCCTATAGTGCCCAGTACTCCTATACTGTATACATATTCATATACATGTTATGCCTCTGCTGTCTGTATCCCTGACTAAGGTGAGTCTCACCAAAGCTGTTACCAGAGTTTAGATCAGAATGTCTTATTTTTCAAATGAACACAAAGAAGAAAGTTAAATGATTATGTTAAAGAATGTCACTTAGAAGACTTATACACAGTTACGATGAATAAAATGCTACGTTTTTCTACATAATGTTTAATAATGATAAATATCCTGAATAATGCTACATTCGCACATACAGCACAGTACTGACACATATTGCACGGTCTATAGTAGAGAGTTGTGCTGTGATGGTCTGAGGGTGAGTGTTTAGGCGTCGGTTGGTTGTGGTCCTGATGGAGCAGAAGCTGATGGAGCTTTCTGAAGCGGTAGCGAGCCGGTTGTGATTGGTCAACCAGTATCCTACCGGCCCGCTTTCTGCACCTGTTCACAGGATGTTCTCCAGTCTGCGTTTGTTCTGTTGTCAAGTTCCTCAGCGGACAGGTTATGAACTCAGACCAGAAGAAGACCTACAAACTAACATAACAGAGGAGGACATTACCCACACAGTAGAAACATTACATTTATGCACCAGGCCAAGGGGACGGGGTTAGGAGTGGTAAGAATTACAACGGAGAGAGGAAAACAGAAATAATAGAAGAAGAATGTTGACAAAAAAACCTTTCAAAGTGTTTTGTGTGTGCTCTCAAGACCATAATTATATGAAGTTGTGAATTTTATAATTTATTTTTAATACACGATATGAAGAGACCCATTTGTCCTTGGTTGGTTGTTGAATGCCTTAATGTGGGTTTTTCTAACAACGAATGACAAACATCTGTTGTGGATTGAACGTCAACCTAGAGCTTTGTGTTTATGTCTTGTATGTGGACAGAAGACAGAACCGTGGACAGAAGACAGCCGTGGACATCAGACCGCTGCTCTCCGCTATAGAGGTGACTGATTCTTTATCATTCTCTCCACAAGTGTGGACTCCTGCCTCCACACACTGGCAGCTACAGACTTTCCCATTTTAAAAGATCCAGCAGGTTAAGGAGATGTGCTCAAACTGTGTGTGAGTTGTATTATTGACTGTCACACGGAGCAACAAATAATAGTAACACTTTTAAACCTTTGCAGCTGTCTGCTCAGTCTGTACTGCCACACATTTACTGTTCTTCATTATTCTCTACATTACATCAGTAAAAGTTAAATGTGCTTTCAAGATAAATGTTGAGTGTTTGGTAATTCTTGTACATAAAGAGACACTCCTGCATTATGTATTAGTTTTTCTAAGAGATTAGACGGAGGAAGTAGTGACATCTGGTGGTGAGTACCAACAGTTTCCAGCCTCTCATCTAAACTGATGACTTACTTCAAAGTAAAGAATGTTCTCATCACGGTCTACATGGTGGTCATCATCCTCTCCCAGTCACAATGTTCTGACCCCTACTACTGTGGCTCAGTGGTAGAGCAGGGTCGTCCTTCGATCCCTGGCTCCACTAGTCCATGTGGATGTGTCCTTGGGCAAGACACTTCACCCCAAACTGCTCCCGTAGACTGTTCCTGTGGTGCATGAATGTTGTGTGAATGATTAGATAGTTCTGATGGGCTGGTGGCACCTTACATGGTAGCCCCTGTCATCAGTGTATGAATGGGTGAATGATGACATGTAGTGTTAAGAGTTTTGAGTGAAAAAGAGAGAAAGTACAGAGCATTTACATTGTTGGTGAGCTGAGGTTCAGTGATGGCCTGAAGGTTACAGTGGTGGTGATGAGATAAAGAGAGATGACTGAAGAGCTGGCTGAGCTCAGTGGACAGAACCCTGTGCTCTGATGTGATGAAGACTGGTGGTGAATGGGAAAGAAGAGTCCGTTCTTATTAAAACGGTAACTGACAGCAGAGAGGAGAACAGCGTTTCATTGAAGTTAGACAGCAACTATATGATCGGCTAAGGCGGATCGTGGAAAAATACAACGTGCTTTAATTCAGACTGAACCCCATCAGTCAGCTGAAGGAGTAGAGAAGTTTGAATGAATAAAAGCGCAAAGAATCTTCCGGATTGAACTTCCGCTAAGCTTCATTTACGTCCCCTGACAGGCGAGATCAACCTGGATGGGGAGAGTGACAGAGCCACTCGCTCACTACCACCACTGAAGAGCACATAATAACCCCCAGCTGCTCCAGCAGAGCTGCTCAGTGGCCATCACATCAGACTGTGCTTGTACTGGGCAGCTTCCATGTGTGAGTGCAGTCAGGGAATCCCTGCAGAAAGGGGCGTGGCCTTCAACTGGGACTCCCTAAATAAATGAGGGTTAAAAATGAGGAAACGTTAATAGAAGTGTACTGAGGGACACGAAACTGCAATCATAGCAGTGGTGGTCCATCAGGGACTTCAAGGCCTCTGCTGGCCTAAACAGAATCACAAAGTTATAGCTATTTTATAATTGAATTATTTTTCATAAATACAGTATTTTAAGTATTTTTTCCTCATTATCTTATTTTCTCATTGCACAGTTACTGTCTTCCTCAGTTGCTCTGCTTCCAGTGCAGCTTGTTTTAAGTAGAGCTTTTATCCAATCAGATTTCACCTCTGTGTCTCTAGGTAAGAAGAGAGGCCCGAGACCTGCAGACTCACAAGTGAATCCCTTTGTACTTTAAGTGAATGGGGACGATATTGTTGATTGTCATAGTGTTCAACCAATCAGATCTTTAGTTTGACATGTTGGGTGTATTCTTTGACGTGTCAGAGCCTGCTAGCTGGCCTACAAGTACGTCAGCATTAACGTGCAGCTCAGTTTTCAGGTGCAGCTCTGCAGTGAGGTGCAGCGTGCACTGTGATTGGTCAGTGGGCGAGCACGTGACTATTGTGAACCGAAACTTAACATCAGAGGCTTAGTCGGAGTAGTAAGAGTTCAAATTGAAAGATATGGAAGAAATTATAACATTTTTAGTGTTTTGCTTGGTGTAGTTTATTTATTTTTTACCTGCTTTGTTTTTTTAACACTCAATGGCTGAATAAGGAGGAGAAACGGATTTAGTGGCGGAGTTACTGACAACGCCTTTCTCAAGAAAGGACATTTCAGAAAAAGCTGGACATCGTAAGAAATGGTCAGTCAACCCCGCAGCTGGCAGCCCTGACTCAGGGAAAAGGATTTGTATGAACGGTATTTCTGGCTGACAGCGTCGGAGAAGCGTTGCACATTTTATGTCTGGGAATGTGTTTCATTTTAACTGAGCTCTTGGTGTTTGGAGCTACGCTATAACTTTGTGTGTGTGTGTGTGTGTATATATATATATATATATATATCTATATCTATATATATATATCTATATCTATTTCTATATATATATATATCTATTTCTATATATATATATATCTATATCTATATCTATATCTATCTATATATATCTATATCTATCTATCTATCTATCTATCTATCTATCTATCTATAGTATGTCTTTCCAGGTGAAGGTTTCAGGTTCTATCCTCATTTCCAAGCAGATGATCCCTGTATGAGGAGGAAGGGGACTCACTTCAGGACTCACCCGTACCCCCCTCACCTTCCCCGGGTGACACCCAGACAGCCTCCATATGGACGGCGAGCTGCAGACACAGAGCCATGACAGCAGGGACAAGAGGAGTCTGGACTCAACGAGAGTGGAGAGATGTCCACAGACGAGGATCACTGTTGCTGCAGAGGAAACTCACTTCAGTGGAACCAAACAACGTTTTGACTGCCAACGTTTACATTGTTGATGGAGGAAATAATATTGAAGAGAAAGAACTTTCATTGTAAAAGGCCTGATATTATCTTAGCTCAAACTTTCAGAGCAGACCTATCTAAGGGAGATGAGTTTATTCCTCTCTCCCCCTCTACTGCAATAAGAGATCTGACATTACTGATATACAGAATACACTATATATAAGTTCTATTTTGGTGTCATCTGACCATATGACATTCTCCCAATCCTCTTCTGGATCATCCAAATGCTCTCTAGCAAACTTCAGACGGGCCTGGACATGTACTGGCTTAAGCAGGGGGACACGTCTGGCACTGCAGGATTTGAGTCCCTGGCGGCGTAGTGTGTTACTGATGGTAGCCTTTGTTACTTTGGTCCCAGCTCTCTGCAGGTCACTAGGTCCCCCCGTGTGGTTCTGGGATTTTTGTTCACCGTTCTTGTGATCATTTTGACCCCACGGGGTGAGATCTTGCGTGGAGCCCCAGATCGAGGGAGACAATCAGTGGTCTTGTATGTCTTCCATTTTCTAATAATTGCTCTCACAGTTGATTTCTTCACACCAAGCTGCTTACCTATTGCAGATTCAGTCTTCCCAGCCTGGTGCAGGTCTACAATTTTGTTTCTGGTGTCCTTTGACAGCTCTTTGGTCTTGGCCATAGTGGAGTTTGGAGTGTGACTGTTTGAGGTTGTGGACAGGTGTCTTTTATACTGATAACGAGTTCAAACAGGTACAATTAATACAGGTAACGAGTGGAGGACAGAGGAGCCTCTTAAAGAAGAAGTTACAGGTCTGTGAGAGCCAGAAATCTTGCTTGTTTGTAGGTGACCAAATACTATAATCGATGTCTGCACTAGCGTCTCAGCTTTGTCTCCAGGTCTTTATTTAGTGAGGTCCACGGCCAATACAAAGGCACAGGATAGATGCATGTATTTACACTGAACAACCTACAGAGCAGAGTGTGTTGCTCTCTGGCTGCTGCTTGTAATCCAACAGACTCTCCCTTCACCTTTGCCCAGTAGCTGGGAGGCGAGTCCCTAGAACGTTTTGAGTATTGAGGAGTAGCTTTGAGGTAACCTCCTCAGCCAATCGGCTGCAAGTCCTCATATAAGAGACTTTATACACATTTACCACTAAATTGAACTCACCAAGCTGTAAGCAGCAGAGCGGCTGTGATCTACTCAGCAGTGTCCGTTAGACGGTTAGCATCCGTTAGATAGTTCCCCGTCCAATCAATCAGATCAATCAGCTGTTTGATCACATCAATTCAATGTGCATTGATTATTAATATGTACATTCTTCCTTTAAAGCTGGTATCTACGCTGTTGTAGGAAAGCATAAATCGATTAGAATAATATAATATTGGCATATTTGAGCATAGTGTGAATTCTTGAATACAAGCCAGTGACGTGACTCGTTTTTAATTAGATGTGTGGAAATGTCCACTCGTTTATCAAGTCAACCGCTAAACATGACAACATGGAGGCTTCTTACTAACATATGATGAATGGTGTTTTCTCCTTAAATATAAATAAATAAAAGACACTATTTAAGAATTCCTAATCCCAACTAATGAACTGTTTTACTAAGTAAAGCATTTCACTTCATGAAGTTCCCTAAATGTGTTTTTTTATATTATTTTCAGCCAAAACTGAGCTCAGCAAAGTGTCGACTCAACGTGGAAAACTTCATTGCTGCTTGTCGCAAGCTGGGCGTCACTGAGGTAAAGAGCCGGTCTCATTGGGTTCTCACTCTCTGTCCTCTCAGTACAACACAATGTTCTTCCATCAACGCACGGTTCATAGCAGTAGTACGTAGGGACGGGGACCGTTACTAGTACTCTTCTCATTAATATCGGTTCGGTTCCTTATCGATACTCTTATTGCTTCTTTTTGATTATTTTGTGACAATTTAGAAAAGACGTCGCTTTCTTACTTTTGTGTGTAAACAAACTTTCTTGAGCAGCAGTACAAGAAGTTCCAAAATCCTTAAAATACATTCCCATTAAACAATTCTCTTAGTAATTATCTTTCATTGATTATCCTGTTCGTCTGATCAAACTGCGTATATCATCACTAACGTTACCTGCAGTGGCAAACAGCCTGATGCTTGTTGGCTACATGTTGTGATGAACTGCTGCTGTTTCCTCTTACTGGTTAAGGTTTCATTGAGTTTGTTCTCAGCCTCTACTGGAGTCAAATGTAGCCGCACTTTAGATCTTTTTCTTCTCTCTGACATGGTGTGAGTCTCACGCTGTACTGAGCGTGTGTGTGTGTCTGAGTGTGTGTCTGAGAGTGTGTGTCAGTGTGTCAGAGTAAAGCACAAAGAGACAGAGAGAGGAGGTTTGAGACGAGGACATCTCACTCCAGAACTTCTAAAGTAGCGACAGCAGAACCGTTAACTCTGGACCGCATCAATACTCCGGGTTTTTACTCCTTTAGAACCAGGTTTGGGGGCATCCCTACTAGTCAGTTGGAATAGAATTCTCCATGTGCTTTAAGCTCAGTTGTGTTGCTCCATTATTCCTGTCAGGGTTGGACTGATATATGGGCCAGATGATGGCTTCAAAACACACTTATCAGTCCAATCCTAACTGTTTTGTCCCTCTTGTCTCCTAATATAACTCCTTGTATTTTCCTCCTGTGTGTGTGTGTGTGTGTGTGTGTGTGTGTCTCCTGTCCAGACGGACATGTGTGCGTGCTCTGATGTGCTTCTGTGTAAGCTGCCCGCTGTGCTGCGCTGTGTGACGGCGCTGCTGGCCACCGGGGGGGGGGGAGCCGGGAGAGGACCGATCCCCCCGCCACTCCGCACCTTCGTGGTCGTCCTCCTCGCTGCTGTCCACAGACTTCCTGCTCTTCTACTGTGCGGCCATGGACCTGCTCTACGTCCTCTACTGCTACCTGCTACTCTAGAGGAGCAGCGCAGTCCTTTAACAGTCACATGACCGACGAACTGCTCTACACGCTCACTGAACTCTCACACACACAGCTGCTCCCACAGAGTGTGTGTTGACACTCCACAGCTGCACTGGTTGGATGTCTGAGCCATATAGAGCATGCAGCCGAGCACCTTTTAACAAACAAAGAATACACTACAGCACGTTTAGAGCAATAGAAAGCACTACACTGATAAAGATAAATACTACATGAGAGCAGGTGAACAGGGCTTACCTTGTGACAGCACAGAAGGAGGGAGAGCGGGCTGAGAGTGCGTGGAGAGGCGGAGGAGAGTGTGGCGGCATTAAGCAGCTCGGAGATCAGTGGATGCTGACAGAAGCACAGCTGCTGATGGGAAGAGGGAGACAAGAGTGTCAAACAGAGCCGACGCAGAGGAGGGGAGCAGATACACTGTCCACGCTCACCGTCACGGTGATTGGGATGGGAGGACGGCGGCGTCTCTGCAGCTACACATAGGCGGTAAGTTACCAGCACACACCTGCAAGCATCACAGTTTATCATCAGATTCAGTGAAGGTCAGTGCAATGATATTTCAATAGGAGCCTCAGTGTAAATGTGTTTTTCTGAGATGTCAATATTCTCTGCAAACGTCAGACCAAACTCATATTCAAAATGAAGAAACAAATATGGTTGTTTTGTAATTTTTACGGCCGATATTTAATACATCATTCCATCAGTGACATCTCATAACTGCATGTCTACAACATCTTTGTAATTGCTGTCAAAATGCTGCTATAATGCTGCATGTAAGACGAGTGTTCGTTGAAGTACAGAAAATAACAAGTAAATAATAAGTTATTGATCATATTTATACAAGGACATAGGTTCCAGGGGAACACAAACTTAAAGATGTCTTTGTCTGTGTGTATAAAAGTCATTCAATCAATTTGAATGTGTAAATATTACAAATGCAAGGCACACCGACAGTACATCTGTATATAGATACATTCATCTTTCAAATCACATGTATAGCACCATGAATCTTGCCCAGTTGAATGAGATGTAAATAAATAAATTAGGCTCTGAATGATGTATGAACAAACCCCTCGGTAATAGCCTTCAGAATATAGATAAGAATTAAACCGAAAAGTTTGGCGTATGTAAGTGCTGCTGAAGTGTAGATTTCAGTCTCAGAGTCTGAGGAGAAAAAGATAATTTAGAGTAATTAGAAACGAATAGATATCACCATGAAACCTCCCCAGAAAGAAGATCTGCTATTTCCAATAGATATAATACAGTTAATAAATATACACAGAGTTGCAGTCTGATACAACAGCAGTTATGTGTTGAAAGAATCATTCCGGAGGATGTAGTTTGTGGTACTGTTGAACTGTATTGCGTTATGCAGAGAGGTGTTTCTGCTATTTAGCCTTCCCTTGTTGATATAATTGGAGCGGACAAAATAATGGAAACAGGATTTATTGCAGGAGGTGTATAACTACACCCGTGTAGTGTCGTCCCTCCACCAATAAGGTGCGGACTGGATGCAGCGCGACAGGAGAAACCCAGGGTGGATGAAGCACTCGCTGGGCCACTTGCTGTTGCACCTGAAGCCTGTTGCTGTCAGCTTCTATCCTTGTATGTGTGTTATGGTGGCTGGACAGTACGGGAAACATGTTCAGAGAGTTTATAGTGACACTCCTCACCGCTGAAGGAAATGAACGACTGGGAAATAAATTCATTTTGTCAAGCAAAAATGCTGAATAATCCCCATTTCCAGCTTTTCTTTTGTCTGATTCCCAGAAAATTTACAAGAATAAAACCTTGGATATATTATTTATATTAGTGTTGAACATTAAAGGAAACACGTATATGTGTCTTTCTGACCTCTTGTCAGAGTGAACATTGGAAACAGTATTACGGTATAACAGTATTACGGTATAACAGTATTACGGTATAACAGTATTGCAGTATTACGGTATTACAGTGTTACGGTACTATGGGATTGTGGTATTACGGTATAACGGAATTACGCTATAACAGTATGAAGGTATAACAGTATTATGGTATAACGCTATTAAGATATACTGGTATAACGGAGTTACGGTATTAGGGTATAATGGAATAATGGTATTACAGCATACCAGGGTATTTAGAAACCCTGACGGTGTGATTTTCATGAATACGATGAATTGGTTTGATACTGTATTGATGTGACGCATTGATGTGCATGGCGCGCCACCAGAGGTCAGTCTCTGATGGGGGAACAGGGAGCCGAGCGGAAAGATGTGGGGTGTCAAAAAAGAGGATTGAGATCCCAGGAAAGCTGCCTTAAATGAAGGAATACAGTTCGATATGAAAGTAGGATAAGGGGACACAAAGCATATAATAAGTAATCATTTTAAAGCAAGTATGTATAACATAAGGATAATGAAGTGATTTAACAAATGTATAACTGAGTAAGAAGTGACGTCTGTGTGTGTGTGGAAAGAGCTGATGTAAGCAGGATGGGGACCTTAAAGGATGAGATCATAACAGATGGTGGGGTGATGTCCGAACATGCCCAGAAAAGAAGGAAGTGAGAGTATCGACACACAGAAAGTTAGGGCGTTGTTCGCAGCACACACACATATAATCAATGATGTCATGTAAATCACATGCCGAGGGGGGGAGTGTTGGGGAGGAGGGAGGGGAGAGAGCTCCAAGTTATAAAAAGGAAGACTTGCAGATAGCAAGACGGGATTCAACGCGGGAGCCACCCAAGTGCTCCACGGAGAAGACACTGGACCTCGCTCAACAAACCGCATCGGAGGACTTCGTCTCTGTTCACGGAAAGAAGACAGCCGTTCCAGGACAAAGATTGAAAGACGGAGATTTTCCTCTCCCCCCTGTTTGACTTTAACAACCGGACAACAGAGGGACGCCGCCGCCCTAAAGACTTTGTACTGAGTCTGAGAGAGCGCTGAATGGACCTCCAGCTCCTGAAAACCCCACAAAGGACTTTTTATTACATCGTGAATCCAGCTCCACCGAGCCGCCTCGGCATCGACAATTAATGAGTATAACCTGAAAAGAAATTGTAACCTGATTGAATTAAGTATCGTATTATATTATGAAGAGCTGTAGCTGTGCCCATGCTAAATATATCCTGCAATAAATATCTAATCTGCATTTAAAGTAAAGTTCTCAAGAGCATTCATTTGCTGAGGTAGTAGAAGTTCCTCATGGCAGTAAAAGGGTAAAGCTATTGTATGTTAACAACAAGAGTTCTTAATGGTTATCCTAGTGACCGGTCCACTTAACAGTCCCTTACGGTTTTAGTTGTAATCCTAGCCGTTAAAACCTAACCTGGCAATTTACCAAGAGCCCAGATCCAAAAGAGGAAAGCTGCCATAACTGACGCGACTAGGTAGAAGCGCCCGGCCAGGGTGGCCCCTCGGCCGAGTGCAAGTTACCAGTGGAAGCAGGGTAGACGTCAGGAGTAACGGTAGTTAGCAGAAGCCAGGCGAGTTTCCTCGACAGAACACCAGCTCGACAATCTTTTAATAGAGAGCTGAGTCAGTAGGTAGCCCCGTATCGGGCCAGAGAACACCCGGATCTAACAGGGGATAACGTGACGAGGCTAGTAAAACACGTTCTCCAACAATAGGAGCCGCTTATAGCCACATTTTACAACAAATTTAATTTTACAACAGGTCAACAGAGTTTTCGCTCACAAATGTACAACTTTGTAATCACAGAGAATATTCAAGTTGTTTTCCTCA